GCGATATATGCGAAATATGGATCCCTCTTCTCGCAATAAGGACCAACAACCAGGGGATCATAATAAGAGTTCGTCTCTAAAAAGTGTTCAGGATTAATGTTGCAGTCTACATAAACTTTTGCTAGAGCAGAATGAACAGAGGATTCCGTAGAACCATCTGCAACCTTGGCTTCTAAAAATTGCAACAATATCTTTAAACGTCCGCTCCGTTCAACCTCATTTACAAGTTCATCTACTGGAACTAAATTCTTCACCGACTGCAACAAATCTTTGATAAAGTATTCCTCAACGTCAAGATCTATCAGAGCCCCAATCACTTGAGGAGTCTTTGCTGGATTGACTCGTTGTACATAGCCTTCAATAAACTTAAGTTGATTGTTCTTTACCATATATCGGATCAGCTCAGGAATGTATCCAAAACGATCACAGACATTAATAAGAGGCCTGGGATCCTTTGGTCTCATATCCATTAAAAAATCTTTCACCTTTTCTGGATCATAAAAGTTACTTTCTCTAGTAACTCTTTCAGCTTCGTGGAATTGACCCAATTTGATTGCAGTTTCTATATATTTGAAATGAACGTCGGGGTCTTCCGAGTAGTTTACTATACCACCCAAGAAATAAAATACGCCTTCTGTAAGACCTCGCTCTTCAAACAAGGATATCACTCGTTGAGGGCCAAGCTGATCTGCATAGTTGCTAGCTATTTGAGCACATAACTGCGAATTCCCTCTTGGATTGACTCTGAGAAGCTCCTTTAAGCACTCTAAAGAATCTTCAGGCGAAAGATTAGAAAAATATCCAATCAGAAATTCAGGACTAAGTGCATGAGTATTTGCCATAACTCTTTTAATATCATCAAGGTCGTTATAGTTTTCTAAAGCTCGCTGGAAAAGACCTTGTCTCTCACAAAGATTGGCAATCTTCCTTCGGTCATAATAGTGAAAAATGTTCTGTGCCATAATCGCATCTGCTACCGGCGGTGCGGAAAGTAGATTAACTTCCAGTAGTCTTGTCTGCAGTTCAGCATCTTCGGCACGATCGTCCTTCAACGCATCAAGTAAGTAAGATGTTCCTTCTTGTATCAAACCACGAGAATAAAACATTTCTGCAATGGCAGCATGATCCAAAGGTTTTCCTCCACCTTCTTGGAATTGTTTCAAGAAATATTGAGCTAGGTCAAGAGCACTCTTAGGAGAATAGTTAACTGCTGTTTGAATAAGTTCCATGGGTTCCACAGAAAGTCCGACTCGCTTCGCATATACTAAAATCTTATCATAAGCTCCATTTTCTAAAAATGCCTAGAATCAAGTTAGCATTGCTCAAAACAACCAATGATTGCACTTTCTGCATTACCTCAATAACTTTTCCGTGTGCTTCGGCCTTTAAATATATCTGAAGTGCCAACTTTGGGTCTGAAGACCTCACAACGTCACCCAATTCCTCACTACAAGTTATCTTGTCTTCATTCATCCAACGTTCCAAAAGCTGAGTACGACCAAATTGAATAACTTGACCACCCAACTCTGCACTTTCAAAACGATTTAGTGCACCTCGTTCCAGTAAAGCTTGAAAATACAACAATAAAGCAGAAGGCTGTCCTTGGGCAGCTGGGACTGACTTGAACTTGGCAATAGTTTCAGGAGTTCTTAAGATTCCTCCAGGAGACTCTGCTGCCACTCTTGCAGCTTCTTTATAATTTCCCGCATTGAACAGTTGGTCAAAGTATCTTTCATATAGATCTTCAGCTCCGGGAAGTTTGTTTCTAGATGCTACTTTGATAGCTAGTTGAACATCTCCCAATGAATCAAGAATGTAAGGAACAAAATTATTAGGTTCTACAGAAAATCCTAACAATTGTCCTCTTCGATTCAAACCAACAAAACCACCGGTGTTGGTATGTACCGCCGTAAGGAAAATAGTAGACTCTGTAATGCGATTCATGTAGAGACATCTTCCACTCTCTAAATCATAAACTTGAACGTATCCTAGCCTTGTGACTAAATAAGCAAATGAATACATGGAAGATACCTGTAAGGCTACAGGGAAATCCTTCTCGGTTGCTTCTGGAGGATAATATATGTCCGTAACACATTTTGAAAAGCGAGGGGCATCCGAAGGCTTCTTATCTTGACCAATTTCGATGACGTGAAACTTACTTGCATTGGAGGTTTTAGTTGCAAATACAAATAGTTTTGTACCAGGATCCTTTGAGTTGATTTGAAACTTACAAAATGCTGCTGCATGGCCTTCAATAGCTTGAGATACACGACGCTCCACTGAGTACAACTGCATCCTTCCAACAACCTTGTCTCCTTCTTGTTGCAATCCGATCAACACTAACCACTTCTCATCTTCGTCTGCCCGATAATTTATAATCTGTGCATTCATCAAAGTAGAATGCCTATCATACATTTTCACCGGTTCTGAACTTGTGTCGGTGCAATCCCAATGATAAACAGAATGCGAAGTGACAAGACCAAGAGTTTTCTGAGAAAGCCACTTCCAGAACAAAACTTCTTCCTCCATTACATAAGACTTCACCTTGCTTTTCTTTCCGATATCAAAAAGTTGAAGCTGTACTCCAGCCTTCAACGCCAACACTTTGGTGGCAGGATTCATCAAGACAGAGTCTGCTGTTACGGGGCGTCTAATGATGTTGGAAGGATCCTGTATGTCAATAATTGCCACTTGATTCTGACTACCACCGGAAACTTCCCTCACGCAGAGGTATTTGTCCGATTCCATAGTTACGGTGCTGAAAGATATGGATTCCGTGTTGATGCCCAACGACGTTAACTAGAGACGTTTAACCCCTCAACGAAGAACACAAAGTGTTAGATAAACTTACGGATAAAATTTCTTCTAGCTGGACAGGTTGAGCCATGCTGGTATGTGAAAATTAACTTGAAAGAGACAACTAGTTCACTTTGAAACGAAAAGTTTCTCTCTAGAAACCAAAAGGGACTTCAAACAGTTTCTTTGACTGTCCGAAGACAACTCAATCCTCGTCAAGGCACTTTACAGATTACAAAATGGCGCACAACATTGTATTTGGAAAAATGTCTCAAGAAGATGCCCAAAGCTTAGGACATTGTACTTTGGAAAGAGTACTCAAAAAGGCATCTTCTTTGGTGAAAGAGCAAAAGCTGGAGGAATGCAAGACAGTTTTGGAGGAAGCTTTGTTGAACTCTTCTCGAAATCCCTCCGAACTTTTCGACCAAAAGGAAGTGGTCGCTTTAAGAGAGAGACTGACAGGCTGCTACCTGATGCTCATAGCAACAGGGAGGCAGAATGCGCGAACTAAAGAAGATACACAGAAACAAATATCAGAGCAGATAGCTTTTCTACACTCGCAATTTGGGTCAACTATACGGTTGCAGGAACTTCAAGGTTGGAAGGAAATATTAGGTGAACGCTATGAAAGTGCGCTTCGTTGTTTTGAACAAATTTCGAGGTAAATGTGGAAGTGTGAGTTTTGTATTCGGCTTACATATTATTCAGCGCTCCAAAAAGTCTGTTATCTTCAATTGGAAGCGCCACCGCCAAGTTTTACAAGGGAGATATCCAAGATTCTTTAGAAAGTTTTGGTTCCATAGTCCGAAGATGGAGACGTTGCGAGTCTGCTTGGTTAGGCATTGCCCGTTGCTACTTGGAAAAGGGTGATCACAAAAAGGCTCAAATGGCACTTTCGAAAACAATAGAATTCGCAAAGCAGAAGTCGACGGGGTTTTCGTCATTTTTTTCCTATGAGGCACAGCTTTCCATAGCATATATTGCGTTTGGTCAAGGCACAAAGGAAGGTGTAGAAGCAGGGTTAAGTATTTTAAAGGAACTCTATCGAGACAATACAAATGACGCACAAAATGATCCACGAGTTGTTAATCGGCTGGCGGAGTATTTGTTTTATAGGAAAGAATATAAGCGTGCTTCTGCACTCCTTTGTAAGTTGAACTTGACACAGACAATATTTCCTCGTGCCAAGGGTGAGAGTCTGTTTCAGCTTGCGCGTTTGGCTCACGTAAGTGGAGAACTTGCAGAAGCGGAAAATTTCTATACACAAGCACTACTAGAAGATGGCTATGGCTTGCCGCAAGCAAGGTTGGCGTTAGCAAACTTGTATTTGTCCCGTGAAGACTTTCAAGCAGCAGCGGACTGTCTGGAACGTGTTATTTCTCAACGACCGGAATGCTTAGAAGCCAAAGCAACACTTGGTATTATTTTGACTCTATTTGAAATGAAGAACTTGGACACAACGATTGGCCAAGAAGAGAAACTTACAAAGTACGAGTTGCGAAGAGCACGTAGAGAGAAAGCAATTTCTCTGTTAACCGAATTCGTTGACGCAACTATCACGCCAGATATTTTAGCTTTGGTTTGTCTTGCATATTTATTTGAAGAGAACAAGCCTGAGAGAGCTTGTTTGTTACTAGAGGACTCTCTACGATTATTTGATGAACAACCTAATATCATTATTGCACGTAATTCTCCTTCAGTCAAGATACGGTTACAAAACAACATTGCCTCACTATTGACCAGAATCGGGCGATACTCAGAAGCCGAGAAAGTGCTCTCAACTATCTTTAATATTTATACAGACTTGTCCTCGGGTGACTATGATGAAGATGTATTCCTTCAAAATATTCAAAAATATAACGAAATTCCGATTCTTTTGTTATATAACCAGGCGCTCGTTTGGGAGCTAGAAGGAAAAATGGTTTTGGCGCGAACTCTGTATTCTCATATTATCTCTGTTTACGGTGAATATCCTGATGCTCTGGTAAGCTTCGCAACTAATATTCTCTTTTTTTTCACGATATGGTTAGTTTCGATTAGGTTACTTGTCTTATGCCAATGACGATTTTGTGGCAGCAAAGGAGTTCTACGAAAGGGGGGCCAAGTTTAAGCCCAAACTCGCGTCTCATCTTTTAGCAACATTAGCAAGAAGCCAAGGAGACTATCACAAATATCAAAGCCTTTTAGAACAAGCATTGCAGAGTAGACAGTTTAATGAGACTCGGGAGGCATTAGATGATGACTATAGTTTCGTACGGTTGTGTAATTTCTATATAGATTGTTTGCAAGTTGTCGACGAAAGGAGACAACGCAAGTTTATGGACAAGTGCTTAGAGTTGCTACAAAGAGTGCTTTCTCATTATCCATATAATGCATTCGCAGCAAATGCATTCGGAATATATGTTTCTTTGCGAGAAATGTATTCTGATGCTAGAGAAATATTCCATGGGTTAGTTGGAACACCTGCAGCTGAGATGGCGAAACTTAACTTGGCGCATATTCAGGTACTTCATTTTTAGACAAAAGTTATATAGCTCACATCGAAGAACAACTTAGGTTCATTTGGCAAGGAATTTGTTGCATTCTTCCGGAGAGAGGCAGATAGTGAGAAATGCCGCAGCCGACACAGCCTTATCCTCAGCAATCAAATTGTACGAAGATAGCTTGTTACAAACGAGAAATGAAGAAACGCGCTGCGAAATGATGCTGTATCTAAGTTTGGCTAATTTTGAAAAAGCACATTTTTCAGAAGCTTGTAGGCTTTTGACAAGACTTTTACATCGGATGCCTATGTATTTACCACTGTGGTTTAACTGGGCATTGACGTTAGAGGAATGCGGTTTGAGGAGGATAAACGAAGTTGGAGAGAAACAAAAGATTGCGTCTGTGTCAGAAAATGCCAGTTCACTGAACGGTGTGCACAACGCGCGCAAAGCTGCTGCTGAGTTTGGAAGGGCATATAGAATATTTCAAGTTCTGAGTAGAAGAAAGCTTTCAGCTGATGGAGAAGGAATAGTGCGGCAAACACACTCTAGCCGACTTGCTGATGCTCATCATACTTTTGCAAAAGCGAAGCGTGCAACATCAAACGTAAGTTTTCTCTTAATATCGTTTTCTATGGTAATACAAGTCGTGTAGGTTCTTCTGGCTAATGCAGAAAAGGAGTATGTTGAACAAACCGAGCGTTACCAGGAACGCCAAAGAATACTACAAGAGAAGCTTGCTCAAGAAGAAAAAGAAAGGTTGGAACGAGAACAAAGACGAAAGGAGGAGCTGGCAGCTTTAGAAGAACGGGAGTTAAAGTTTCAGGAATCTTTAAAGGAAAAGGAGGAACACAAACGAACTGCTGAAAGAGAAACCGTGAGCAGAAAAAGGAGACGCAAAGTTTTGAAAGAACAGTTGGAAGAAACTTCGGACTTTTCCGAAAAGGAAGGAACTTCACCAACCCAAATGCAAGTCATGGAAGAAATTTTTGGCGACTGAAAATGGCATATGCTGTTGGTTTTACTTATAAGTTGTGTTGTTTAGCATTTCTTTTGCTCCTTTACTGTAGGGAGCTTCAGGCAAAAGATGACAATTTTCAAGAGGAAAAAGAAACTGCACAAGCAGAAACACTTAAAGTAAAGAAGATCGTTCTAGAACTAGATTTTCTTCCAATGCCTGTGTTTCAAGACGTCACGGAACCAAAACAGCAGTTGCACCGAGTGAATAGTATTGAAGTTTATCAACCTATCGACTTTCAAAGTAAAGTAGTTCATTGGTTGACTGTCGGAGACCTACACTATGCACTTGTGAATTCTCACCGGTACTCAGATGGCAGTTCTAGAGAAGAGTTTTTTAACAAACACTTGAAATCAGTTTCTCTAGAAAAACAAGATGAAGAATTGAATGGTAGTGACGCTGCTGTAAATAACAGGTGGAGGAAGATTGTGCTGTCTTCTGTGTCAGGTCACAACTTTGAGTGTAGCTTTCCTCGTATAAAAGCTGCTGAGGGTTTAGAGTTAAGTTTAGAGTCACTCAACTTGAGCTTCGTGATGTCGCAGTTTAACGGAACTTGCTTTTATCGTGTAAGTTATTTTTCCTTTTGTATTTTTAGAAAGTATTTTGAATTCGTTAGAATGATGGATGGTGGACCTATGAGTTTTGTGTAGGCAAACATGTGAAACAATATCATTTGAATCCTGTTACACTAGAACAGGAAGATATTTTCTATTTGGGTTTTCCTGTCGAGAAGAATGCTACGGAAGGGTTTGAAAAAGCCCTCTATCACGTTACATCTGTTAGTACAAACGAAGGTAGTCATATTTTTCATTTTTGTTTTTAGTCTTGAAATTTGTTTTAGTTGATGATAATGTCATTCGCATTCATTATGATAATGGTTCTTTATGTGTTCTTACTGGATCACCAAGGAATGTCACCATCGATTTCATATGCCCCTTTTCTACTGTGACGGATACAGAAAATTCCGAGTTTATTTCATCGATAAGAGAAATAGGTACATGTTCGTATCATTTGACCTTAGCTAGCAGCGCTTTATGTAGCGAGCCCCTGTTGAGAAATCATCCACACGATGAAATTGAAGTGACTTGTAAAGTGGTGAATGAAACGGTTTTACCGGACGTGAGAGTGACGACCTTGGCTGGTTATAAAACTGCGGCTTGGTTTTGAAAACTATCTTTTTTGCATACAATAAACCATGCACTTGGCTTTTTAGTTTATTTCTATTTCGTTATGGTTCAAAGACAGTGTAAACTTAGGAGACAGTTTCAAAAGATGACTTGAGTGAAATATACTAGCAGTTGTAAAAATCATCCAAGTTGTGTCAAGTTATTATTTCTCCTTGGAAGCTAAGATCAAATGGACGCCTGTTGCGCTTAATTCAGAATGATTTACAGAATATGCTCCTGCGGCTGACGCCGGACAAAACTGAATGAGTGTAGACGCACAAAAGAGTCTCTTGGCAGGACTGTGTGGTGCTTGTGCAACTTCCCTCGTAGTAACTCCTTTGGATGTATTAAAAGCTCGTCTCCAAGTACAACAGTATTCGGTGTTGAGAAACCGTCACGCCTTGAGGGTAAAGCTTTTATATACTTTATTTTTGACCGATTCTTATCTAAAAAATAGGGTGTATATGCCGAACTTGTTAGAAGTGAAGGTTTGAAGGGACTCTGGAGAGGCTTGGGAGCTTCTTTATTCCTAATGGTGCCTACCACGGCTTTGTATATGACCTTGTATGATTCTCTGAAGGAGAAACTCATTAGTAGGTACCGACAACAGGAGGAAATGTCCATTGTATTGGCTGGAACAGTATCTAGGTGTGTAGTGGTCACTATTGGAAGTCCTCTGGAACTCATTAGGACAAGTATTCAAGCAACGAAAGGTTCTCCCTCTATTTTGAATATGTGGAAGCGAAACGTAGAATCCGCCGGTGTCAAAGGTCTTTTTCGTGGTTTATCTCCAACACTTATAAGGGATGCTCCCTTTTCAGCTATTTATTGGGTTCTCTACGAGCGCTGTAAATCACCTTCAAGTTTTCTTTTTCGGCTCACTGGCGGTAAACATAGTTGGCTCGTATTTCTTGTATCAGGTTGCCTATCTGGGATGACTGCAGCTGCTCTTACGACTCCAGCAGATGTGGTAAAGACGCGACGTCAGGCAATGTTGAATAGTCAAAAATCTTTTCTTTTGCAGTCTTCTCCTTCATTTAATAGTATCGGTTGTTGCTCCGATTTAAATGCATCTTTCTGGAGTTGTGGCAAAGCAATAGTAAAGTATGAGGGTTATAGAGGTTTATTTCGCGGTCTGGTACCACGAGTTGCCAAAGTAGCTCCCAGTTGTGCAATAATGATGACATGTTATGAGTTGTGTAAGACATATTTGAATGGTCCTAATTTTTCCAATGATGACACTTCAGGGGTTCATGATCCCTCAAGTGACTCGAACCTAGATGAATATATAGAGTGGTCAATTTCAGAGTATTGATGTCATATATCTTGTGACATAGAAGCTGTAGTTATTGTACAGGGAGTTTATTTTAGGGACATTCATTTTTCCTAAGCTTGTTTTCTTCTCTTGAGAGTTACTTGTAAACTAATCCAATAGGCAGATTCAGTGAATAGTATAGTTTTTTCTATTTAGGCAGATATTTCAAGTAGAACTCAATAGTTTCAATGTAGCCTTTTATGGATGGAATGGTTCTGCGTAAGAATCCCATGCTTTGGCTTCAGGCATCACCGGTAAACTCTGATTACCCAAGTACGGCATCATTCAACTTTGTATAAAATCATTACTACATTTTCAAAAATGGTGTCTATTCCTATATTGATACATGGCCGTTCTTGTTTGTTCCTTTCGTTGCATATTTTGAAAAGTTCTGTACTACATTTTGCCTCTTTCTTCTCTTTCTTTGTTTTCCTCTATCATATTCAATATCCCACAAATCACGTTTTTCACCAAGAGCTGGTTGGTTCCCTTCTCTCGAAAACAACTCTTTTCTTGATTGGCTCAATAATGAACAGTTATTCCATGTTCCCACTGAAAATGGTGAAGGCATGTCTTCTACTTTTTTCTTGGTGCCCTGTCTTCCTGTTTTGAGAATGACATTATCTTTCTTCTGTTGTTCGGTATATCTATTTGCTTGTGAAACCATTTCAACATCGTCATGAGGAAATATTTTTCTACGCAACTGCGCATGGAACGAAGTATTCAATGCATGCTTTACGTGAAGTCCTATTGTCCCATGAAGCCTTTGCATCGTCATCTGAAGACGATGAAACGCAAGTAAAGAAATGTCATGTCTTTGGATTGTCATTTCTGGATATTGACCGTTGATCTGTGAAAGCCTATCCATGTTAGGCTTCTTATCAAGCTTCCATTCCTCATTTGAGCTACACGGTTCCGTCACTCGTTGCAAATTTGAACAATTGCTCTTTGTCGTATCCACTTTCTCAGTATTATTCACTTTCTGCTGGACAACACGGCTGTAAAATAATAAGTAGGCTCTTTGATGTAATACAGTTTGAACGCCAACCTGCCTTGTGCATTCATCATCTTTCAAGTACCAGATTCCATTGCTATTGCGAACGTAAGCATAATAATGCCCACCATGAATACTAAAACCTTCATGTACAATAACTGCACAAAGACGATAATACACAGGTTTCCGAATGCTATTTCCTTTCAAAGGAATGAATGGGGAAAAATCAAAAGTTTCATCATAAGAAACAAATTTGTTTTCCTTCTTACTCAATCGAAACCGTTTTAAATGGAAAATGAAAACGTTAGGTATTCGTCGAAACTGAAATACTTTGGAAGCATCCGTCCTTTGTTTACATTGAGAACAAAAGTATCGATTAGGTCCAAACAAACGCTCCGGAGTAGTAAAACCCTTCAATGCCTTAGCAAGTGTACTGACACCTTCCAAATCCAGAGAAACATCTAAAAAAGGTTCAACAGTGTCTGAACTTGAACCACAATTTTGGCAAGATACTTTAGACTCATAACAACCACCAAATATCTCATGGACCAAAGTATGCATTTCTTGTTGTCGGTCATGACAAAGTTTGCCTCTTGGTATTCCCAATAAGATACGATTCATATCATCAAGTAAAAAACGAATATATTCATGAGCATCTGCTTGTCTTCCTGGAGTAAAATTTCTGGACAAAACTTTCAAGTTTCGAACCAAATCTACTGGAGAATAGCTCTGAAAGGAAGTGTCCGAAGAAAAAACATTTTGGGCAGTCTTCTCTACGGCACAAATACTACAGTATCCCGAATGAGATGGACAATTGGATGCTGCAGAAAATATTTTTTCCAACAAGGCTGTGGCAAACGGTGGACAGTGTAACAAAGACTGTAACGCAGCATTCAGGAAGCAGGTATTTCCCAGGTTTCTCAAACCTTTTCCACTACGAAAGATTCTTTTCCACTCCAAAGTAGTAGAAGAACAAGGAGTAATCCAATTTCCATCATAACCACTTTTACTAGTGGTCATTGAAGACGTAGTGGAGGCTTTGAAGTGCTTCAGACTATGATGACTTTCACGAAATATCGTGCCATTTCCAGTTTGATTCTTAGCTCCGAGTTTCCCATCTTTCACAAATTCAATTCTTTCGGGAATGTTGCAGTCATTCTGAGTTACCATTCTTTCAGTTTCTAATGGAACAACACCGCTGTGTACTGTCATCCATCATAAGCATATCCTTCTCGGCCGACATTCACTTCCAATTACTTAAATTATTGGAGGATGATTTTCCAAACCGTTTGAGTAGCTATTCGCCATACTTTTACCAATAGTTTCAAGAGATAGCGTGTTTTTTATTTTACTTTGTAGAAGACTCTCTTGTTCTCATATTGTTTTCAAAGGACTACAAATTTCGTCGTGAAACCTCTCTCCTATGGCACACTTTGGTACAACTACACAAGCAAAGTATTGGCTATTTACTATCAAACAAGTTGACGAAATGAGAAAGAATAACAACCAAGAAGCAAGAGAAAGATGTAAGGACCGAGTATCCAATGGTGAAATCGAACCACTTACACTTGAAGAGGAATCCAAGTTGCGAAGGATATATGAAATAAAGATACAGAAGAATGCGGAAAAGCTAGGATTACCTGAGGCAGCTCAAGCTACAGCTGTTACTCTTTTCAAAAGATATTTTCTAAGGACAAGTGTTATGGAGGCAGATCTTTCAACTATTGCGTAAGTGAACTTTGCCACAAAGGCATCGCTCAGTTGTCCAGAGTTTTCTGATTCGCATTTTCTAGAATAACTTGTTTATATTTGGCAAGTAAGATTGAGGAATATTACATTCCTTTCAAAGAGTTTGCTGCAGTTGTAGAGACCACTCTTTCTGTGGAGCAGCTTCTTTCTTTTGAAATGGAGGTTATGCAAAGATTGGAGTTTCACATTTCTTGTTATCATCCTTATTTATCCTTTTCTGCAATCTGGTCTTTGTTGGAAGAATGTCATTGGAATATGGAAGCAAGGAATGACCTTGTAGACAAAAAGAAGCTTTATTCTTATGCTCGTTCTCTTATTCACACGAGTCTTCTAACTGATTTAATGTTTTTTCTCTCACCTGGACAGATTGCTTTAGGCATAATATCCTATGCATTTGCTCATTTTCATATTTCGTTTCCATTCGAGTTATTATTGAGTTTGAAGAGCGAAAGGAATGAAGAGTATACAGTGGATGAAGAGAATTGGCTTGCATTATGGGAACAATCAGTAAATGAGGTAAAAAAAGAAATGTCAACTTGTGGAGGTCTTGATACTTGGAATATTTCCACAGAAACAGAAGCACGACAACTTTTGAAGAAATTATCCTTTTGCAGAGATCCTAGAGTAGATCCTACGAGTACTGAATATTTGGAAATGGTAAAGAAGAGAGAAAGTGATAAGGAAATGAAACGATTGGAGAAGAATCGTGCATTTTCAGAAAAGAGAAAAAGAGAATTCGCTATGATTACTGGTATAGGAGAAGACACTTTTCAAGATTCGGAGACCATGTTAAAGAAAGACGTTGACTATTTACATACTGTTAACTCAAGTAAGGAATTGGAAGAGAAAAACGAGCAAACTATCCTGTTGGTTGAAGACAATAAGAACAAGAAGAGAAGAAGAAGAGGAGAATGAGAGAAATGGGTTCAAAGACTTTGGATGAGCAGCCATGGCTGGGTCTAAGTTATATAACTTTTAATATGTCTATTCATAAATTGTTCTTGAAAAAGGACTTTGTATTTCAAGCTTTCAAACAAAGTGTGTATTATGGTCAGAAATTAAGTTGGTCAACAAACCCTGTTCGAGCAGCCTTTCCTAAGAGTTCAACCTTCATAAAGAGCAAGGGACTTTATCCAGTGAGAGAACCAGCTTTTGCAAACTATAACGAGTGGTTGTCTAAAAGAACGTTTGTAACAAATTGGAATAGATATTTTATATCCGCTGTTGCTTCGGTTTCTTTAGTTGGGGCACTTTACGTTGTTTCAATGAGCAGCAAGACTATTCCGGATGCTGTGGCTTTGAATGGTACGGAGAAATTAGCTCCAACTGCTGTGATAGAACGACAACAAGACAACTCGAAGATAGCAAATACTTCACTGATATCTAATTTATTCCAAATTTATGATGACAAAGGAAAGAAAACAGACCTGAATGCTCTCTTTACTTCATTTAACAATAGAGAAGTGATTCTCATTGGAGAAACGCATGACGACTCTGTGGCACATGAGTTAGAGTTGGCTATCGTGCAACATTTATTTCAGAGACAATATTCAGAAAAAGGTATATTGAAAGGAAAGCTCAAGTGAATATAAACTAATTGTATTGCGTTTATAGATAGGAAACCTTTGATTGTTTCACTGGAATTTTTCAATTATGATATGCAGAGTTATCTTGATTCTTATATTGAAAAGAAACTGAGTGAAGCAGAATTTCTAGAGTCTTGTGTACAGCAACCTGGAAACATTGAAGATTACCTTCCCTTGTTACGTTTTTGTCGTGAAAAACACATTCCTATATTAGCATCGAATGCTCCGGGACAGTAAGTGTTATTCTGTGGAATCCGTCTTTTATAGTCATTTCTTTTATTTAGTATTATTGAAATGGTTCGTAAGGATGGCAAGGAATATCTAAGAAACTTAAAGGACGAAGACATTTTTGGGATACCACCATTACCATATCCTGAACCGTCTGCCTCATATGAAGCCAAGTTTATGGCTTTGATGAATCATCAATTGATGTTAGCTGCTCATGGAATGTGGAAGGACGATATCTACTCTCTTAGACAAAATGAAAATTTCCAAAGACGACTCAACAATTATTTGGAGGCACAAAATTTGTGGGATGCAAGTATGGCCTATCATATAGTGAACAAAATCGAAGAAAATCCAAAGGTCACTGTTTGTCATATTTGTGGGAAATTTCATATGGAAGGAGGTTTGGGAATCCCGGAACATTTACATAATTATGCCCCGCACTTGAACGTAGTTTCAGTTACCATTATACCTGAAGAAAGTTTGACTACAGAAGAATGCAAAAATGGTAATGGATTTGTCATTCGGACTTCGACCTTGGAAAGTGATAAGTAACCCAACCTTGTAAATAGTCTTGTGCCTAAACAAACTGTGGAACTTCTGGTTTCTTCTTCGTTGAAATAGACTGTTTATGTTTTGTATCAAATTGCTTCATTTATTTAAAACATTTCACTATCTAGGCAATCACACACCATGTGCTGAACACTGAAGAAGAATCGTCTCTCGTGTTATGACCTCCATCGTTGGAACCTTCTCTATACTAATTAACAAATATTTCAGTCCTATTCACGCTGTATCCAAAAGCAACTGTGCTTACAACACCCTTGGGAGATTTCTTGTCCTTGACTACACCACCAGAGGTTAATTTTACTTTACTTCTTTTCGCCCTCGTAGACTTTTCGTTCGAACTCTTCTTGGTTGCCCTTCGAGGTGTTGCTATGGAACCTTTCGTAGACTCTTCATAATCCAATTAGCATTGTCTGGTAAATAAGCCAACTTGACCTACTTCTTCGTTTATTAGGACTCTTCACTTTTCTATTATGGGTGACATCTTCCTTTTTCGCCTTGCTTCGCTGCTTAGTCGGTTTCGTTTCAGGGGTCTTAACGTGAGTTATAGATTCGTTATCTTCTACTTCTGTCTGCATATTTAACATAAATAAATTACCTACGTATCCATCAAAGAAAGTTCAAGAAATACGTCTACAGTCACTTACAACTAAACCACAATAAGACATCCAAAAATACCGATAGTTGCCGTTACAAATTCTGAAATTGGCTTTTGGTGAGATGAATCGATTGTCTCATCAGCGTCCTATTGGTAAGAAACAGGCAAGAGGTCACAGTAAGCCAGACTTGTCCACGATAGAAGGAAGTAGACAGTTTATTTTACAACACGATAAGAAGAAAAAGAAAAAGACTCATGATAGTTTGCCGAAAAGCGACTTTGTTCAAGTGCAATCACAAACAGAGGATATCACACCAACTCACAAATATCGAGACAGAGCACAGGAAAGACGTGAAAGAACTGGGACAACTCGTTATGATGAAAACGATACATTAGTGATAGGTGAGTTGGGCAATGAAGCTTCCGAATATTCTCCAATGGTAAAAGGACTGGACTACTCTCTTCTAAACAGAGACACTCAAGGAATTGCCCACTTTGACAAACAAGAAACTCCAAGCAAAGTTCAGGCACCGACGGAAGAACTAAATAATAACTCAGCACAAGAACAGTGGCCCTCTTTGGTATCCCAAATAGCCGTTTTGCAGTTCAGGAAAGAAGAAACACCAACTCCAACTGGTGTTCATCGAGTAGATAGTTTTTATCCAGGCAGAATGTATTATGTATATGAACTGGCAAAGCACGGTTTGAACGAAAGTAACCAACCACTTGTTGTTCGACATAGTAAGAAACGTATTTTTCCGTCGAATAGTATCACTTATGAATGGAGTCGTGATATTGCTAGCTCGATATGGACCAAAGATACGAGGAAAAAGTTGTCGTCTTTCAAGGAAGACGCTTTCCCATATAATAACGGCGAACCTGGAAGAATACATCTATTTTGGAATTGCAAAAAGCCTTCTCAAAGGGATATCTCCCCAGCAGTTGATGAAACAGACGATACAACTGCTGTTGATAAGGATGCTTCCAAGATGAGTTCAGTATGGCAAGTAGATGGAGCTTTGGCAGGAGCTGTTGAGGTAGAAAATGAAACAACAAAGCATTTCCATTATCCAAGCATCCAAAATGAAAATGAATCCCAAGAAGAGGAAATGGATATTTTTCAAGACATTGACTCGACTCAAGTGACTTGGAGTTATTCTAAAAATGAAACATAATTTCATAATAGTACCCAAATAAGCTCTCTCAGTATTGTAACTTCGTTTTTCTTTTATCATGCAAAGAAAACTTCTCAAGTATGAAATTCATTTTTCAGATTGCCTTCACAAGTGACTTGAGATGTAAACAACTTAAACACCATATACATTAATAATATTTATAGTTATTGTGTATATGTAAGTCAAAAGCACCTCTTCCCTGGATAGTCTTATCGACGAATTGAAAAGGGAGGAGACAAGCCAACGGTTCGCAAAGGATTTCTGGATGACGAATTGGGAACTAGACCAGAAGAATGATTGTTGTTGTTTGGGTACGCGCTTGAATGAACTGTTGTGTCTTGAGGCATTACGCCAGTACTTTCATCAACCGCATGAATAGAAGTAAAGGTTCGATCAACTACTTTTGGAGAAGGCACTTTGTTGGAATATACATAGTCTCCACCTGATGGTTGCTCAATGTTTCCCGGCATAGGTTTCTCATTTGATATTTCATGTTCGGCACGAACTGCACTATGACTAGCAGAAGTTGACTCTGACTGCTTTAACAGAGTCCAGTCAAAAATATTATCGTTGACAAACCCTTCTCTTTCAAAAAGGCCTCTAAATAGGTTTCGCAAGTAGCTATAATCGGGTTTTTCATCGAATCTAATTGTATTTTGTCATGACAAAAAATGAAGCACGACTTTGTAATAACTTACTTCAATGATCGGCAGTATTGAAGATATGAGGCGAATTCTCCTGGATATCCTCTACAAAGAACTTCTATGGGAGTATTGTATTTCTTTTCACTGATCTTTTGGTATTTTTGTTTCTTCGTGGCGGCCTTCAATCCTTGCCAAGGTAAACTTCCTCGTAACAAATACATAAAAACATAGCCGAGTGACTCCAGATCATCTCTTCTTCCTTGTTCCACTCCCAAATGAGTATTAATGGAAGCATACCTTGCTGTTCCTGTTAAATTTTTACCCTCGCGATAAGGAATATGAACATGTGTTTTCGGATCTCTATACTTTTTGGAGAGTCCAAAGTCAATGAGATATACGGTATTCGAGTTTCTGCCCAAACCCATCAAAAAATTATCTGGCTTAATATCTCTATGAATAAAGCTTCGGGAATGAACATATTCAACACGGCATAACATCTGGTCAGCAAGTAACAATATTGTCTTCAAAGAAAATTTGCGATGACAAAAGTTGAACAAATCTTCCACGCTTGGTCCTAAAAGCTCCATTGCCATAACGTTATAATCTCCCTCTTGTCCATACCACTTAACTTGGGGAATTCCCATTACGACTTGACCCTTTAAAAGTTTCAAACGACAACAACTACAACGCCAAAGCAAACTTACTGTAGGGCTAGAACACAAATATCGATATATTTTGCTTTCGTAGAGAAGTTGAGGGTGTCTTGTCTTCACACTTTCCAACTTGATGGCAACTTCTTCTGCAGTGTAAACGTTAATCCCTATTGTATATCAGAGAAAACTCTTTCAAGGAGCAAACAATGGCAATACTTACCGAGGTAGATATCCCCAAAAGAACCGGAACCAATTTTCCGTCCAAGCTTCCACTTCCCTCCGACTCTTAGTTCCATTCAGCTAATAAAAACGGCAGTCCGAAAAATAGGGGCAAAGGCCCAATACAGAAACAAAAACAGAAACTTGGAAAGCCAAAACCTACAAAACTGCAACGGCAAGTAAATATTCAAGGTTTAAGGTATGTTTCTCTTGAGTAAAAAGAGTCTGTAGCACTTAAACGATTCCTTCCCCTTTTTCAAGCCCTACAACGAACAACCGACAAAATAATTCGGATGCTCAAGAGGTGCATTTCTTCTTCAATGGGAAATAACTTGCCAAAAAGGCTTTGTATTGAATCTGGAAGCTTCAGAAGAACAAAACATTTGAACAATTGTTTCGTTTGATGAATATCTCATCCAATAAGCTATGTTCTTCTCCTTTACGGAACAACACCCTTATTTACTTTACTACAAAAAGGATGATTTTTATATCAACTCATCCAATTTACTTTGAATTTTCAAACTATGCTATGAAGAGTATAGTAATAAACCGCGTTCTCTCTAGACTTATAACTTTGACTCTCTATTAGAGAAACACATCATGAAAGAAGCCAACCTGAAAAACTATGCAACAAAAGTTGTTTGAATAATTAATTTCGTCTCATTCCAATTGTAAAATGTCGGATGAGGTAGAAACATCCAAAGACAACTCGGACTCAGTGTTCTATAGAAGGTAAGCGAACATACTGTTTAGAGAATACTTATATTTGTTGCCAAACAGTTATCAAGGTGAAGAGGACTTACCGTATATCCGAGCTCTTATAGTATGTAGTTCAATGACGGACTTGATAAGGACACACTTTTGAATAGGACAAAGACCTTTCGGAACCTTATTCAATATTTACGTATAGATACTTTCTGAATCAGTGGCCGCAACTATGTCTCCTCGTAAGTAGTCTCTTTATTGGTGAACTTCATACTGAACTTGCTAACATTAGGCATTCTTTCAAAAAGATTGTATTGGTTGCATAGTTTGTAAAATGGTAAGTATATATATTTTATGGGAATATTCTCTCTCGTGCTGATATGGTTGTGGAGGAACCAAGCAAGAGGAATATTCTCCGAGGATACATCGCAATGTTAGCAGTACGTCAAGATTTTCGAAGACAAGGTAATAGTTGTAGTAAATAAAACGAGAGTGACCGTTGAGTTGTATAGGAATCGGCATGGAACTTGTGAAAAGAGTAATTGAAAGAATGAAAATAAGTAATTGCCAGGAAGTAGTCTTGGAAACGGAAACTACCAACAAGGCTGCTTTGTGTCTCTATCGAAAGTTAGGATTCATTCGAGATAAATTATTGGTGAGTTGATTCTTTTTATATTTTGTTTGGTTTCTTTATCTTGGCTTAGGAACGTTATTATCTTAATGGAAACGATGCTTTTCGTTTGAAACTTCGTTTATGCTCCATATTCAATTCTTAAATTTTTACCCAGTTGTAAAGAACTTAGCTATCGAATATACCAACTCACCCTTTGATAACTATACCAAGCATCCTTTTAGATCAAAGTGTTTTTATTTTTTGACTTTAGGAGTTTAAGGACCTTGGTGAAACAAGTCTTCCAGTTTCTTCTTCATTTCTTCCAACTAAACAAGAAAATTTTTGAAAATATTCAGTTCCCAAAGCCAAAACTTACCTTGTCGTCAGAAATCTGACTTTTATCCTCTTCAGGTGATATTGTACCTTTTCCTTCCATTCTTCGCCACTTTTCAACTTCTGCCGAGTCAGTTTGTGGAGGTGACAACAGAGCTCCTCTCGGAACAAACCCCAAGCGTAACCCGCTATTTTTACAAAAGTCTGCAACTTCTTCAAATTTTATCAACTAATCAAATAGTAAGAACTGTAAACGACAAGGAGGCGTTTTCTTACTTCCGGAACTGGTTTCGGAAAGTCTTGGGCCTCCAACAACGCAGCATAGATTTTGGCTTCGTCTTGTTCTTGAAAAGCTAATACTACGTCAACACCACTAATTTTCAGACTATATATTCCTTGGTTGTTTGTACTTGGGTTAAAAATCAACACCCATATATTTGAAGGTGGCCTTCCAACCACGGGAGTGGCATCAGGGGGGAACTGACCCTTGTTTTGTCCTGAAGAGACTTCACTCATTCTCTTTTTAAGTATGTCCCAATCCAGTTTAGGACTCTCTGAGTTTTGTTCTTCTTGCGGAGGCTCTTCTTCACTCGGTTCTTTCTTTTCTTTTCCTAAACAACAACTTGTCTGAAGTGGTGACTGAAATAGCGTGATAGATCTTGTTCTCTTAGACAAATATACAGGAGTGATACATCTTTTGCACGCTTGTCTTGTATGCTCAGGTATGGAACGAAAGTAATACAAACCAAAAGTTACAAAAGTCAATGACATATCAACCAAGAAAAGATTCAAGTGAAGATGAGGGATTTACAGTCAAAGACTCCTATGGCTCACTTTGACCCTTTTTCAGACCAACTCGTTGTGGAAGATGGTCAAGTAGATTATTCTTTCGATCCTTTCACAGCTACAGATATTGAATTTCGTGATAAGGAAAAAGAGCTCTCTCTGATGAAGTTGCAACGGCCTAGAGTTTCTCTGAAATTTGAAGACCTGTCTGTGACTGCAGTTCAAAAGGAGGGCTGTTGGAGAAAACAACAACAACAGAAACAAATACTGAAAAATATCGCTGGAATTGTTTACTCTGGACAGCTGCTTGCTATAATGGGGCCATCTGGCTCAGGAAAGACCACCTTGCTCAACCTACTTGCTGGGAGGTTGTCAGCTTCCAGTAACTTATGTGGTAGCGGAAGCATCACTATTAATGGGAAAAAAAGGGATCCAGGTTCTTTCAAAAAAGTATGTTTATCCCTTTTTTACAAGAAAAACATACTTATCCGAACCAAAGTTGAGTGCTTATGTTATGCAGGATGATCACATGTTTGCAGACCTGACGATAGAAGAACAAATATCCATATCTGCAAATTTGCGTCTTCCAAGTAGTATTTCAGATGCTGAAAAGAAACGTAGAATTGAAGCTGTTATCTCTGAGTTGGGACTTTCTGGAGTAAAGAAATCTTTCATTGGTTCAGAAACGAAAAGAGGAGTAAGTGGTGGAGAAAGAAAACGTGTCAGTATTGGTACAGAGCTGGTGACAGATCCTTCCTTATTATTTTTAGACGGTAAGTTTCCAAAAGTACTCCGATGACTCTCATTTAAGCAAGTGATAGAACCAACCTCAGGTTTGGATGCCTTCAATGCGCAGAATGTTGTTCAGACGCTGGTTCGTCTTGCACGGAATGGCCGTGCAGTTGTAATGACAGTGCACCAACCGAGAAGCAACATATTTGGCTTGTTCGATATGCTTTTATTGCTTTCTGAAGGTCAAATCATTTATTTTGGTCTTGCAAAAGATGCATTGCCATATTTTTCGCAGTTAGGATATGAGTGAGTTTCCATCGATTGGTATAGACTTTTGTAATGAAATTCTTGTAGATGTCCTGAGCATTTCAACCCAGCGGATTACTTCCTGGACCTTATATCAATAGACTTGCGGTCATCTCAACTTGAACGCAACTCTCGAGGTCGAGTTTTATATCTTCATCGTGCATACAATGAAACTTTATTCGCTAACGGAGGTAATATGATTGTTCAAGGTAAGTTGGTTGAAGCCACTATTGAAACAGTTTTTATCCATTGTTGATATTAGATGAGATTTCGCCAAAGGTTGAAAAGGAAACAAGTCAAGAGACTGATGTTACAAATATGAACAAGTATGCTTATCCTTATTGGAAGGAATTCTTTCTCTTGTGCAATCGTGCTTGGAAGTTACTTATTCGAGAAAAGGGAGTTTCCTTGATTCGTGCTGCTCAAACAATGGTAACGTTATACAGTCATACTCTATACAAATTCTGATATGATTTCTTTTATAGATATTTGCTGTATTATTGGGTCTAATTTGGTTGAACAAAGGAAGAAATGTCTCTTCGAGCAATTATGTAGACATTGAAGGCATCCTCTTTTTTATTCTTATCAACCAAAGTTTCATTAGTATATTTGGAACTATATTTACCTTTCCACTAGAACGCTCCATCGTTCTACGCGAACGTGCGAGTGGAATGTATAGAGTGTCTGCGTATTATCTGTCCAAGACGTTGGTTGAGATACCCCGCTCCTTACTGTTTTCCTTGTTTTTCTGTGTTGTGGTAAGTAAGAAGATCTTTTTCTGTGGCACCTCTGCTGAATTATAAAGTTATATTGGATGGTCGGTCTGAGAGATTCAGCACGTTCCTTTTTTCTCTTTCTGGTGGTAATTTTCCTTACTTCATTGACTGCCGAAGGCATTGCGCTTACTGTCTCCGTACGTATAATGACTTTCGGTTGATAGGTTTTCATAGGTTTCGTAGGCTGGGGCTCCGACTCCTCAAATTGCTTCAGCTATTATTCCACTTTTCTTAGTTGTGTCTATATTATTTGGTGGTTTCTTTTTATCCAACGCACAAATTCCAAACTATTTTGTTTGGTTGAAATATATGTCGTTTGTGAAATATTCATTTGGAGCCTTGATGCACATTCAATTTGATGATTTTCAGTTTCAGCTTGTAGACTCAAGCTGTATAGTATGTGATGGAAATGAAGTTCTTTCTGTTTCGGGGACGACCGATTTTTCCTTAGGAGGAAATATTGGAGTAAGACAAGTACTTCAATTTGGTTTATATTTGTTGATATTTTTAGTTGCTCATTACCATAATGATGATCTTTCGCATATCAGCCTATGTGGTTTTGCGAATAAGAGGTCCAAAATATGACAAAAATTTGTGATTGAAAATAGCTCGTCGTTGAACAATCTACCCAACGCGCTTTTTACCGAAGGACTGTCAAAAGATGAGACTTTGGTGCTAGTCAAACCGATTTGAATCGAATAAGTAGCGTCACATACGAATAAATGGGGTTTTTGTCACTTTTTCCGTCATTAACGGACGCCATAACGTGTAAGACTTGTTGTTTTCATGTCTCTTCAGAATAAGCAATACGAAATTGCTCAACATATCGAAGACTTTTCCGCTGCTTTGGAGCAGCTCTGTGTCACCCCTTCCGATTGAAAGCTGATCGATCATCATCAGGCGTGAGCATTTCTCCGATCCCCCAATGACTGTCTTGTTTGGTCAGTTTGGTTTCTGCTGTGCCTGCTATGCTTATACTTCCAAGTTTTTTCATAACTATATCTTTAATCCTAAGCAAAAGTGTAAAGGTAGCTTTTATGGAAATTCGCTATTTTCGAAGAAGCAATCGTGCTATTTTTTGAAAAGACGTTACCTTAACCTTGTTAGTCGTCACCGAAGAAATACGAAAATACAGTTTTGCACAGTGAAATCCTGCTTGCCGAACAATCAGAATATTAACTTTTCAGAAGACAGGAGAACAACTTTTATTGACTTTAAAGAAAACGGGACACAAGTCGATGAAGACCACGAGTCCAAACTTTATCAACTCGAAGAAGATGAAGACGAACTGATCCAAGAGTACGCTGAAGATAACTTATGGGAAACAACAGCTGTCACTGAGAGATATGCTAGTTTGGACCAACGTGATTATCTCATATCTAAAAAGCTTGTTGAATATCTTGACGTAAGAAAGAACGAAGCCCAAATACAATCCGAGTATCCCATGGATAAAGATGCTATTTTAGATTGGTGGGTTGCTGCAGTAGACTCCAAAAAGTTTAAGGAACTACAAAACTTGTATGGCAACTTTGGCATTTTCTTTCTTGAGAATTTTCCCGACTTTGCTGAAAATAAACTGTATGAAGGAAAACTCACTCCGAAGGATAAAGCAATATTGAAAGCTAGAAGGTTATATTCTTGTATGGGAGTTCCCGCTATTGCAGATTCGTTGCTATTTGTCATTGAGCCTGGAGGTTCTCATTCACAAGGTTATCAGTTTGAGCAATTGGATGATAATGTTGACCGTTTGTTGGAGACTCTTCGAACTACATCGAAGCCCAATAGAGTTACCACTTTTTATTCTTATGTTGCTTATTGTGATGGCGAAAGAGAACTTGTGGAGGAAGGCATTTGTGAAGTTGACATATTCTTTGCACATAGCTCACAGGCATCGATTGCTTCCTCGACAGCATTTGATAATCTTATGTTGCGTTTGAGAACAGACCTTCATCTTCCAGCTTATCGTCCAGATGATGAAATGGACGTTATTCAGAATGCTGATGCGAAAGATGCTGCTTTGTTATCCAAATCAGTTTACAAACGACAAAAGTTACCTGGAGCAGTCTTGTTGGCTGATCGACTTTTACATGAAGCTGATTTACTTCAAGGTAATCTGATCAAAGTTACTTCTTTTCTTAATCATCAAGTGGATGTCTCTTTAATGGAGTCTTGTGGAAAGGACTTAGCCAGTTTGTTAAGAGACACCAATCCTACAAAGATTCTAACCATAGAAACCAGTGGTCTTTTACCTGCAATTACGGTGTCTAGAGAGTTGGGTCTTTTCATGGTTTATGCTCGACATGGAAAGTCAATTACGATGAGCGATTGCATTCACACTTTTTATCGAAGTCAAACCAAAGGAGAACTTTATGAGTTGGTTATATCCAGAGAGTATTTGGGAGAGAATGATCGAGTAGTTATCATTGATGATTTTTTAGCTGGAGGTTCAACGCTGGATGCATTAATTCGCTTAGCCAACATGGCAGGAACCGAGGTTTGTGGTATTGGAGTTTTGATTGAAAGAACAGACATGGGAGGAAGAGCGTTTTTATCGGGTTATAATATTCCGATATTTTCGTTGGTTCGGTTGTCTGTCTCCTCGGAAGGCTTAAGAGTAGAAAATATTGATAAATTCTAAGATTATCTCTACAGGCATGTGAATATGAATGATGGTTGAACCATTGATTATTGGTAGTTTTGTCAAGATATATACAAGATGTATAAATGGCACTCTTTAGTTGACTCTATCTACTGTTCCATAATTACCAAGTTGAGCTCTGAACAATTCTTTAACAAGGGCTGGGGTGATAGAAACAGCTTTGAGAGGCAGCAAAGTTTGTTTGTTGAAAAGTTGAAACAATGGAAAGAAGCCAGAAACTTTGGAAAACCCTTACAAGGCCCTGACATCACTGAAAAGCAGTTGCGTTGGATTTATGATAGTTTGTCATATTCAAACGTTTCTTCAGCTGGTGACTTGGCTGGAATGAACACGAAACAGCCTTGGTTGTGGAACCGAGTAGCAGAACTGTGGAAACTCCGTCTCCGAGAAGCTTGCTTCCTCACTCCAGCAATAGAATGGCTCAACGAAACTGGTTCTTTGGTAAGATTGCATCAAGACAAGCCCAACTCATCAGCAATATTGAGTGCTCCTTGTAGTCTAGTTTTCCTGGGGAGACAAGAATGGCTCGATTTCTACTCGTAGAACCTTTATATAAATCTGATTCTTCTTTAGTCATTCATCTTGCTGCTACAGGTGACCACGGTTATAACCGACGACTATTTTGCTTTGCTTTACCTTTGGCAAACCATGGTATTTCCTCCGTGATATTAGAGAATCCCTATTATGGAAGCAGAAAACCTGTTCACCAAGTTGGCTCTAAATTGGCTTATGTACAAGATTTGTTACTTCTTGGGTTTGCAACGATTTTGGAGTGCATGTCTATAGCTAAGTATTTCTCGGAGGATGTTGAATATAGAAGTATGTGTTTCACAGGACTCTCACAAGGTGGCCTACATGCTGCTATGGCTGCCTCTTTATATCCTTTTTCAGTTGCGACAGTGGCAGCTTTTTCACCTCATTCTGCAGTTCCAGTATTTACGGATGGTGTGTTGAGACAATCGTGTTCATGGAATCAGCTAGCTGCAACTATGAATGAAGCAGTTCAAAGCTCATGTACTATCCAACATCCAGAAGATAGCCATGAAAGAACAGAATATGATCACCTAGCTTCTTCACCACAAGTGAGTCGATATATTGATAGAAAGGAGCAAACCGTTCGATCTCAGTTAAGGATTGCCCTTGAGATGAGTGACATTCGTCATTTTCCACAACCTGCAAACCCCAATGCTGCAATACTTTTGGCTGGAGAGAATGACAAGTAAGTTTCTGAGTGTTCTTATTAACAAAGTATTTATTCTGTCAAGATATATTCCAAGAGAATGCGTTGAAATGTTTTCCAAGGCTTGGCCTCATATGGAGATACGTTGGATCCCAAGTGGTCATGTAACAGGTTTTCTTTTCTATCGCCAACATATATTCCAAGCAATATTAGATAGTTTGGCTCGAGTTTAGTGATTTTCTATTTATAAAATGAACAGTAACAGAAATAATTACTTTCTCGACAGGAAATAACAGTCATATCTCTAAAGGAATGTCAGTGCTACTAACAATGTCTATATACATTGTCTATTGCTTCCTCGTCAATACAAAGTCAGCCATCTCTAACAATGCTTGGCGGTAGCTGGTGTCCTGCAATGTTTGAGTAATTCCTTCTTTCGCTAAGCAACAGTGTTCCTTGGCCAAATCCAAAGTTCGTTCTATGCCTTTACTTTTCTCTACGGCACCTAAGGTCTTGGAAATATCATCGGGATACTGAAACCTTCTCTTGGCATATTCACGTATCTCTGGAAACTGCTCTATGGCAAATAATACTGGTGCTGTAAGAGTACCTTGGTGAATATCCGCCAAGGCTGGCTTCCCCAAGCTAGAGGATGTCCCTGTAAAGTCTAAAGCGTCGTCCACCAACTGATAAGCTAAACCCAAATGACGACCATATTCAAAAGCCACTTGAACTATCTCTTTCGGACAATTTGAAAGAAGAGCCACAGCTTGGCAAGAATTGGCAATCAGCGAAGCTGTCTTGAGAAATGTCTTCTGTAAATAAACTTCCAATTTGTCTTTTGAGTTATCTTCATCTGCAGTCATTTGTAAGACTTCTCCATGTACCAAGTGCTCAATAACTGTGGACAACAATTCCACAACATCACAATTCCTCAATCTCGCTAAACTCACTGAAGCACGTGACAACAAAAAATCGCCAGCTAAAACACTAAGTTGATTACCAAAGAGGGCATTAACTGACTTCACTCCTCTGCGAGTGTCAGCAACATCGATAACATCATCGTGTAACAAGCTGGCTACGTGTATTAGTTCAGCTATTTCTGCCAATTTTAACTGGGAAGGTAGAATATGGGGAGAGCTTTCCATAGAGTGACTTTCGTCGCTATCTCGAGCACTGGTTGAATCAACTCGCCTTGAATGGGTAGCATTCACTGCATATGCCATAAGTATCACTATAGTTGGACGAAAGCGTTTACCAGTAATGTTGAGAAAGTAACTCGCTGCTCGTTGTAACACAGGATGATTTACAGCCACTGCTTCCTCAAACGATTTTGCAATACCTGATAACTCCTTACCTACCAGTTTGAAAGGATTCAGTGAATTCATATCACGACTGAATGGTAACGTTGCAGCTTCTTGAAACTTCTTGGACAAGCCCAAAAAGGCATCGTTGAGGAATTGACCAAAAGCGTCAGAACTGTAAGGCACAGCATCGCACCTGCAAAAATTGAATCGGTAGCTTCTTTTGGAAACCAGATTATAACAAGTTGATATTTCAGGGTGTCTTATGCCAATGTGCCCTAAGTAATACGTGACGTATGAGTTACGGACCGTCCTCCACATTGAGAACCCAATCCTACTCTCTCTCTCTCTCTCTCTCTCTCTCTCTCTCCCCCCAATACCAATTGCTTTCAGAATCCTTTTGCATTCAATCCCTTCGTCTTCGATGTAAGCGAAAAACACAACAAGCAATAGAGAGTCTTTTACAGAAGATGGGTCGATAGAATGAGAATTAGTTTGGACAATACAATTAAGTATAAAGTGGATGAAAATAAGTGGGTCTTGTAAAAAGTCGAAGCTTGAAGGAACGTTGTTGACAGCCGTTATAACCTTTCTCAGTTTGTCTCAAAACATTTGTCAAAGGTTCACCAAGCTTATTATTTATTAGTATATTTCAGAATGATGTTTGTTTTAAAGCCAGTTTTTATCTGGCATTTACTTTCATGTGAAAAATAAACCCGTAAAAATGGAAAACAAAAACTATCTCTATGTCGTTGGATAATTTGGTTTTAGCGTGTAATGTCTGTCGAAGTTGCATCATTAGCTGCTCTGGATTGAAACTTTGGTAGGAGAAGACTACTTTCAAAAAAAGCTGGAAACTAAGCGTTCCATAGAAAGCAGTTAGAAGGAGACGAAACAGTCAAAGACGGTAACTCACTATCATGTTATACCCTTGAAAGTTAAAGGAAAGTAGAATGAAGAACGGCTCGAGTCGTTACTATTTTATTACAGAAATATATGCCCCTCTCAAAGTTTACCAAATTTTATATTGAAGCGTTATCTTCATTGTATTTTACTTGGACGTATTCATTTTGAGTCATGTAAGATCGTCATTAGACACGCTCAGAAAAATTGAAAACTAAGATGCTTGTTCCATTCTAATAAAAGCATTGCAAACTTTTATCGCAACCATAATTGCACGATTTAAATATAGAAGAAATCTAAACGCTTCGAAAATTCACAATTTCTGTTGCAAAAATTTAGAAAATATATACTTCGCAGTAGTCAACCAATATCTGCAGCATGCTAATGGGCATCTAAGCAGAGCCAGACACGAAGTGGACGTGAAAGTAGGATTAAATGAGAAAGCTATGAAAATTGGCTATACATTTATATAGAGCCAAGCAATGAATGGCCAACGAGAATGATCACAAAACATTTGGACACGAAATTTCTGTGATCCAGTCAAGTCATCTCAATTTTCCAACAAAGGTTGTGTAGTCAAGAGGGACATTCTCTTCCTTTAACACCATCCTGCAGGTGGCTTAAGATGCCTCCAAAAAATAAGCAAAACAGAAATTGTCAAGGAGACAAAATATATCCTCTCTCAAAGAATACCATAGATAGAATCTTGTCACCCTCAAAAACTTTATATAAACCAAAGAAGCAGGCCAAGAACGCTATAAGCTCCAAAGATCTTGAAACGCAAACTGCTACTGCTTGTTTTAGGTCCGTGAAAAAGACTTCCTTTTCTAAACTCAACGGTAAAGAAAAATACACAAACGTTCAAAATACATGGCAATTCAACGGAAGTCAAGTCAAAACCTCTTATGATGTAGTAAATTATCAGATGAACAGAAATTCCTCAAGTAGACAAGTCAGAAACGAAAAAAGAGTATATAACCTAAACATTGGAAAGTACGGAGGAACGAAGCTTGAGAAGACACAACATGAAACAGAAGAGATGCAAGAAATGGTCTGTTATCGTTAAAATTGCTCATTTGTGTTTTATGATCTGAAGTTTACTTAAGCGATGCATTTTCAGTTTGTGGCTTTCGATTATAAACTTTTGTCCTTTGTTGGTCAAAACTGAATTTCAAATTGTTTCATATTCACATTTACACTGTACGTTAGAGATAGTCCAGTTGCGTTTAGATTCACTTTTGAAAAAGTTTTCCCTGAATTTGTAATATATTCTTTTCAAATCTATTTTGAGCTCCTCATTCTGATGAGCTCATGAAGTAGTAAGACTGTTCTTTGTTGCCTTTTGATCGCTCTGAGTGCATAACTAGTCGATATTTCAGACGACTGAAAAGAAATGAAATGGGAAAATTGTCCTCCTCTATCCTATTTCTTGTAATATCACTAGAATAGGTGTATTTGCTTGCAAGAATTGTAGACTTTTCAAGAACATAAGCATTCTCGAGACCTTGCTAGGTGACAGTGGATAATCAATTAAAATTCTGAACGATAGTCATCTCTTTATCAAATAAAGTAAATTTTGTTTTTAGACTTGACCACCATTTTTTTTCTAATACGTTGATACTGTTTTAACAGTGGAGAGCAAAGACATCGTTCTCGTTGATGAATCTTACTTGACAGAAAGAATCCTGCTTTACAAAACATTTTGAGGATTTCGGTGATTTATTGAATATTTCGGAATGTCAGTTAACTGAAAAAAATGCAAAATTGTACCGTTTTTGATAACACAAATGTAATGCAGTGTTCAGGTGGCTACTAATTTTATATGGAATAGTTCGAATAGCAGCAAATTTAGGAATGCTACTAAATCAGGCTGCTGATTAATGAATTTGGATCCAGATAGGAATCAATCGGTTACAATTTTCTATGCAAAAACCAAGAGTTGAATATTCAGAACTTGAAAGAAGGAAATTGAGAACTTGTTTCATGTTTGGCTTCTATATTTGGATGATATAACACACAAAACTGGGCATAATTTCTCTATCTTTGCAAAGAAAATGTTCTCTTTTCTTTTCAGATTCTCAGATCTCGTAATTATTCAAAAGGAATAGAATATAGGTAGGTATTGGGATAGAATAGATATCTTACAGCTAGAACGTCATGCCTTGTGAGAAAACCGAAAATTAACTCTTGGGTCTTAAAAGAAGAAACTTGTCCATAAGACAATCAAGTTCAACAAACTGAAACCATGTCTTTGCAGACACTTTATGCTTCGAGTCTCTGAAATAGGTATGATAAGCTGGATCTCAGCGATGTAAGAAATGTTATAACATGTACTGCCTATGAACATTATGCATTCTCAAGATGCCAACGTTTCAGTTTCTAGAATTGGATTGAATCTAGATATTAATAGGATTTCCTTTGTACGCCTTGAAAACAACATGATACGCCTTTCTATCGGATCATTTCGATACGGGAATCAAGATACAACAAGATTCGATTCGAATTGCTCTGAGAATTATTTTAAAGCGAGGCGTCATCATCATGTCCTTTGAAGTCGGTGTAACGAAACCGCTTCTGTTGGCGACAGGAAAGATGCCAGCTGCTCAAGACATACAAGTCATTCCTGACGAAAACTTTGACTCTAGAGAAAAATCTAAGAGCTTAGAGTTAACAGCAGGCTTCGATAAGGAACTGCAAGTGTCTGAACCACTGTCAAATAAGGAAAGACGCTCAGCTATTCTGAACATTGTCTTTGCAGGCATTGCTCTTACTTCAGATGGTTATTGTGAATCAGTCGTGAACCTTATCAACGTGTTCTTCTCTGCTTTGTATCCTATACAATTCACCTCGGCAATGAGTACCAGGATAAGTAACGCACTTTTGGTTGGAGCTATCATAGGACAACTCGGTTTTGGTTTGATAAGTGATAGAATTGGAAGAAAAGTTGGTCTTCTATGTACTACTGCCTTCGTTATTGTGGGTTCTCTGTTGTGTAGTGCTGCCTATGGAGCAGGAGGCTCAGTTGAAGGACTGTTGTGGGCTTTAGTAGTTTATCGTGGCATCGTTGGTGTAGGTGTTGGTGGTGAATATCCTTGCTCTTCTGCCAATGCTAGTGAAGCTACGGAAGAAACTATTCCACGTTCAAGAGGTGGTGTCTTTATCATGGTCACTAATTTCGCACTAGTCATTGGAGGTGTGCTTTCAATAATCGTCCAGGTTGTTCTCTTGAAAATATTCGGGACAAATGACTTGGAACCCGTATGGAGAATCTCTTTTGGTTTGGCAATAGTCCCCATTTTGAGTGTATTCTATTTCCGTATTCGAATGCTGAATTCTAAACTGTATCGAAAGGAAGCAATGAAGAAGAAAGTTCCTTATATTCTCATTCTTCGTAAATACTGGAAGTATTTAATTGGTACCTGTGGAACTTGGTTTCTTTATGACTTCGTGGCTTTTAGTAATGGTGTCTTTTCCTCCACCATTTTGGAGAACGTTATTTCAGGCACCGATATCATGAAGACAGCCTATTTTCAATTGATACTAAGTGCTCTTGGTATTCCTGGTTTAGTCATTGGAGCACTTACTATTGATAAAATAGGTCGCAAAAAGCAACAGTTTATTGGCTTCTTGGGATATGGCGTTATGGGAATTTTGATCGGTGCCTTATTTGGAAAGTTGAGGAAGTATACTGCAGCACTTATTATATTATATGGGGTATTCAATAGCTTTGGAAACTTTGGTCCTGGAGATGCATTAGGTTTGGTTAGTTCGGAAATCTATCCTACTGCTGTGAGAGGCACGTGTTATGGTATTTCAGCGGCGTTTGGTAAGGCAGGAGGAGCCATCGGAACGCAAGTATTTTTGCCTATCCGTAATGCTTTTGGAGGAGCTTCCAGTACTAATGGAAATCGTGCGGTATTTATTGTCTGTGGAGGAGTTTCACTCTTAGGTGCTCTCTTATCTCTTATATTTATACCGGACTACTCCAAACGTTATTTGAAAGCGGGTGATGAGGAATTTCACGAATATTTGAAAGATAATAACATTCATGCTCTTCAAGGGGAATCTCTAGAAGCATCTGCATCTTCGAATATGCTTCACAGAACTTAAAAGGACACGTAATCGAAGCCAATGTGCATACGTTACACAATATCAATGGGAACCAATATTTCTTGTCTCTGTTCTGTCACTGTATTTCCAATCCATAATTGCAATAAACGCTGCAAACATGATATATCCTGTAACAAGGCCAATCATCCAGAATCGAATATGCAATGGAAAGTATTCCGTCCACTTCTTTGGATAAACATATCGACCAAACTTAATGGAAATGAACAATTCTGCGGTTAACGTGGCCACCAAAATCCAAGCTTGACTTCCGAAACGTTGACAAGTAGGATCTACTAGAAACTGGTAAAATTCCCTTGCACTTGGAAAACCTTGCAATGCAATGATCAAAATCCGATAGACATTTAAAGATGATTCAACCTGAACCCACAAAATTGCTTTAAGAAAGAAGGCATTCAAATCAGCGACTTCCAAAATGAATATCACCAACGAACACGCTACAAAATGTCGCAATGAGCCGAAAATAGGCCAATGCAATTTATCAAAAGAAGACGGTCCAAGAGTGCCTATCAATTCTCTCCAGAAATATTTCTTCGAAACAGCACCGTCACCTCTCCATGAATACTTTTTCGTTTGAAGTACTTTGCAAGCTACTAATCCAAGCTCAATGCCAACAAGATTGCAACATAAAAGATCGAGAATGATCGAGTCCCACCAACATTCGTTAAAATTTGGAAGCATACCCTTCAACAAATACTCCAAAAGTTCAAAAAGTGCACTAGCAAGCCACAATACAATTCGATCCCTAATCATGAGTGCCTTCACAAACCATCCCAACGTATGAGCTACAACAAAAGCGTCTAAAGCTGAAGTCAAATTTACCAAGGACCCTTCAGGATTATCAGGTGTCCACAGACGACAGTCTTCGCCGTACGATCGGTCTGGTAGAGGTTGACCAGCATTGAGGGGATCCATATATCCAATAATTTTTCTTGCATCTGATACGTTCTGAAAGAGTAAAAAGACCAAAAACATCAGGTATAAAAGTGAAATTCCCATGACAAGCCTCCAAACAGCCGGATGGGGCCTCTGAAAAAAACCATCACGAAACTGCAAAATTCCGTAAATGAGAAGAGGTAGACAACTGCACAAAATGCCTTGAATGACATTAGACACTGTGTCAGTTCCTTGTTCGTTTCGCCAGGCAAGATAAACTATGAGTCCTAAAAACGCTGCTAGCAGGGACGCTGTGTGCGGTTTCTGGAATATGACATAGCTAGACTGTTCAGTTTTTTCTCCTTCTCTGACTAAAAATTTCGAAAACATACTACGACCAGTAACTTCAGTTCAAGTCCGGTTCAACTCTGAGACCAGAAAGTACAAAGCCACCCGTAGGCAAACTCGACATGTTCGGATGAGACCGACCCGAAATCATTTGATGCTCCAATTGAGAACATTCTTCAAGTTGTATCGCAATAACCAGTGGACATTTCAGTAACATATAGTGCAACTCAGAAAGATAACTTGAAGAATAATGATAAACAGCAAAGGAGCCATTTGGAACCAACTGAGAAATAAGTAATATTATCTTTTCCCACGTGGGTTCTCTACAGGTAATGATAAGAGAATTAAAGCCTTCTCGCAAAGTTTGCTTCAGTTGTCCAACTATGGGACGGTAATATTTGTTCGAGTCCTTTGTCAAAGAAACATCAGACGCAAAAATATCGGAATCACTCTTTTGAAAAAGGAAACGAGTATCCTTCCTAAAAGAAAGAGGGAAACCATCTCTTTCTTCTTCAGAGTATAACAAAGTCAACATATTCATAGGGCAAACAATGAAACGTGGCGTTCTGCGCCACTCAACTAGAGAAGGGAAAAAGTCAAGAAGTTCTAAACCAGGAGGGTGTTCACCTTCAAATATGGTGGTGATAAAAACTCGTTGTTGTGTTCTCTCTGCCACAGAAGCACAAAGCAAACCTAAAGTATCTTCGAAAATAAGAACCTGAGATAATTGAAATATATCCTATGAAACTCTTGATAGCCATTTACCTTGGATTCGACTACAATGTTGGCCAATCTTAACACGAGCCCCACTGAGACAGGAGAGAGACGAAGGATAGCTTCTGGATTCTTTTTCAAATACCATTCACAAAGAAGACAACAAGTTGGCTTCTGTACCAATACGGAAACCATGTGCTTTCTCCTTTTTCTTGAGATATACTTTTCTTGGGCATACCGCGAAAGTTTTGAAAAGCTTGGATTCTTCTGAGATAAAAGCTTTACCAAGTCCTCTCCAACAATTCCAGCCTTTCTTAAACGCTCTATGTCTTGTGCCGTAAAAGAAGTTTCACTGCCAATCAACTGAAAAAGGAAAAATATTGTGAATTTTTAGAAAACAATACGTTTCAGTTTACCTCGTCACAATTATAATTTGTAGTTTCTCCATAAGCAGCTTCTTCCGCCTGTTGTCTCTGTTGAGACTCGTTTTCTTGTGACTTTACAGCAAAATCAACTCTACAACCAAATTTGGGGGTTGGTAGCTCGGAAAGACGAAACTTCCTGCCTCCTACTTTTACGGTACGGTTTGGATAGTAACGAACAAAAGTAAGGTCTTTAGAAATATCAATAGACTGCAAAACTATCCAATCACCCTCTCTAACAGTCTCTTCCATGGAAGACTTGAATGAATATGACGAGCGTTTATTACAAACAAGACTTTTCAATCAACGATTGGACGGTGAAGAATTGGAGTTGCCAAATAAAGATTGGAAGCTTTGCATGGCAGCGTTCATAACTTCAGGATTATTCAACAAACTCATAAGGTTGTTTGGATCCCTTTCTATACTTTCCATTGCTGCTCTCAAATGAGGATTCGAATTCAACTGTTCATACAATGGGGAATTTTGTAAGTTTTCAAAAATATTCGCAATGTTATCGTCGTTTCCCGTTGTTGTCTGTTGTTCATTGGTGTTGCCGTTTTCACTATTTTCCGCTGTTTCTGAGATGTTGTTGTTATTATTAGCACCACTTCTCGTCTGTGAAAACATCCGCTGCAAATCGCCAGATTGAAACATGCTGGAGGCTGCTTGCATTAACTGGGGATTCTGAAGCAGCGACTGGAATAACTGATTAGGATTAGTACCACTGGGAGAGTTCGTACTGGAAGAATTCCTTTTCTTTACAAGCTCAATTATCTCAGTCATTCTACCATTGTCAGGTTCCATTTCTAAAACTTCCTTTGCTGTTTTCAACGCTTCTTCGAACATTCCAGCCTCATAATATGCCGAAGCGAGACGTTCTCTTGGACGTACAAAGGTCGGATTGAGAGAAATTGCTTGTCTACAGTCGTCAATTGCACTACTCAACATATTCAAGTGAGTCTTTGCTGCTGCTCGGTTAGAATAAAAAACAGCATTCAAAGGATCAATTTCTATCGCGGCAGAGTATTTCTGCAAAGCTTCTCGATATTTCCCTTCTCGCATACACTCGTTACCTTGCAACTTCAAACCTTCCGCTTGTTGCTTTTTACTGTCCTCGAAGGAACCTTCTGTTCTTTCGGAAAGGTGAGGAGGGCTATCTTTTGTACTTTTCTCAGTCACCTTTGATCCAAACTTTTGTAAAAACTTTTCCTTTGCCTTTTGCACTCGTTGTTCATATTCCTCGGTCCCCGGCTTAACTCCTTGAAAGTAATTGGTTCGTCTCAGAGTTTCCAGAAAAGAATCAAAGCCAGAGAGAGAGTCTTCACTTTTACCTTTCTTCTGGACGTTTTGGTCTTCGGAATGCACTGAATGTAACCCTCTCTCGAAAACGTCTTCCAGCTTATGTCGGAGTTCCACGGACCTTCGGGTTCCATCGAAGTCCTCCAAACCATATGCCTCTGAAATACACTGTATTGCAACTTCCAGTTGTTCGCCTTTCTCTACAGAGGTTTTCTTCTCTCTCTCTAATAGTTCTATTATAGAATGGATCAACAACTCCTTCGTACCACTGTTACTGGACATTGTGCTTAATCGTTTGTCGGGCGAGAATAATTTTGAAGAATGGTTTCTCTCACGACTTTGACGCGTTATTATTCACAAAGTAAGTAGTAAGTGAACTCTTCGGTGTTTCTAGTTGAATCAATTTTGTTTAGATTCTATGAAAGAAGTTTCTGCAAAAACAGAGGAGGGGTTAAATATTACCCCCTTTCTATCTGAGCCACTCAAGGCGCTTTCTCTTTTGGAAGAGGACGCCAACCTTGAAGAAACAGGTACAAGGAAGGAACACTTATTGTTTGTTTTTTTTCACACCCATATTTTAGGAATATTGAATTCCCAGGTTAACTGTCTTCAACTCTTTGGCAGTGAAAGGGATTGTTATCGTCGAAGCTTGTGCGTCGACTCCCTTAGGAAGCCCCACTTTCAGAAAGCACAGCAGATAATCACACAAGACGACACAAAGGAACGTCTTGGCTATTTGGAGGAGTCTCAGCGTCCAAGTTCCACTTCTATACCTACTTCTATTTCCAGCATAATTCTGGAACTTGTGCCTTGGAACGACTTATCTCTCAAGGCCTTATTCAACTACTACCAGAATGAGATTAGAGAAAAGGATGTTGCTGTATGTGTGGGGTTGTTATCATTAAGGAATGATCAATCTTCTAACTGGGAAACTTGGAAGTATAGTGGCGACACTGTCACTCCTCAGTTGCCGTTATCTTTGTTTTCCAGACTAATACTAGCACTTTCGAGTCAAGAAATTAGTTCAAATGAAAGTGACAGTCATAAGAGTCGTTCTCCTTTGGATATTTTTATAGATGTTGTCCTAGAGTGTCTTCCAAGCCTTGATTGGCAACAAGTAGCTCGATGTCTTGACTTCCCTTCGTTCTATGTGAAGGACACAAAGGTGTTGGAAAATTTAGTGAATGTATACAAAAAAGCAACAGGGGTACGTACTCTATTTCTTTTATACGGTTGGGGATGGGCCTTTATCCATGTTCACAGCCAAAGGAAAAGAATCTCATAAAGTCTCAGCTGAGAGGACTTTAAATCAAGTTGAATAGACTCATGTATCCCCACCTGGACTTACAATGGGCTCTTTCTAATGTCTTTTTTTATAAAACATCTAACACCGACTTGTTCTTTCTAGGATACTTACTTTCCAGCACATATTCTCATGAAAAGATGGAACAACGTACGTGGACAATTGTCCTTCCTTGCAGCCAGTCTTTCCTGTACGTATCCCAAAGTTAACTTTTGGGATTTGAGTCCAAAAGTTGCTCCTTTTGAAAGCGTTGCCGTGAAACTCGATGAAACATATGCAATAACATGGTCTGCAGTACCTCTTATCGACACTTTATTAGAATTGGCAGAAACGGAACACTATATGGCAGTTCGGCTGATTTTCGACATTCCTCTTAAACATTGCCCAGAAGTTCTACTTTTGGCCTTGTCACAATGTGAACCTCGCTGGAGCAAGATGTACCGAGAACTCGTTCATATCCTCTTCGTCTTGTTTTTTGATAATCATCCCAACTTCATGCCTGTTGCTCGGAGATTGTATTACGTCAATGCAGACTTACTGAAATATGGCATAGTTGAAGCGTGGAAGAAGAGCCCTTCATGTCTTACCCGTATCTTAGATGTATGTCAAGACTTGAAAGTTGTACCGGAAGTGTTGCAGCATTCGAATTGTTCTCAGTTTTCGATCGATTTGGCAGTTTTAGCAGCACGAAGAGAATATTTGAATTTAGAAAAGTGGTTGACAGATGAGATGAAAGAGAACGGTCCAGAATTCTTCCAGGCTTGCATTGAGTATTTGACAAAGAAAATTCAGTCTTTTGAGGAGAAACCGGGAGCTTCCGGAATGATTTTTAACCTTGAAGCTACAGCCGCAATGTTTAAGGTTTTGCACTCTTTTGTTCATTCCATGCCGTCAGGACTTGTTGACTCTTTGAATCTTTTGTTTGCGAATTATGTTCGAATGAACCCCAGAATGGATACGACATCTAACAAAGCGTTGAATGATCTTTCTCAGTCCAAGTCAGTAAGTTCTACTGAAACTACTGGCCCAGCTTCTTCGGATGTATTTAGCTCTGATATTGAAGAAGAAACCAACTCATTCTTCAAGAAGATTTTCTCATCTAAACTTAGTGTAGATGAAGGTATTGAGCTTTTAGAAAAATACAAAGCATCAAGCGATGTACGAGAGCAGCAACTTTTTGCTTGCACTATACACAACTTGTTTGATGAGTATCGGTTTTTTCCAAACTATCCAGAGAAAGTTTTGAAGATAACAGGAGAGTTATTTGGTGCTTTGGTAGAGCGCCAACTTGTCACCGCTTTAACTTTAGGAATAGCTTTGAGATACGTTCTGGAAGCTTTGAGAAGACCAGGCAGAATGACTTTGTTTGGGTTGGCTGCTGTGAAGCGTTTCCAAAATCGTCTTTCTGAGTGGCCACAATACTGTGCCCATATTACTCATATCGCCCATTTAAAGGAGGAAGACCCTGCTTTATTTGAGTCGATACGCAAGAATGCTAAGAAAGTTAATGAGGAAGAATCCAACTTTCGTTCTGCAGTGTCGAGTCCAATAAGTGCACCTCTGAAGACAGAAGATTCTAAAGAATTTCATGAAACCAAGCCTGTCGCCTCATCTCCCAATGCTACTTTCTCCGATGCACCAGAACAGGTTATGTCTGAAATGGCTGGAATGTCTCTGAATGATAATGTTCGATCTGAGAAGATTGAAACATACGTTGGTTTTGGGACTCCTTTGAGTCTTGAAAGTGTTCTTTCATCTAGCGGATATAATACCTCCGCAGTAGCAACCCCTGAAGAGGAAATCCAAGAGAAAATACACTTTATCTTTAATAACTTATCGAGTAGCAACCTGGAAGACAAAGCCGAAGAACTTGCTCAATGTTTGGAAGCTGACTTTTTGGAATGGTTTTCGCAATATTTGGTCGTCAAGCGCGCCTGTATCGAACAAAATTTTCAAGAGTTGTATGTTGCCTTTTTAGAAAAGCTGCAGAAATTCTGGAATAAGGTCTTCCAGCTAGTATTGTCCAAATCATACGAATACGTCAGTATTCTCTTATCTTATGAAAAGATACGTTTTTCTACTTCAGATAGAACCTTGTTGAAAAATATGGGGAGCTGGATTGGTATTCTGACGCTTGCAAGGAACAAGCCGATCCTTGCAAAGGACTTGGATCTAAAAAATATTTTATTAGATGCTTACAGCAGAGGACGCTTGATAGCCGCTATTCCATTTACTGCCAAAGTGCTAGATAGTTGTAAAAAGTCAAAAATATTTCGTCCTCCTAATCCCTGGCTGATGGCAATACTTGGTCTTTTAAAGGAGCTGTACAATCTCCCTGATTTGAAGTTAAATCTGAAATTTGAAGTGGAAGTTCTGTGCAAAAATATCTCCGTTGACCTAAGAGAAGTGCATGTTTCTGATTTGCTGAAGGATAGACCTTTGCCAAGCCGTGATGGCAATCCGGACTTTTCTATCAAGCCGGCATCATTTTCATCCCCGTTTCGAGATATTCCATCGTCACACAAAGGTGTATCTGCTGTAGACGAAACTACTCCTTCTCATGTGGAATTTGACTCTTCTACAAAAGTGCCATCGAAATCCCCAGTTGTATTTGGAGATATGAAGTTAGACAAGACTGAATCTATTAAGTGGGACTCGGAAAGCTACAAGGATAAGAATATTTCTCATCTTTCTGCACCGCAAGCACTTTATATGGCAGCAACTGCACCTCCAGCAAATGCTGCAGCAGCTGCAGCTACTGCAGCAGCGGTTGCTGCGGCTGCAGAAGGTGTCACTGTTATACCCAACTTGGGAAGTTATATTGTTGTGAATTCTTCACTCTCACTTTTAAAGAACATTCCGGAGCTGAAACGTCTGCTTCCTGTTGCAGTAGATCGTGCAGTTCGTGAAATCATTCAGCCAGTAGTTGAAAGGAGCTGCCTTATTGCAAGTATTACCAGTAGAGAGTTGGTATTGAAAGATTTTGCCTTGGACAAATCGGCGGAGCATTTAAGACAGGCAGCGTACAAGATGGGACAAAGCTTGGCGAGCTGTCTAGCTTTGGTAACCTCAAAGGAGCCTCTCAGGGTTTCACTTTCCTCGCATTTGCGAAATTTATTGGTTCAAGCTGTTGGCGAAAACGAATTGATTGAACAAACTGTTCAAACGTTTTGTAATGACAATATTAATGTTGGCTGTTTTATAATTGAGAAGGCTGCGTCAGAGAGATTGTTGAGAGAAGTCGATGATAATACTGTTATTCGTGAAGCTATAGCTTTTCGAAATAAGAATCCTTCCGATGAGGATCTTTTGGACTCATTGCAAACAAACTTCGTCCTGAATCTTCCTTCCTTTCTGTATCCTCGTCCTGGTGAAATGAGTTCAGAATTTTTCTCTGTTTATGAAGACTTTGCCAAAGTTACTGTTCCTTCTCAAGAAAATTTAGTAGATTCACCTATCTTAAGGGAACCTTCACCTACTGGAAATGTAACTAGTTCGGTTCTCGGTAAGAATGATCGTAAAGATGGTTTGGAAGATGTATCAAAAGACAATCGAATGAGAATCATCTCATCTCAAGAAGCTGTCGTTGCTGTCTATCGTTGTTGCGAACTAGCTATAGATTATGTGAGGAGAAGTGGTGCCATTAATTCTGATGATTTGTCACGCGATGAAGAAGTGATGAGTCGACTTCATAAAGTTTCATCTATTCTTGAGCAAGTTTCAGACGTTGAAGATGTTTGCTTTGTTACTAGTCAGAAGTTATTCCGACAGCTGTTGGATAATTCCAATCATTCAGAAAGGGAAATAGAGATGTATCAAATTCTTTTAGAATTATTGAAGAACTATTGCCCAAAACTTAGGTCAGAAGTGTTCCTGGCTTGGCTTTCGCAAATAGAAGATTCAAAGTCATATCCCGTATTAGTCATTCAAAAATTATTGCAGCGTCGACGTCTTATTAAACCTGTTGATTACGACAAAATACTATCGCGAAAGATTGAGACTGAACAGTCAGTTGCAGTCATAGAGTTTGCTGCTAATTTACTTTTTCGTCTTATCTGTTTGGAACGAGTTTCGCTTGCAGGCGAATGGCCTGCTTCTCTGGAAATTTTTAAGCGAGTAGTGGATGCTGAAAGTAGACGTATCACTTTTTCAGAAACCGTTTGGAAGTTATTGGAGTATCTTGTTAACCTGGAAACTGGCTCGCAGTCAAATGAAGCCAAGTCTCCTTTCTCTTCCAGCCCCTTACAGTCAACTTCTCATGCATCGTCACTTCCGATACCTCTTGAGAAGGAGAATATTTCTAGAACTTTGAGTGATTGGATGACTCTTTGTCTAAGTGAGGAATCAATATCTCAAGTCAAATTGTTGGATGTCTTGCGAAACATTTGTTTTGGTTTTCGTTTAGACTCTGATGAGTCCTGCAGAGAGTTGTTCTTCCAAATTGCAACAGAACTGTCATGTGACTCTTGTCGCCGGAATCTTCTACATCGAGATGCGGCTCTAGCTGATCCTGGTAATCCTAATTCGGCCGTCGTTATCACCAAACTGTCTGGTGGTGCACCATATCAAGTGACAGACACATATGTGATGTTAGTGATGAATTTGGCAAGGAATGCGTCCTTTATTCTCTCCTCAAAGTCACAAACCATTCAGCATTTCCGAATATCTCTCTTAAATGGCTTTTTAAAGTCTGTAGTCCGCTCTGTTTTGACCGTTTGTCAGCAAACTTTGAAAACTTTGTTGAATAGTGGTAATGATGTTTATGCTCGTTTGGGTGATCCGCGACCATTTTATCGACTTTTGTCTGACCTCATTTACGAATTGGATGCAGAAAACAAAGATGCAAATGAGATCCTCCGAGGAACTGAAGGGGATTCGACCAATGTTGATCTTTCAGACTTCCAAGTGTTATCGCTCCTGACCAGTGCTTTGCATACTATTCAACCTCAAAGAGCACCATGTTTTGCTTTTTGTTGGTTAGAATTGGTTTCTTGCCGTCTCTTTATGTCCAGACTGTTATTCTTGCATTCTAATAAGGGTTGGCCATTATTTCATCGGTTACTAATTGATGCTTTGTTATTTTTAGAACCTTACTTGAAGGAAGCCTTTCTACCCAAAAGCATCAAAACATTTTTCAAAGGATTCCTTAGACTATTACTAACATTATTACATGATGTGCCAGAGTTTTTGTGTGAATATTGCTTTACTTTATGTGATTCCATTCCACCAAATTGTACTCAGCTACGCAATCTAATTTTATCAGCTTTTCCAAGAGACATGAGGTTACCTGATCCGTTTCTTCCGGATTTGAAAGTAGACACTTTACCTGAAATGAGCATTTCACCTCGTGTTGTTACCAAACTGAGTTCGTTATCCTATAAGAATATTCGTCAACTGTTGGACCATATCCTGAGTAGTCGAGCAAAGGCGGCCGATTTGATAGAGTTGCGAAATCGTCTTTTGTTATCCCGAGATGAAGCACAGGATTATGACAGTATATACAATATTTCGGCAATCAATGCCTTGGTTTTGTATGTTTGTCGACATGCAATTTCGCAATCTCAGCAAGTTCCTAGAATTATCAACATGTCACCACATATGGATGTTTTGGAGTTCTTAGCCACAGAGTTGACACCAGAAGGTCGATATTACGTTCTCAATGCCATTGCAAACCAGCTTCGATATCCTAACACTCATACACACTATTGTAGCTGTGTGCTGTTATATCTGTTTGCTGATGCGAAGAGTGAAATATTGAAAGAACAAATAACGAGAGTTTTGGTGGAGCGTCTGATTGCAAATAGACCTCATCCGTGGGGTTTATTGGTTACTTTTATAGAACTGATCAAGAATCCCCGATATCGTTTTTGGTCCTGTAGTTTTGTTCGTTGTACTCCAGAAATTGAAAAATTGTTTGATAACGTTGCCAGGACATGTATAGCTAATACTTCAGGAGGACATTGAATATTCTTAAATAAATAGTGGTTTTTTCGCTGTCCTTTGCTGACAAATAAATGCATTTGCTCTTGTGATAAGCGACGTTGTAGGAATTGATCAACGACGGCAATTGTGTGTGTAGATTGGAATCTTCCTGAAAGATGAAACGAAAGTCAGAAAATTTAGACGTAAGCACAAAGAGCAAAAAAGTAAAACTAGACTCTGATGAGTTTGAGAAGAGACTGCCCTTTTTACAACCTTTTGCTCAACGTAAGTTTAAATACTTTGCTAAAGGAGCGTGCTGAAACTTTCTTTTAATCAGCGTTGGCAGGAAAGAAACTTACCAAAAGACTTTTCAAGTTGATGGACCGTGCTTCTGAAATGAAGCTATTGAGAAGGGGGGTGAAAGAAGTTGTCAAGTCGTTGAGGAAAGGTGAAAAGGGGTACGTTTGCTTTGTCGTTGAACATGTGGATGTCTGAACTAGTGATTATAGCATATGTGTGCTAGCTGGAGACGTAACTCCATTCGACGTCATTAGTCATATTCCAGTGTTTTGTGAGGAGAATGAAGTTCTTTATTGTTATGTGATAGATAAAGCCTCTTTGGGTCTAGCAAGCAAGACAAAAAGGCCGACCAGCGTTGTTTTCATCCCAGAGGGAGTAAAGCAATCCGCAGAAAAGGAGTACAAAAAGTGTGAAAAGGAAATCATCAGCTTGGTTCCCGTGAAGACAACGTGAAACTGTTGGAAGACTGAATCTTTCATGATAACGAGATAGCATACAGGTGTACAGTTTCTAATCAGCCCTGAATAGCAGATTGCGACGCCGTCTTATGCACGTACGAACCATATGTATGTTGATGCATCAGAAGTCTTCATCTAGTCGAAATTCTTGACTCGAAGGAAGCAAAGTCAATAAAGGTTCTCCTTGTGAGGTCTGAGAGCTCGAAAATCCGTCCAAAGGTTCAAACATAGGATGGAATAAGTTATCTTCGTTATTCATTCGTCCGCACACAGAAGACTCTTTTTCTTCCTGTTTGACACGGCACTGGAGAAGAGCTTCTTTGAGTTGTTGTGCCAAACTTTGAAGACCTTTCATCAGTGGTTTATTCTTGGATGAACGAATTGAAAGCAAAATTCTCACCGAAATATTCAGCTTCTTCTAATATTTCACCTAATAAACGAATATCTTCTCCAATATGGACAGTGCCACATCTCAAGTAGTTTAGAATATGGCGGAAGCGGTCTCCGTCTCTGTCCAAAAAAACATAACCGTTTTCATCCTTTAGTACAGAGTATTTTCCAGAGAACCAAGCAGAAAGCATGGAGTCAGAATATTTCGTGAGTGTATCAACAGTTGTCTCAAAGTACTTGCCTCCCACGTTGAGTTTTACAACGGAATTTGGCATCCATTCCATTTCCAAAATGGGCAACGACATCTTTTTGAATATCTCGAAGTTGTACTGAAATAACCAAATTGCCATTCATTCCTAACCATCATGATTAGGAAAGAGCATACTGTTAATCAACTTGAATCTAGATAGATGAGGACCTTCTGTCAAGAAGAACCTTGTAACTTTGTAAAGTCTGTAATCAACTCCATTTCCTTGTTTTGATAAGATAGAATGATAGAGAATCATCCAGACTTTTGTTTCATTACTTTTACTTCACATTCTTACTTATAGTAAATAAAGATTTTTGCAAGTTGTGCACTTGACATTCTAAAAAAGAACAAATGATAAAAAGTATCGAGTCAAAAAAATATTAGATGTGAGCTCCATGAGAAATGAAAGTTTGATAATTGTTTTTGTCTTGATAGAATCCGAGAAGGAAACGATGTTGATAATTGTCTTTTATGGCCAATTCGAAAAGTTTTGAACAGCCGCTATATATATATATATAACTGAGCAAGAGTATATCATAAATTGGCTTTCCCTATTCCTCTCAGCGACAGGCACTTGAACCCATTATTTCAAGTGCAGTGGCCACCAATTCGAAAAGTATCCTCCTCATCATCAATATTCAACTCCCACTAGAGTCAAGTGTACTCTGATATTTGCAATCTATCTTGAAAACAACCAGCTGTAATTTCATACTGGTCCCTCTTCAGACACTAAGTGACGATACCATCTGCTGCTACTCAGAAGTTTGACAGTGGTTATCAATTTCCATTCCACCAAAGAACAAAAAAGCACAACTGGAAACGAAACAGCCATTGTTGTGTATTGGAGACACAAAAGTTATTAGCATAATGGTCATTGGCCAACTGAAGGCATAATCATTCTTGCTTTTCTATGAAGGCATTAGCTTCGTCGACAGTTCATATGCTCCAAAGACACGAATTCCAGGAAACAATAAATGAGGATGTTGTCTTTTTTGAAATAGTTGAACTCACAAACTCGTTCTATGTGTGGATGGGAACCGAAACAAGTCTTATGAAGAGCCTCACAGCTGCGTTTCCTGTTCAAAGTGTTCCACTTCACGTAACCAGCACAAAACTTTTTGGACCCAATGACGTTTCAGAACAACTAGCAGAACGACTAGGTATTTTATTTTCTTTCAAAAGTATGTTATTCATTCTTAGTTTAACAATAGCTTTGAAGTACCGATGTCCCTTTTTCATTAGTATTGGATTGGACGCTCAAGCAACAGAAGCTTTCCATCTGATAGAGAAAAAGTTATTTGAACTTTTAGATTCGATTAGAGCCGATAACAGGGTTGGAAAAGAGTAAAATCGTTCTGTTAGTCTCTACACTTGGTTATTTGAAGGGACTGTGTACGTATGAAAGAAAGTATTTCAAATGGAGTGGAAATAGGGAGTAGGTGAGGATCATTTGTAATAGAGCTGTGATCGAAAACTTTCACTTAAGACTTGTGCGTTATGTTCTTGAGTCGTTAATTGTTTCTAAAGGGATTTCTATTTTAGTATTCTTTCCAACTACTGAATGATACTACAGAATAAATACTTTGAAGAGTCAAAATCATTCTATTTTAGGAAAATTGGTTATTCATTTGTCACAATGTCGGATGACAGCCAGAGTAGACGTAACCTTGTTTTTCAAAGTGAAGAAGAGAGGAAGGCGGTTCAAAGAAAAATTTTGGCTGAGAAGTTTGGTTTGAAGATTGAAAGTGACGAGGAAGATATCGCCGTCACAATTACCCCAGAGACTACTGGAGACCACGTTGCAACGAGTGAAAGTTTGATACAAACACAAAGAACTGATATTTCTCAAGTCACTCCCAGTCGTCTTCCAACTTTTGATGAAATGTTCTCTGAGAAAAGCACCGATGTGTCTTTGAAACAACAAGACACCGCCACTACTCCTTCAACATGTGAGTGGAGTCCCCTAAAGATGATGAACGTGGAATACGAAGATGCAGTTCTTAATGTGACTCGCAAAGATCTTGCTCCAGTTGGCAGATATATTCCTAAGCGTGATGGCGTTTTTTTCTACGATAATCTTCAGAGTTCAACTGACGACCTTAGTGAAACTGAAGGGGACCTTAGAGTGACGCCCATCACAGTATACAATTCAGTGGCCAATGATTACAACGGTAGAAGAATAGCCGTTAATAGCCACCTTATTACATATGCAGTGAAGAATCATATTCGTGTACTGTCCCGTTTTACAGCTTCCAAGGAACTGCTAAAGGGACATAACGATGAAGTGATTGATTTAGAATTTGCAAGATTTGATGAGCGTTATTCTACTTTGAACAATGATATTTTTGTCCTGGTATCCTCAGGAAAGGAAGGTTGTGTGTTTGTTTGGTTCCTTGAGGTAGATAACGAGAATGCTTTTCATTGTGTGGGTCATTTGAGGTTTGACCATCCGCAACGAGAAGAAGGGAATTTTTTTCGTCGTATTGCTTTCCATGGTGACGAAAAATATTGCAAAATTGCAGTAGCAGACGCAAAGACTCCAAAAATCTTTGTTATTATCACATGTAATATTACAAAGAGGTTACAAAACGAACCTGCAGCTTTTACAGCTGTACATGAAGAAGAAGAGCCTATCGTTTGTCTACAAGAAAGAATTTCAAGCTCAGAAACTAGTCATATGAACGATTTGATATTCAAAGATGCAGATCATTTGCTATCAGCAGGTATGGATGGAATTCTGTATCTTTGGTGTCTCTCAACGAGAACTTTGCTGCTAAAATATGCACATTCGACTGTTTTGGAACCAATATCTTGTATTTCTTTACTACGGAGCTCAGTTGTTCATGATATGATCGTCGTTATTCGTTCCTCTGGTCATCATATCGAACTGTTTGAGCTTCGAACTCCTGATAGTGAATGGAATGACTGGAGCTTTGTTCTTTCACAAAAAATTACTTTGGAAAATGTTACGAATGACGATGTTTCGGTATCATGTTGTATTGATGACCAAAATGAATTTTTAGTGTTCACAAACAGTGCATCGAAGCAAATGATTGCTTTACATTTTAGTTGTGAAGAGAAAATTTACGCAGATTTTATTTCTCGTTTTCAAGTTCGCTATCCAATCTTGTCATTCTGTGTGACAAGATGTGGTCGCAAGATACGTTATGTCAATGAAGATGAGAGCTGGGAAGGTTCTGAGATAAACTTGATCGAGGAGATTGGGATTTGGTGTGTACAACCAAAGTCAATTCAATATTTGCATCTTTATGCAGATAAATGCAGACCGTCATCCAAATCCTTAGAGACTGAAATACTCGATCAGTCATTCTCACTATCACCTCATGGAACTGAGGAAGCAGCCATATCGCCCAACCAAACAGACATCGAAACATTTGAAAGCTCTAAAGAGGCCAGTCAATCGGCCTGGAATACTTTGCATTCATCTGAAGCTGACAAAGAGACGAATGCTGGATTGGATGAAAGAAGTAATGTAAACGTCGACCCCTTAAATACGTTCAAGTCCAAATCTGACAATACAGCAACTGCGGCATTTCCAAGAAGGAAATCGACTAGTTCAGGTATACGTATATTGTCCAAAAAGGAAGCTGCTGCCTCACAGTTCGGAAATACCAAACAAAGTCATCCTGTAACTATTTTGAAGAAACCTAGTACAGTTTCTCAAATCAGAAAGGAGACTGGTTCTTCAAATAGGGCAGATGTATATAACGCTGCAAGTCAACAGCCGTCACAAGTTTCAATAGAGACTTCTGGCATTAACCAAACCGCATCATCTGATCCTGGTTTTCAAAGAAACAATACTTCTTCAGACGCTTTTCATAAGTTTAAGCAACAAGTTTTAGAAGAAGTGGAACTTTCTTCGCGAAGGAGTTTCGAAGCAATTGCTCAGCAGCTAGAAAATGAAAGAGTACAAAGAGAAAAATTGGAAAGGGAAAAGTTAGAAAAGCTACTTGGAGCAGTCTCGGATACCGTCAATCATCGTTTAGAACAATTTGTGAACAGCGCCTTGGAGAAGGAAATAGAACAGACAGTGGTTCCGAGGCTAAGTGAAACCGTAGCGGAAACTTTTCAAAAGTGGACTAGGAGTGATAATGTGGAACAGCTTTTGAGTCAACTGCTTGAGGCTCAATTCGGAAATACACTCGATTCTGTTGTAAGAAAATCATGTGAAGAATTGTTTGAGTCTCGCTTGGTTCCAGCCTTTGAAGCAGCTTGTCGAGAAATGCTGAATCAAGTGGATTCTGCAGTAGTCGAAGGTTTTCAACGTCAAGTCGAGTTTCTTTTGAAGAGAGATTTTTTCGACCCTATAAGTGGCATGCAAGAGAAGATATCTTCCATTTTAGAGAACTTAAAGGTCCAGAGTGCTGAATCCAAAGAATTTTCTTCATACAACACACGAGATGAAACACAAACTACTCTCGTATCAAAGGAAGTTTTGCAAACTCAAATGTCGGAATTATTAGGACAAGAGAATTATGAAGGAGCATTCCTTTTAGCTCTTGGTGCAAGCAATTTGGACATCGTGGAATGGCTTTGCGAAAAGTTAGACTGCCATGCCCTGTTTCAAGCTGATGAGCCTCCACTTTCACAAGTAACATTACTTTCGCTCATTCAGCAGTTGGGTTTTGACCTTCAAAGACAAACCGAATTGAAAATAGAGTGGTTGAAAGAAGCTGTTATGTTGTTGGAACCTTTGGATGAAATGATTCAAGACTATCTTCCGGATATACTCTCTATGTTGGTGCAGAACTTGCAAAATCTACTAGAAAATGGTATTCGTAACTCTCAACAGTCTCTTTCAACTCATTTGCAACGTAACATCAAAGTACTGCTTCACATATGTCGTTCGTTCGAGAAGAATTCTTAATTGATTGGACAAAAGTTCACTCAACTGCCTATGCAGTTTGATGCTTTCAAAGAATATGATAACAAAGAGTAAATTAGACAGGCTTTTTGAGTTACTAGAACAGGGAGCAAGTTCTTCTATAAGAGGAATTGCTGCTGAACAAATAGGTCACGTAAGAGAGCGAGAGAGAGTTTGTGACAGTTGTAAACATCCTTAACTTTTTGTTCTAGTTGGCTGCTCAACACCCTTCTCAAACAGAACAAATTATAAATAGAATTACAGAAATAGTATTGTACAAGAAATCTTGGTCTTCCCGGGTTTCTGCAGCATATGCTTTAGGTATCATAGCTAGCCAGTCACCTAAAAAGTCCAAGAGCGTCGTCTTGGAACCTTTCCCGTCGTCCACTGAGTTAGGGCATAGGAAAAGAAAGTGGAAACAAGATACTGCTTCTAGTTTTCTTCGACTTGAAGATTTGAATATGAACGATATAGTAAGGAAGGGTGGTAGATTGTTGGGTTCTTCTGGGGAAGAGTTGGCTTCTACAAATAATGAAGATGCAGAACAGCAATTTAAGAGAATTCATTCTATATTAGGCGACTATCATCTTTCGGAAAACATTGTTTCGAATGAAGATTTTCAAGGAGAGACGGAACCCGTCTCTAGTTGGAAACCCAAGTTGAACGTATTTGACAAAGAGGGACTCATTAATAACGATAACTCAACACAAGGCACAAAGGAAGAAGCTCCTATTGTTATGTTAGAAGATTCCGGTTCTGTCCCTGAATGGATTTTTTGTCAATGTTTTAGCAAGTTAAGAAATAATATGTTTTCACTGGATTGGGAAGTTCGTCACGGCGCTGCTACTGGTCTTCGTGAGCTATTAAAGTATCAGGCAACAGAAGCCTGTTTAGATGTCTTTTATTCTTTAGAAGCCAATAGAATACTCTTAGAGGATATTGCTTGTCGTCTACTGATTCTTTTAGCAGTGGACAGGTACATGTTGCCAAACAATTGTATTTGCATATCGTTTATACTCACTTTGTCTGCAAGATTTTGTGACTTTAGTGGTACAGTAACTGTGGCTCCAGTTCGAGAAGCAGCTTCGATGGCATTGGCAACAGTGGCATTGCACTTGGATATTGATCGTGTAGAACAGATTGGTCTATATATCAACATTTTAGCTCATTCAGATAGTTGGGAGGCAAGTCATTGTTGGTTGTCAAGTGAATGAGTTCTTATTTCTGTTTAGGTTGTTCATGCCGCATACATCAGTATGCAGTATATTTTTGCTGCCTTAAGTTCATCTTCTTCTATTGTCATTTCCTTATTGAAATACTCTTTTGATGATATCACGAGAGGTTTATTATCTGAAGATCATGATATTTGTGCAGCTGCAGCAAGATGTTTGTTTCCAGTCGTCGATATCATTGCGAGAGATTCCACCGAAAGCTCTATACCGTTTGAGAAGCTTTGTGATTCTTTGTGGCAAGTAATTTCTTCTTGTGATGAGGATAACTCTGGTGTATGTGATTGTTTGGAGTTAATTTGCCGACTATACAAATGTGTGTTACAGAGAAATATGGAAAATGCAAATTCATGGTTTTCCAATCATGTATATCAAGTATTTCCGTTTATGTTACACAATAATCCTTTTATACGAGAGGCTTCTCGAATATTGGTGACTGAAATACTTGAGAATAATAAGAACTTGGGTAATCAACCCTTGTTTACTATTCAACAATGTCGACAATGGATCTCTATTCTGGTTGCTTTATTATTTATAGAGAAAGATGATTGTTTTGTTGAAACCATCTTAAATAAGCTCGGAGATGTTCTACATTGGTATGATGAGACAGATCTCTTTTCCAGCAATATATTATCTCGGATACTTGAACTTTGTTTTCAACGATCGTTCAAGAATAGCCTTGATGTCATTTCGACACTTTTGAGAGAAGAAGATATTTTGACATTTTCTGGGTTTCAGGAGGTTGTTTCTGAAATTGCTGATACTGAAAGACGTTATGGTGATAGAGAAGGAAGATTTCTACGTTTTCAACAAAATGTTTGTAGAATGATTGCCATTTTGTTTTTAGAACGAAAAGAACAGTCAAAGATTCTTTGTGTAAGAAAATTATCGCGTGATCAAGCTTTAGATTTTCTAAATGTTCGAATAGGAAACATTGAAGAGTTATCTGCATTCTTCTTCTGTGTTTAGTTTGACCGCAGCTTGTCACATTATCAGATATTGGTATCCTCAAGCAGTTGATTCTTCTCATCGGGAAGAAGTCATGAAGATTCTTTTTTCAAAGTTGGAACAATTCGAACAAAACTCTTCAGATGATGTTCATTTTGATGAAGAGGCCGCCAATAGTTATCAGCTGTTTAATGATATCTTAAGTATCGAGAAACATCTTTCTTCTGGGAAGAAATCGAAACAGAAATACAGCAATACGATTTTAGATGGTTCACTAATTCAATTATGTGAAAAAGGCATTCAAGGTTGTGAACAGGGAGACTATTTTCAAGTTTCTTGTCTTTTATCTGAAATAAGTGGCAATTATATGCCGTATTTGCAGGAGTTGAGTGCACGTGATACTTGGAAAGGTAGCAAAAGCAGCCATACTGATAAGGATAGTGTTTTACATGCTGTCATTTGGAGAGTAGTGAACTATTTGACTAGTTACAAATCTCGTCGTACTGAATTTATTTTACAGTCCCAAATTGTCATAGTTTGTTCTATCATTCTCTCTCAAAATATTGCTCGACAAGATGAAAACGACAATTGTGTTCCTCGTGAAGAAGAAATCAAACTACCGAACAAGTTAACTCCTTATTTATTAGCAATGATGAATGGATTGAGATATTCATCTTGTATTTATTTGCAGCAACTTTCTGCTTCTACTTTAGCATTCACATGCCAGCTCTTGGTGAAGAAAGATAAAATGAAGGCAATTGCGAAGATTGTTGAAAACCTGTTCAACTATCTTATAGATGCCTTGAAGATTGAGTCAGAAGATTGGCAGTGTTCTCAAATGGACGGTGTGTTGCTTGCCTGGAAGGAAATCTGTAGAGCATTTGGCTGCAAACTACTCGTATCACTACCAAAAGTGAATGAACTTTGTGTGCAAGTTTTAGAAAACCTCCCTGATACCCTGGAGAATACGCCGACCCAAGTAGCAAATGCTTTGTCCTTTCTGAAATATACTTTCAAATGGTGGCACTCATCACTCTTCAAGCATTGTAACGATGCAGTCCAGAAACTAACTTTATTTTGTGGCCTACAATATCATGTTACAGACTTTGATATTCTCAATGTCGCAACAGATGCATTATCAGAAATGATATTTTGTTTTCACGACTTTCTTATTCATGTTGTGAGACATTTATTGCCCATTTTGGATAGCAATCATAAGATGGAACGTAGCGAAGAAAGTATCTTGTATGCTTTGAGGGCTGTTCATAAGGTTGTGTTGAAATTAGGGAATGAAATGATTCCATACGTTTCCTTATTTTTGATGCCGTTGGTTAGTAGAATGACGCATCAAAATACCGAAATTCGGGTTATAGCATCAGAAACTTTCGGTCTGTTGTTACGTTTGCTACCGTTAGAAGATAATACAGTGAAACTTGCAGAAAGTGAAAAGTGGCTGGATGACCCTGAGTGGCAGTTGCAAAGAGAAAATGCCAAATCATTTATACATCAGTTATTAGGATGGAAAGCTAGGGAACCTTACAACTTGCCCGTGCAATTGGAAGGAAACATTCAGTTGAGAGAGTATCAAAGACAAGGATTGGAGTGGTTAGCTTTTCTGAAGAGATATGGACTTCATGGTTTACTTTGCGATGACATGGGATTAGGGAAGACTTTGATGACTTTGTGTATAATCGTTGGCGATACTGTGGAATGGAAGAATTATGGATTTCAAAAGCATTCTCTTGTTATTGCACCTTCTTCAGTTACAGCACATTGGTTTCAAGAGGCCAAGAGGTTCTTCGGTTCTTCCTTATCCAATGTAATATTATATGCAGACTCCGCAAAGAAGAGAAAGAAACGGCTGGCGAGCTTTGAGTCATCACCTTTAATCATTACTTCCTATGAAATAGTAAGCTATATGCATAATTACTGTTTTAACCTAGTGCTTACCCGTAGAAGATTCGTAGTGACATTGAATCTTTTCAAAGTTATGCATGGAACTACTTGGTTTTGGATGAAGGACATGTGATTCGGAATCATCATTCTAAGACAGCGCTCGCGATAAAAAGTCTCTTAGCAGAACATAGACTTATTTTGTCAGGTACTCCAGTACAAAATTCGGTCAAGGACTTGTGGTCGCTCTTTGATTTTTTGACTCCTGGTTTCTTGGGAGACGAGGCTTCATTTCAAGAACGCTTTGTTCGACCCATATTGAGGGGTAAACTTTTGTCATCTGAACAGAAAGACCGTGAACAAGCAGATGTCCTGTTGGAAACTTTACATCGACAAGTTCTTCCTTTCATACTACGCAGAATGAAAAGTGATGTTTTGGCTGAATTACCTCCGAAGATAATTCAGAACTTGTCCTTTGAAATGAATTCTTTGCAAGCAAAGTTGTACAATGCGGTCAGTGGATTTCTGGCAACTACTGCAAAGGAGCAGTTAGTACATGATAAGAGTCCTTCGCTTCATATCTTCTCAGCGTTGCGTTGCCTTCAACAGATTTGTACACATCCCGTGTTACTATTGGATAGCGGAAAGGACTGGATAGAGAATGTCTCAGGAAAATTAGCTATCGATGTAAATAGTTGTTATCACTGGAAAAGTAGCTCAAAATTCCAATGTTTGTATGATTTATTTGCTGACTTGGGTTTGATATTACATGAAGAAGAAGTTGCTCAGAAGGAGTTGAAAGAAGAACCTGAGGAAACGGACTGGGATATGAATGAACAAGATACTGGACATAGAGTATTGCTTTTTGCTCAGAATAGAAGAACGTTGGATATAGTTGAGAAGTTTCTGTTTATGGAAGGACCATTTCGACATCTTTCTTATTTAAGGTTGGAAGGCACAGTAAGCCCGATGCATCGACAAGCCATTGTTACTCGTTTCAATTCAGATCCTTCCATCTCTTGTATGCTTCTCACCACGCAAATTGGAGGTCTGGGTCTTAATTTGACTGGAGCAGATACCGTTGTATTTATTGAACAGGATTGGAATCCAGTGAAGGATATGCAAGCTATGGATAGAGCACATCGTATTGGTCAGACAAGAACGGTATTTTGTTCCTATGAAAGATAGAAATTTGTTTCTTTTCTAACAGAGCGCTTTTTAGGTGAATGTATTTAAGCTAGTTACCAAAGGAACTTTGGAAGAGAAAATTATGAAACTGCAAGAAATGAAAACTGCTGTGGCAGAATCCATTGTGAATAGAGATAACTCCAGTCTACAAGATTTGGATACTTCTCAACTACTTGAATTATTTCAGTTTGACTCTTCTGGTCAACAAGATGCTATGGAAGCCAAGAATGATATGGAATCATATCATTCTTATTTGAAAACTGGAAGCACTTTGGAGTCTGTTCTCAAAACACTTCCAGACTTGTGGGAAGAGGAGCAGTACACTTCGGAGTTTAACTGGAATATGTTTGTACAGAGTTTTCAAAGTGGTCAAAAGGATACTAATGACTGAGTATATATGTTTCATATACACAATTTTTCTGGAAAATGCGAGCTTTATGCAAGTTTCTTGCTTTTTTTTGATAATTCGGAAAAGCTTGTTTTTTTCTGCATGTTGCAAGAGGTTCTTCCCACTAATGACCACGTCTTTAGGAAGACTATGAATTTCCTGCTTTTACTACAACCTAAGCCTTGTTTGAACAAGAATAAAAGAAATACTTTTTCGTTTCCAAAAGAAGAAAGGCGCAGCTGATGATTGCAGAGGAGGACGTCCAACATTAATTAAAACGATGATGGAGTTACCACCATTGGAAGAAGAACTATATAGCTCAACGGAGTTGGCACAAGACGCTCTGAATGGACTACTTCAAGCAGCAGCTCTAGACCCATTGGAAGGGCAGTACTTTCAAAACCGTGTCTGCACGCCACTTACCCTGTCTGAAACTAAGAAAAACTTGGAGGAAGCTCGCTTGGCCATAGTGGTAGCGCTACGTGGTTATAAGAGACTAGACATATCCTCTATGCCGTTTGCTAAGAATAGAAACTTCCAAATGACAACAGAAATTGATATTTCACGCCTTCAGTTTAGAGTTGCCCTGGCAGTAATCGCTCATGTCATGTGCAGACAGTGTCCTGGGTCCTCGAGCTTAGAATATCTGAGAAATTTACCTGGAAATATACCCAGAGGTGGTGTTTGTGGTACAGTCTGGAAGAAAGATGAACTCGCGTATAAATGTCGTACTTGTGAAAGGGATCCTACTTGTGCTATTTGTGTTCAGTGTTTTCGTAATGGTAACCATGAGGGACACGATTTTTCTATCATTCGTACTGGAGGTGGTGTTTGTGACTGTGGGGATCCACAAGCTTGGAAACCCTTTGGTTTCTGTCAAAAAGTATGTATTCTGTTTCATGTCTTATTCTCACGGACTGACTTGTTGTCGTCTAGCACGGGGGTGCACATTCCGAAGAGGAAGACTTGGTTAGCAAACTACCTTTGGAATTACGCGAAGGTATCTCTCTAGCAGTTGAGCTATTGGGTGAAGAATTTCTGTTAGATGAAACTAGCAACCATGTCAAGGTCGAAATAGCTACATGGTGGCGTCGAATTGCAGATTGCGGAGATTCTTTTACTCGGCTAGTAGGAATGGAATTGTGCAAATCTCCAGGTCCTTGTATTCGAGAGAGAACTTTTCGATTTGAAAGAGAGGATGGAAGCAGACCAGCTTTTGTTTGGATATTTCTTCGCTTAGATGGCGCAGGAATGTTAGAGAATGATACAAAAAATGCTTTACATTCTCTCTATTTTCTGCTCATTACCGACTTGGTGTTCAAAAGGTTTGATAATTGATCCATTTGAATGTCGAAATGATAACAGAGGAAATGTAGGAAATTTCTAGAATATTTTGGTTCATTGTACTCTTTATTCGTGGATCCTTTATATCAAGGAAGTTTAAGCCTTTTGGAAGACAGTTCGAGCAACAACACTCGGGATCACTTCTCTGTTCAGTTGTTCACGGTTCCTGCTCTCGTTCCAATCATGATTAAACATGGCGGTCTGATTGACCAACTATTGAAAATTCTTCTTCAGTTAATGGAAGCAGTTTCTTATCCTGTTCGGAAAGTGGAGACCATTGCCGAGGACTGGCATAACAGTGTGAATACAGTTTTTGGTGCAGTTCATTTACCTCAACCTTTGGCACACGACAAATGTATAGACCTTACTAGGGACCGAGGATTGGATACATTGAATCGTGTTATCTATGATCTTCGTTATATATTGACCCATACAAATGCTGCAGCTTATGTAATGCATTATAGACCAGACCTTTTGGCTCTATTCGTTCGAATACTTTCCCTTTTACAAGGAATGAATGCAGAAGTGCGTGCAGTAAGATATCACGTAGAGAGAGAGTCGGATATTTGGTCCAAAGCAATCAGTTTGGAACTGGACTTTAACCATCTTTGTGAACTGCTGTTAGCAGGATTTGTATTCAACAAGTTGGAAGAGATTAAGATAGATAGTTCAGATATAGACGAAGGAACTGGAACTGAAAATTCGTCCTTATCAAGTCTGCCTCAAGTCAATTTGAAAGATTGTAGAAAGCGAGCACTTTGTATAATAAGAAGATGCCTCGATGAATGGATAGCATCGGAAAAACAACGTGAAAGCATTTTGCTAGATTCACCTTTTGATGTATCTAGTGGAGCTGTTAGCCTTCATTATCCACTTCATCGATTTTTAGCATTGTTAGCTACGGAAGCCATTCGACGATACAAGTTTACATTTTATGAAGCACTTGGACAAAGTAGACAAGATGTTCTGCACTTGGCAGAACATATCTTAAGGGTACAAGCTTTACTAGTGCAGGTAAAAGCTGGTATGTGGAAGTAAGTCTAGCTTTCTCGTTTCATTTTTTGTCTTGTATTGAATATTTATCTAGACGAAATGGACGACCCATGGTGAACCGTTGTATATTATACAAATCAAGTTATTGTCAGGAATGGTTTTTTGACTTGGATATTGCTATGATGCAGTTGTGTTGCGTTTCAAAGGGAGCTCGTTCTTTTTTAAACCAAGCACTGGAAGTATTCGGTTTACAAAGTATTATGCAAGTCTTCAAAGATTCATGGCTATCGGATAGTTCTTCATCAACTCATTTTGGATCTCGTGAATCAGTACAAGATATCTGGAAGTTCTTTGCATATGAGGAATATGATTTAATGATAGTTCAAGGATTCCTTCGTATGTTGGTCTATATTACAGCAGAGCGAGTTAGGATTGGCTATTCCGATGTAGAAAGACTTCGACGAAAGCTAATTCATCGTCTTTGTGTTGGTGATCAAACACATTCTTCGTTGCTTAAGACCATTCCACGTCGACTGACAAGTTCTTCCAGTGATGAGGAAGCTATCAGTATTATGGGAGATGAAGACTTTGTATCTGGCGGAAATGGAACTGACAAACATTACAAAATGTTTGAAGAATGTCTTAACCAAGTGGGTATTTTTCAACAACCAAAAGAGATGGATCAAGGATATTATCGCCTTAAGGATGAGTTGTGGAAAGAATATGATCCTTTTTATCCACACTATCAGTCCAGAGAACGAGCCATTGCAGAGGAACGTCATATTCAGTTTCGTAGAAAGCATCATTTAGCTCCTCATCGTCTTATCTTTCCACAAAAGTCTCCAAATAACTTGCCATTATTTGACTCTTTTCTTTCCTTATTGGATTTATGCCGCGAGTTTTGTCGTCCAGGTGGGTTGGCATGTTCTGTTATTTCTCGTTGTTTGGCATTTTGTCGGGAAGGAAAGGACTTGGATGGCACTTTGAATGCTACACTGTATTTGATTGAAATAGCGTTGGAGACTAGTAGTGACTCACATTGGAAGACAAATTTGATGAGCCAGGTTACTTTTGTGCAGTCTGTTCTGATATGTAGAAACGAGCAAGATCGGAAAGAGTATACAGATAACGTCAGTTTAGCATTCCTTTTAGAATGCGTTCAAAAGTGTTCTTCTTGTATGGACCAGCACGAAGCAGCGAAACAATTATTGTTTCAAATTCGTTCGGGAACTCCATCATCAGCTATTTCTTCTAGTACACAAGTTGGTGAGTCCTCTTCCCAAACAAGGGAAGCAAAGCGCAGAGAAATGAGAAGAAAACAACAAGAGGCCTTGGAGAAGATGAGAAAACAACAAGAAGCCTTTTTGAAGAGACAGCATTCCTTATTTGAACAACAACAACAAGAAGAAGAACAAGCCACAGTTTCGAAACTTCAAGAACAAGGAAATACTAGTGTTGAGAATAGATCAACTTTGGAGGACCACCAAAATATATGTTCGCTATGTCATGAAGTTGCATCGGAAAGAAAAGGCAGTAATTTGGTTGTTATTGGTTTAGTACAACGTTCTAATATTCCCATGTTGGCTCGGAGAATATCAAGGACAACAACTTCCGTATTGTCTTCAGAAGAACATTATCATCGAGCAACACCAACTTTTGAAGTAAGTAATGTTTTGAGTGGCTCTGCTACTACGGAATCATCATCCACTGCAGCGACAGAATTGTTGGCCTGGGAACAAGTGTGGAACATGGAAAATGCTGTAGATGAAGAATATATGGATCATGATGATGATATTCGAGAGGAACCTTCTGATACAATTTTGTCAGAAGAGGATATTGAGGATGACACAGAAGGAGAAGAATGGTTTGAACCTCCAGGAGCAGTTCATAGGATGACTGTTAGTGGTGAAGAATGGAATGAAGATGTTTCTGCGGATCTTGTTGGTTCCAGTACGGAGTCTTCATTGACAGTTGGTACAGATTGGTCTCAACTTACACGTACCAACTCTTCCACTGTAATATCTGCATTTTTGGATGAGGACATTCAGAAGGGTTTGGATACTAGACCAGATGTTCTCTTCCAATCTTGTGGACACCAGATGCACTGGAGTTGCTTCGAAAGATATTTTTCTTGGCTAACCAGCTGTCATGCACAAAGGCTCCCTTTTGATGGAGATACTCTAATAGATGTCACTCATGGTGAGTTTCTTTGTCCAGTTTGTCGAAGATTAGCAAATATTGTTATTCCTGTTATGGAAGAGGAGCCAACCGTGCAACTATTTACGCATCACTTTGATAGGGAAACACCGCTTTTGCAATATTTACCTCTTTATCAACTGGAACAAGTATATCATGAACAATGTCAACGTGTACATCAGTTATTAAGAGAAGTTGAATCTTCCCACTTAGCTTCACCGACTTTAGCCAACTCATGTTCTTCAGAAACATGGGACGATTCTCTAATGGATATCGTAATCAAATCTCTTTGTTTTGATCATATTTCTTCAGATAGAAATCACGTACCATTTCCTTCTTCCTCTTCGGTGCCATCAAACTTGAGACGTAGAACTCTTGGAAAGACCTTGCCACTAATATCAAAAGGATTGGCAAATTTGTTGAACTGCTTTATTTATACTGTTATGACTCAAGAAGTGGCAGCAAGGTCTGGACATGAAACTATTCAATCTTTTATACGGGAATTGCATTTTATGGTCGTTGTGTTACGGAAATTTATTCTTACTCAGTGTCCACAACACTGTCAAAGTGAATTTCGTCGTTTATGGATAACTTATCTTGAACCAGTTTCTACTAGTGATGTTTATGATACGCAGCTTTCAGATTCGATAGATGCATTCACATTATTCGCGTATGCTCTATTGTTATGGCCAGAGAAATGGAACGAGGAAATTGTATCGTTATTGCTTCGTCTATGTTTTCTTCTGAATTTCCGTTCTCCTTCGAATTTGCTCATATCTCATGGCGACAGTGGCATTCTCAACTGGACCACAAATGCAGTTGTATTTGTAAGGAGATGTGTCTTGTTTCTCAATTGTATATTTGGTTCGAGTTTGCATCCATGTACTATTGGTACTTTATCTGAAGCCCGTGGTTTATTGCCACACTCACAAGAACTGTCAATGGCCTATAGTTTGGGTTTAATAGCAAGAGAATCTACGCATCATAAGGAACAACAAACTCATTATTCCTTTCTCAACGAGTTTGCTCAAAAATGGCAGTCTCTTATGCGAACAACAGTGAGAAGAGATTGGAGATATCCTTTGAGACCTTTGACTTTAATATCTTTACCAAAAATATTTCAGGATTTAGTAGAGACTCTTGAAGGGAAGGCTTGCAAAAGATGTCATCGAGTTTCCAAGAAGCAAACGCTTTGTCTCATTTGTGGTGATTTGTTATGTATGTCAGAAGGTTGTGGCTCTTATCCATTTGAAAGAAGTGTTACACAGTTTGCTGAATTCGAAACCATGCGACTACATGCACATGAATGTGCTGCGGGTATTGGAATTTTTCTACTGTTAAAGGCAACTTGGGTATTGTTGATCAGGAATAACCGTACTGCTATATGGGGTTCACCCTATTTAGATGAGTTTGGGGAGGAAGACATGGAGTTACATAGAGGAAAACCACTTTATCTCAATCAAGAAAGAATGGAAGTGTTACAAAGACTGTTTGTAACTCAAGGTTTCGATTATGATTCTCGTATCTTGAACAAGTCTACGCAGTTTCAGTATATTGCTTTGTTTCGTTAAACTTGGAAGGCATTTTGTAATAAAACCTGCTTTGCATCCTGTAATAACGTTTCCGATTGTTCCCATTCTTTCGTACCACGCAAAGTTTCCATCTGAGTCTAGCATCATAGAGAAAGATTATCATACAGTTTCATGGATGGGTATAAGCATACTTGTAACTTTTGTAACGTTTCCACAGCTTCCGATAACCTCTTATAAGAGTCAGCTACCATTCTCTCGGTTTCTTCCAACACCTTTTGCTACGAGAATTCAATTCTTCCATCAAAAATATATAGACACGAACTACAGATACTAACCCACTGTTTCACTGGTTGGTCTTGTGTCGCTTGCTGGATTTTTTCTTTGACTTGAGCGTATTCTTTTTGATAGGCGGATATGTCCTTCATCGTTCTTTCAACTTTTTAGCAACACAATAACTACTAAGCATCACTCGATATACCTTTTGACTACTCCGTTTTGTATTTCCAACTGACGACTGGGAGCCACCATCTATCAACACACACACACAAAAAAAATGCAGCAATTTTCAATTTTGGCGCCATAATGGGAATTCTCTTTTTTTTGGGGAAAGAAAGCAACGATTTGGCTTTATTGGATGACGTGGAAAGCAGTTGGTCGATAAGAAGTGGGAAGTTGTTCAATCCACCTATATGCACCTTGCATGCTTCTAGCCTTTTCAAGGATGTAAATAGAATGCTATTTAGAGTTATTTCACATACTTCTAAAACACCTTTGGACGAAAGGGAATAGATACAACCGTCTCTTCCTACACCAATACCTTTCACCAAAGAACCTCCATCCACTTTATGTACTTGAATAGGTTTGTTTTCACCAACCTTATACAACTTGTCTTGGTGTCAATATCTCACCATACCCATTCAAAGCTACGAGACGGAAACTTACCCGTAAATGGCCATCCATTCCACCCACTACAAATATATCATTGGTCAACGCACATAAACAAACTAAACGAGTAGAATATTCCCATTGTTGAATGAGACCAGTTTGTAAAGAATGAACAGAGAAACTGGTTTGCGTGGCGATGACCCAACCTTGTCCATCTTCTGTCCACTTTACGATGAACGCCTCATCCGGTAGTTCCTATCGATCAATCAGAATATCCGCATCAACAAACCAACTCACCACCGTCACTTACCAGTGAGCAAACACAGTCACCGTTGGTTTTCCACAACTTGAGACATTTGTCTCTAGCAACTGAGAGACATATTTGTCCCGTTGGATGCAGTGCAACGGAATGTACGTTACCCTTGTGACCTTTCAAATACTTTGGTTTCGACCATCCACCATATGGATAGTAAACTAACTTTCCATCTTCTCCACCACTTAACAAACCCCCTTGTAGTTGAATATCAACCGAATTAACAGGTACCTGAAGATCGTATAAAGTTGCCAACTATTTTCGAGTTGAATACAACAACTGTGTTCTCGGATGCATTCTTACTTCTTGCAACTGGTCGAGTTGATAGACTTTTATGGATTCGTCCACACTAGCTGAAGCCAATATTGGAAAGGAACCAGCAATACAACGTATACTTCGTTCGTGTGCAGCATATGCATAACGGAGAGTGCAACCTGTTGTTGTTTTTGGGTCGTTTGGTTGAGTGTCAATATCATAACCGATCAAGAAACCTTCATAAGTTCCTATGGCCAAATGATCCATTCCAATCATTATTTATTATGATGAGTGAGGATGGTTGTTCCCCCATGTGTGACTTGCAAGTCTTTGTTTAGCTTTTTCTAATACGGCATCTTCTTTACAAAATGAAAACCGCACATATCGAGAACCCAAATGTTGATGTTGTCGACTATAAAAGGCACTGCATGGAATAGCCGTTACTCCTTTTTCAACTGCTTGCCATCGACAAAAGTTATAATCCATCGCATTTTGTGTTCTTTCATCGATATCTAATAAGCCTTGTTTCCGCCATTCCTTCACAATGGATGGCATTTCATTCCGAATTCCTATGATATGATTCATAGTTTTGGTTCCCATTGACTTTTCTCTCTTACCTTGTATTTCGGAGATATCTATCATAATAAAAAAACTACCTTGAGGTTTCACTGGATGTAGACCTGCTTCTATCAAAGCTTGATAAAAATAATCTCGTTTCCTTTGATAACGTTTCCTCAACCATGCATAATAGGTTGGTTCACTTTCAAAAGGTTGAGTTGCTTGTTCCAATGACGAAGCAACCGCTTGTTGAAGTGGCGTCGTAGTAGAAAAGACGATCCATTGCTGTGACAACATCATCGGACGAATAAGATGAAAAGGTCCGATAGCCCAACTCGATACTTTTTCAATCCACACAAACATACCACAATCATCTATTCTTACCCAATCTTCCATCCCGTTACTGAAAATGTTTTCCCTGCAGAATATACGGAAATGGTTCTTTCCCACATATTTTCTAAATATAAATATATTTCTTCAATGATAACGTATTCATTTCCTTGATTACTTACCTATCGTTGCCATAGGAACATGAACTTCATCATCATATACCAAATGTTGATAGACTTCATCACAGAGTACTAAACAGCGAGGAAACTCTTGCAACACTTTTGCTATATTTTCCAATTCTTCTTTCTTGAATACTTTTCCAGTCTAAATATATATATATACTTGTCTTCATCTATCATGAAAATCTCCTCTCTACTTACCGGATTATGTGGAGTATTCAATATCAGCAACCTAACCAGCACACAAACACACATGTTCGTTATAAAAAATGACACATAATGAAGAATCTCTGTTTTCATACCTGGAGCGTTCAGAAAGTACTCTTCGGAGTTCTTCGTAATCCAAACGCAAGTCACTAGCTGCCAAGGGTTGAGTCGCTTCCTTTGATTGCATAAGAAGAGAAACAAATCGAGGAGTAGCACCTGCATATACAACTGCTCCAAAATAGATATCGAATGCAGGTTCGATGAAGATGACCTAAACAGTTGTATGGGAATCACAACCCATAAGGCTTCTGTTTATCCACAAAATACCTCATCACCAGGTTCCACGAAAGTCTGACAAGCAAGAAATATAGCTTCCGATGCTCCGACAGTTATACATACTTCTTTATTGGGGTCAATAGACCTCGATATGATCCATAGGCAACGGGAACGACGCATTCAACTTGTGTTCCTTACCTTTGCAACAGAGGTGCATATGTTTTACTGATGGTAGATACCAAAGATTGTAGACCACTTGAACGTGCATATTGACTTAGACTTGGATCAGAAGAAGCTTTTGAAGCAGCTTCCAAGACAAAGTTGGGTGGTTTCCAGTCTGGAAAGCCTTGACCCAAGTTGATAGCGTTGCACAAGGAAGACAACGGAGAAAACTCCAACCAAACAGAAGGCTCTTGAAACTGTTGTACACGTTGAGGAAGATTATAAAAGTTCATTTTTGGTAGACTAGAAACCAAAGACAGTTTCCTACAAGTCGATCTTCGTTCCCATAACCACAAAAAACAAGTTCGAATGACTTGCATTCTTTTCTGTCGCTTGGAATATCCAAAGGACTGAAAGCAACTCCTTTGCAACGGAACTGGTGATCAAATAGAAAAAGATGGAAATTCATTTTCTTTATGGACAAGAAAAAAGACTAGTTTAGGAATCAATCAAGTTATTAATGCTCCTTATCTCCTGGTTATTATATTGTTGCATCTGAATACCACCCAAATGACAAGTCAATAAACACTCCTGTTGTTCTTCTTCAGGCAGTTGACTGGATAGTATCATCAATACAACTTGGCGAATGCTGTGGTCCTTTAGATGCTTATCCCATTCCTCTTTATGAAACTGAATATTTGTTTCCAACCAAATATTTTCACTTTCCTTGGTCGCTATCGGTTTTTGTGCTCCAACGCAAGAAATCATTCGAAATGTATTCGACAATGTAGGATAAGAAAGATTTCCTGGAACTGCAATGGTGCACTGTTCGCCTTCATTTCCTTCTGGACTAGTTACAAAGCCAATTGTAAATACATTGGCTTGTTCTCGAGATACTTTTAACCAATATCTCAAATGCAATAAATCTTTGGTTATCCATATATCAGCTTCTGCAATCGTATGAACAACCCATCCTGCTCCTTTCAACTTGCATCGAAAGAATAAACTGCAACCAGAGTTCCAACCACAACCATAATCAGTAGAGATTTCAAGAAAATCTAAACAAAGATGAGAAGAAGAAGCATAGAGGTGAGCTCTTGTATATGAAGGCTGCAACTGTTGTTGACGTAGATTGACATAAGGTTTGGATGATGCAACTTGTTGACCTTCAACAAATGAACGACGACCATAACCAGTTTCCCAAAATGTTTCCAAAGGAAGATCTACCCACAAAGGTCGAGATGGAAAGACACTTCCTATAGATTGCGTGTTTGCTTCCCAAAAACGAAATTGATTATCTTCCACATGAGGGCCACTTTCTTGAGCTTCACAAGTCCAACCAAACGCAAAGAGAGCGATACTCGTTCCCATTTGTTTAGCCACCTGTGCTGCTACATAGCTTTGATAACCACCACCACCAAAAGTGCCTGGCCAAAGTAAGTTTCGAAATCTCCCATATCAAATACAAATTACCTCTTCCAAACACATCAATGCCCGTAAATACGTCAAAATGTCTTCCATTGGATGACAACTGACTCAATCCAACATCATTTGGATGCCAATGATAGTTGGTAAAGATTCCATCGCAACGCTCAAAAAAGTAGTAATTTTGTTCGTTTAATCGATTCTGCCAACGTAAACGACCTTCTACGGTGACCGAGTCATACCAGAGTACCATTGCATGTTGCCCTATTTCATCTTTCATCATATCACAAGTTTGTTTCAACAAGTCGCCAATCAAAACAACATATTGACGAGAAGGCAAATGGACTTCAAAGTTAAAGAGCCAACCTTCAAAACCAAATGTTTTCGCAATATGAACAAGTTGTCTAGCTACCCTTTTTCTTCGGCTTTCTTCCATGACAGCTAATACCAACTCGCGACCTGCTTCTTCCCACTCAAAAATAAAAGTGCCCAATACCAAAGTGCCGTGTCGATGAGCCGATTCAATCCAACATACGGGAGGTATAGTAACTCTATGATGCGAAAAATACACAAATATATCCACAAAGCTACATATTGGAACAAAATAATTACAGTTGGTTCCTTACAAAGAGTAAATATGACTTACCCCTACGAATTGCGTTAGAATGTATGATAAACAGAGACAACTATCGATTTATGTATATATAAGAGACGTACCCAATGTCGAAAAATAAAGGCTTCCCTTCGACTTGCAAGTAATTCTGCAGCTTGTCCAATCTTTCCATTGGGTTGCTTTTCATAGCTCAGGTAGCCACCTTTGAAATCATGACAAGCTAAAACACGTTGTCTAGGTTCTAAAGCTCGAGCAATGGCATAGTCTGAAAGAGATACTTGCGAACACAAACTTTCTGAAACTTGTGAAGGATCCCAATTCAAAAGCTGTTCGATCGAACGCAATGGTTCACAAACCATTCTCCACCAACGTTGTGACGGGAATCCAAAACCAACAAATATTGCTGTCAAACTGAGAACAGTCAACAAGAAATATGTAGGCTCTTGAAAGATGGATCCAATCAAATGGGTTTATCATTTTTCCAACACAGTTCAATACATTCTTTAAGCTTTGTATAATCTGTTTAGCCAAAAATTCTTATTTCTCTCATTGAATAATATTATTGTATCTTTGGTCAAGCCGTTCCCTATTAGACCACAGAATTATGGAATGATCATCGCTGGCTGAAGCAAACAGAAAAGGATCCTTAGGATTCCAATCAACACAACTGACAGTAGCATGATGACCATCCAAACGATATACCAAATCTCCAGAATCTCTAAACCATACATATACACTGGTATCTTCACTTCCACTGACAACGAATACTTCACCTTGTCCACCAAATGTTGATCGAATCACAAAATTGATTTGTCTCTGACCACGATAGTCTTGAATGACTTTCCGCTTGGTTAAATCCCACAAATGAATTTCTGCTTCTCCATCGGAATAATTGGAAGCACTTCTCATGGACATATTGACTAGTAAATAATTTCCATCTTTGGATAAACTCAACGAAGTAATGGAAGCAATTTCTAATAGCGAAGCCACTTCTAACTGGGTGCTGCGATCGAATATCTGAATATATCTTTCAGCAACTGCTATAATTTTACTATCATCAGGAGTAACTACCAAATCAGCAGTCTTCTTGCTTCTATAAAAACATACTGGAGAGGTGGGATGTTCACTCAACAAATCGTACTCATAAATATATTCATCTGGACCACTCGTAACTAAACGACAACCATTCGATAACCAAGCACAAGAAGAAACAATTTCCTTATGATCACTCAGCTTCCATTTACACTGACCACTAAAAACTTCCCAAACCAAAACCGTATGATCATTGCTACATGTTGCCAAATAACAATCATCTGGGCTCCAAGCTAAAAATGTAATATCGTCTTCATGACCATTTAATAACCAAACTACTCGTTCTCCTTCTATGTAACCTTTTACTGAATGATCCATTCTTCCAGTATTCGACTCTGGTTGCTCTCCATTCACGGAATGAACTAAGCCATTGGTATAACCAGAATCTAAGGTTTCGGTCAAATGAGATGGCATAGATTGAACTGTAGAGTCAATCAACTGTTCTGCTGCAAAAGAAACTTGCTCATCACTATACTTGTCCAGACAATCCAAACGCCATATCAATACGATTCGATCTTTTGATAAGGACGCCAAGTAACGACCCGAATGAGAAAAAGCAACAAACCAAACTTCATCCTTGTGTCCTCGAAGAGTTGCATATGCTAAATGGGGGACTTTTTCTGGACAGTATTTCAAATCTTCTAATAAACTTGGTTGTGGCGGTGTACAATATGGATAAAAAGATTGTTTCTTTTGCGCTTCCAGTGCTTGCTTAACCAAGCCTTGCAATCTTCTTTGTGGTGGGAGTATCCAAGGAGGAATATAACGTTGAATTTCTTCTAGCAATTGTCGTCTCCTACTAGGACCAGTAGTGTTCCAAGCACACTGCTTTCTCAGGTCTTCCGAACTTTTGCACATGACTAAAGATGTTAGTCGTTGTAACCTTTTCATATCACTGCATAATGGAGTGACTTGCGAACGTAAACAGTGAAGAGCGCTTTCTACTTCCCCGTTCTCCAATGTCTCCAAATATTGTTGTTCATAGATGAGGAATCTTACTTTATCAAGTGCTTGCACATCTTCCAATCCTAGATGAGACACATGTTGTGCGGCTCTCGACCACTCACCAGAAAAGATACACTCACAAAACTCTGCTACTTGTCCATTCAGAGCACATAATCCACTTTGCTCTTCCAACTGTTTCGAAACTGAAGGATAACCTAAGCTTTGAATAGCTTGAATAACCAATCTAGTAAATTGATCTTTGGGTATCTCTTCAGAGTCTTCCAACAAACCACAAGAGTGTTGATGGTAGCTGGGAGAAGACATGTTGTGATGTGTAGTATAGTTGGAACGCAATAAACGTGGTTTCTTCCAAGGTTTCTTTACGTTTTCCGTCTTCCTAAACTTTTCTATGCTAGTTTATTTCCACTTGGTTCTTCTCCCATTCAGGAATAGTCAATGCCGCCATTTCTTCCTTTTGATCTAAACGTTGGATAAACACTCCTTTGGCAAAGCGACTTTGAATAGGAATGTCATCGACAGACTGACGAACAATTCGTCCAGTATTGGTGCATAATACAACTTCTTCATTTCCTAATATATCAACTGGTAAGAAAACACATAGCACAGAAATTATTTCAAGTTACATACGACAAACTCGAAAGCAAACAAGTTCATCCCGTCTTTTCGTATCAAACTTGATAGCAACAACTCCCATTTGATATCTCTTTCGTACGGGTATTTCTGATGCCATTATTCTTTTTCCTTTTCCAGTTTTGGTGACTGCTAGAAAATGGCATTGTTCTTGTGAAGTTTGTGATGAAATAACATCGACATCGATCAAACAATCATCAGCTTTCAAACGAATTGCTCGTACACCACGACTCGTTCTTCCAGTGTCCATTAAGTTTTTCTCGTTTACTTGAAACTTTAAGACTCTTCCTTGACGAGTGGATAATACAATCCAGTCATTCAATTTGCATCTCTTTAACCAAAGTGAATCAGTACCGTTACTTAGTCGAATGGCCATTTTCCCTTTTCTATTGAAATGTTCAAATAATGAAAAAGAACATCGTTTGATGGCGCCTTGTTTCGTGACCAAAACTACATAGTCGTCCTTGGATAAAGAGGAAATAGAAAGCAAACCAGAAATTCCATTTTCTACACAGTCTTCATCCAATAACATGGCCAATGCATTGCCTCTTGATACTCTCGACTCCAACGGTATTCTATGGGCAGGAATACTATACATTCGTCCTTGTTTACAGGTAAATAACAAAGTATCATGTCCATAACAAGCAATCAAGTATTCAACGGTCTCATCTTCACGAAGTGTAATTCCTGTCTTTCCTTTTGTACCTCTTCGTTGTGATTCAAAGTCAGTAAAAGACATTCTTTTGATGAAACTAGAATGAAAATTTCAATGGTCTTCTATGAGTGTCTGTGCCATGAATAGAAAGGAATATGCTCACTTTTTGGATGTCACTATAAGAAGACTCTTCTCATTGGGAATAGTTTTGGTTTCTAAAATATCTGCTCGTTCAGTGGATATCATCGTCTGACGTGGATAATTAAATCGAGATGCACATGTCTTCAACTCATCTGCAATGATACCATAAACTCTTTGCTCCTTTTGCAATACATCTTGTAAATCTTCAATCTCAGAAGTCAACTGTTTTGCCTCCATTTCTACCCGTTGCCACTCTAGTTGGGTTAGTCTTCTCAGCTGCATGGATAGAATAGCTTCAGCTTGCTTTTCCGACAACTGAAATGATAACTTGTGTTTCTTATTGTATTCTAAAGTGTCCTTTTGTCCCATTAAAACAGCTTTGGCAATAGTGGAATCTGGAGCACTACGTATAAGAGCAATGATTTGATCTAAACAGGATAACACCAATAAGAAACCGTCCAATAAATGTTTTCGCTCTTTTGCTTTGGACAACTCATATTCACACCGTCTTCGGACTATCTGCACACGAAATTGTAAAAACGTTTGTAAATATTCCTTCAAAGTCATTCGGCGAGGTCGATTATCAACCAATGCCAACATATTTCCAGCGAACGATGTTTGCATCGCAGAAAGTTTGTAAAGTTGATACAACACCAATTCTGGGTCTGCACCTTTCTTAACTTCTATAACTACTCGAGTTCCATCCCTATCAGATTCATCACGAATATCTGCAATGTTTTCCAATCTTTTTGACTGCACCATTTCAGCAATATGAGACACCATTGCTGCTTTATTTACTCCATATGGAAGTTCATCGACTATAATTGCTTGACGATGAGAACGAATGCCATCCTTTTGATGTTCAATATGGGTCTTTGCTCTCATCACAATTGAGCCATGACCTGTTTTATAAAATGCCTCGATTCCCTGTGTTCCCTATATATATTATTGGATAAATAAACGCTATTTTGAACGAAAGAATTCTTATTACCATAATAGTACCACCTGTAGGGAAATCTGGACCTCGAATATGCTCTGTAAGCTGTTCTATTGTGATATCGGGATTGTCTATCAATGCAAGTAAGCCATTACATAGTTCACCCAAATGGTGAGGAGGAATATTGGTCGCCATTCCTACTGCTATTCCTGAACTTCCATTCAATAAAAGATTGGGAACTTTTGCAGGTAAAACCTGGGGTTCCCAATCTGAGTTGTCAAAATTGGGAAGCAACGTCACGGTATTCTTATCTAAGTCACCCAAAAGTGCCGTTTGAGCAAATGACGATAACCTACATTCCGTATATCGCATAGCTGCGGGTGGATCATGATCCACCGAACCAAAATTGCCATGTCCATCGACTAAACATACTCTCATCACAAAATTCTGCGCCATACGAACCAAAGCATCGTAGACGGCACTATCTCCATGTGGATGATATTTTCCCAACACTTCTCCGACTACTCGTGCACACTTACGAAAAGGACCTTCTGAAAATAATCCTAATCGGTACATACCAAACAGAATTCTTCTGTGTACAGGTTTCAGTCCATCCCGGGCATCAGGAATAGCTCTTCCTAGTATAACCGAAAGAGCATATTCTAAATAAGATTTCGATACTTCCTCTCCCAATTCAGTTGGAATGACTTTTTCATCTTCTTGTTTGTATTTAGAACTAGTTGTGGCTGACGCTTCGATATTGCGCACCTTTTTGGCGCCTTTTTGCAAATACTTGGAATTCCGCCATTTCGGCTCTAAAGGTTTCTTTGAGGTATAACGACGAACAGAAGAACGCCAAACACTTAAGAAAGAAATCGGTTTCGTACAAGATAAAGGTATACATCGACAAGGCATCCAGCCTAGGGGCTGTTCTCTAGGCATGAGGATTATCTACTTACTACGAGTGAGTGAGTGGCTTTACCCAACAACAATCAGGAATATTTGATTTTTCAATCAACTCTTTGTGGGAGAATAATAGTCATTCATATACTCTCGACAGTTTTAAGAAGTATATGAAGTGAATATTAAATAATTTGTAGACAACATGCAGTCGGTAGAGAATCCTTCAGAGTCTTCCGCAGAAGCTTTAGCAGTAGACGAACAACAACTTGTGGAAACTATTAAACAACGTATATTGCCTCAACTAAGAGATAAGGTGGTTGGTATGCGGTTTCCGGACTTTGAATCAAGCGGTCCCAACCATTCTTATGCTTTGCAACAAATGATACTATCACGTGTTATTTTTCCTCCTGACAAGTTAAGGCTTCACTCCGATCATGAACAAGGCATTTATCAACTTTGCTGTAACGATATCAAATTGTATATAGATATAGGCTTATGGAAATACGAAGCTGTCAATCACTGGAAGGTTAAAGACCAAGGAAGTGCAATTGCTTCTTTAACCAAAGTAGCCCTTGTATTATCTTTTCGTTTCCTTGTGGATGCCGACACAGGACTTTTACAAGTTAGTTTGTTAACTTGTAAGGTGACTGTGGGTAAAGCCAAGTTGCGTTTTGCTGACACTTCTTCCAAGTGGCTTTATAATCTCATAGCGTTGGTGTTTCACGGACAGTTGAAAAGAATTGCTTCCAAGGCGTTGGAAGAATACTCGAAGCAAGTGATGGAAGAACAACTGCAGATTTGGTCACATAAGATATTTGGGGTGGTCTAAACTGTCACTCCTAAAAGGGATATAGCATATATACATATTTATGTCCACCAGAAACTCAAGGAAATACTCTTATCCAAAGCCTTGACATAGTGCCAATAACCAGGAGGAATATACAACATATCTCCACTTCCCACTACACATTCTTGATAAACAGCATCCATAAAGTTTGGATACTTTTCAGTATCCACTTGCTCAATATCGTCTATTAAACTTGTATTTTTATGTAGGGTGCCTTCTGATGGATAAAGCTTTGAACTCTCTCTTGGTGCATACAATCGAATATATTTCCATCCAACCACCTGAACAAAGAGATTATGTTGAGCATCATAATGAAGAGGTGTTCGGGTATTCTTAGGACCAAACCAGATATGAATACGTGGAAGTGAATTGGTTTCCGACAAATAACAGTATTCAGGTATTTGAATGTCCTTCATCAAACTCGGAACTTGCTCTAATAAGGGATGTTGAGCCAAATAACCTATTCGACTAGTTGTTTGGATGATATATTGATCTATAAACTCTCCAAGTTTCGTTAGTTGCTGACTCCAATCCTCTGACATATAACTCGAACCAACTTCAATAGGAACCAATCTATTTCCTGCTACTTGTTTCCAATATACAATATCATTCCATCGTTTGTCCTTTACACAGCTCCACTCTGTTGCCACTCCTTTGATAACTACGGGTATTTGAGGGCTCAAATATTGGTTAAAAAAGGTTTCAAGACTGGGACGGTGCCTTTTGGGCAAAGGATATGTGACAAGATCACTTGGCGGAGCACAATCATCAGTAACTAGTCTACTCAGTTGCGGCTGCACTTTAGCCTCTGACCCTAAAAATTCGCAACCTGTCCTAACACTGTCCAGATATTCCAAACAGATAAGAATATCTTCTTTCCAACTCCCCGTTCCCAGTAAAACGGCCAAGTCTAACAGCCTACTGGCTTCTTCTATATCTCTAGAAACATCTGTACAAACGAAAACCAAAGAGACAAAAGCATATATTTCTCTCCATACTTGAGGCACATCACTCCACACCCCTATGTGCAGCTCTTCCCAGCTTTTCGTGAGCAAACTCTTTGCAAGCCTATGTGCGTTTATAAAACAACAAGAATCCTCTTGGTCACTCCATAGTTCTGCAAATGTTATTCGTTGTAGAGAACGCAATTCTTGCAACAATTTCTTTAACAAAAACAAGGCAGCCTGTCCATCGTATTCCTTCACGAGAATCGTTTGCCAACGAGATATTTCTTCATGAGCCAATCGATCGATAGCCAAATCCATCATCCGAAGAAGAGATATGATGAAAGCCAATCCTCTAAAAGGCCATTTCCCAAAATAGATTGCGATTCTAAACGAATATGTTTGGGAACCATTTCTCTCCTCCTCCCTCTTCCAGTCCCCAACCAAGCAGAAAAAGATACCTTTGTTATCATTGTAGAAGATACTTTGTACTGGTGGTCAGCTTGGACATGGGGAGTGATTGGTGCCCACAGTGTTCCCTTTGTGGTAGTACGTTCGTGGAGGAATGTTCGCAAGTTGGGGAGGGTTTCCACCAAGTTACTGGAGAGAGCTTGGAAATGAGACCATTATTATGTTTGGATGAGTGGGGAAGGGAAGACACGAGCATGCCCTTATGGGAAGGGTTACCAATTGCACCTAGTATTGGTTCTTCTTTGTACGTCAGACCGAATACAGCGCACCATAGCACTGGTATGCAAACTTCTAGTTTAAGTTATTACACTGCAGGTAGAACAGCGTCAACTAGCACTGTGACGGAGAATTCGAGTCCTTGGCAGCATGTTTTGGAAAGATTATGGGATGCCTTTTCTAGATTAAGAAGCAGCAGAAGAGAACAAACAACACTTCGGCCTCCAATGAGTGCCCATACTACGGCTACTACTAGTACCACAAACCATTCAACACTTTATTCTTCTTCTGTCTCATCAGGTAGTGTGCATAGTCTTCCCACGAGTAGGGTCTCTAGAAGAGTGAGACATAGAACAGGTGAACATACGCAAGATATGAATAGTCTCAATGTAGAAGAGATATGGGAACGTGAGTTGGCTACACTTTATCAACAGCTCCTGTTTTCACAAAACGACCCAGAGGAATATGCACGAGTGGAAGCTTTCTTGTCTAGTATGTTAGATTGTTTATTGGAACTTTATTCACAAAGGTCGAGTCCAACGTCCAAGTCATTTGTAGATAGTTTAGAAGGTCAATTGTTGACTGAACAGGACGCAAAGGAAGCCGAAAGCTGTGCAATCTGTTGGGAAGAGTTTCAAGTCAATACTGTAGTTGTATTCCTTCCCTGTAGTCATTTGTTTTGCAAAAATTGCATTTGTACCTGGTTGAAGGAGAATTCTACTTGCCCCACTTGTCGTTACAAGTTGCCTGTAGACAATGCAAAGTCGAATCATGAAGAAAGCATATAGACTTGAATTGCGATTTGATTTTGAAGAGTGTGTAGGGATCGGATAGTTTCTGTCCACCTGAGTGTGAAAATAAACAGTGACATTCCTCCTATATTGCAAATATGGCACGAAATGAAGAGAAAGCACAGTCTATGTTGAACAGATATTTACGTGGTAAAGCAGAAGAAAGAGGCGAATATTTTCCGGTGGGTAGTAAACACTCGCGTGGTTCTCAAAGAATGACCGACATTTTGGAAATAGGGACAAGAACGACCGTATTTGGCTAGTATGTGTGATCGTCTTGACGCTGCAGAACAGTGGAGAAATCAAGTTCTCCGAGAGATTAGTAGAAGAGTGGTTGAAATTCAAAATAGTAAGTTGCTTCTTATTTGAGGTGGTTTTTTTGCTAAGCACCTGTCGAAACAAAATAGAGGGTTTAGGTGAAAGTAGGATAAGAGACGTCAACGACCAAATTAATAAGCTATTGAGAGAAAAGTATCATTGGGAGAGGAGAATAAGAGAATTGGGTGGACCCGACTATTCACGTTCTGCACTAACTGTCGGAGAAGGTGAAGCCATCCAAATTCGAGGTAGCAAAGGTTATTATTATTTTGGTGCTGCTAGAGAACTTCCTGGCGTAAAGGAGTTGTTGAAAGAGTCCTATTCGAGAGAAGAAAAGAAACGTAGTAGAGCGGAGCTGTATAAATGTGTAGATGCTGAGTATTATGGCTTTTTGGACGATAATGATCCCAATTTAGAGCAGTTAGAATATGAGGCGGAACTCGAAGCTCGAAAAGCGTTGGTAGAAAAGTGGGAGACAGACCACATGGTCCCTTCGAATTCGACAAAGAGAGCTCAAGTCGACTTGGAAGAACTTAGTGATGAAGATGAACCAGAGGAATCAAGTATTTTGTTGAAAGATGAAAACGCATTTCGTAAAGTTAAGCCAGGACATGAGTCACAAGTTGAACAGTTAGTTCTGGATAGAAAGAAGCGTCAGTTGCTTGAACAAGTTTTAAATGATGAGGAAGGAGAATGAAAGTGCTTTTTCCATAATACACTAAAGACTCCTTAAAAGACATTCTCTTAAATCCATTTTTGGTAATAGGATTGGCGAAACAATGAGTTAAAAAAATGCTAGGAACAAATAGTTTGGCGCCTTGTTAGTTGAATACTTTGGTTCTTATTATGAGTAAAGAAAAACTCCATATAGCTCGATTTGAGAAGCATACAACAGCACAAATACTTCATCTGTTAAAGGAACCTTCTATGGGTTTATACTACACAACAGAGCACTTGAGAAAGCGAGGAATTCCTCAGTTGATTTATCTACAAAACAAACTAGACGCAGTGGCGAGCCAAGAGGACGATCTTAAGATAGACTGTCAGTATGTACAGGAAGTATTAGAACTGTTTCCTAAAGCTGTAGGAAAGTTGGATTCGAGTATACGAAAGCTGGAGGGTATACTTGAGCAGTCTAAGCAATTGAACAAGTGATGCAAAAGTTTTTATAAGACCTTTATAAAGAAACAAGCTTTTCGTTCTCAATAGACGCAGCCTTTTGAGATAGTCCAGGTTGGACAGTACATATATTGTTTGGGCAGCACGAGTTGAAAAAATTTACTATGGGTCAGTAGCAATCTCTTGCAATTGTAATGCAGTCCGCTGAGAGTGTCAATTCAGCTCAGAGGAGCTAGTGCACAAACCTGAAAGTTAGGAAAGCTCTAAAGTCTTTTCGTGGAATAATGCCAAGCAATGGGCATTTTTTGAGTGGTTCCCTGCAAGGAAAGGAAGCCAGATTAGATTGCAGTTCTTGCGATGCAATGCAGTTTTGTTAATGGCGAAATATGTAGACACTGCAGGAGGAAGATCCCCCTGAAAAAACATGCTCAAATACATGTGGATAACCGAAGATGGTCTCGCCGATTGTCTGCTCCAATATTTGTCAAAGTTTGCAGAGAACCTTGTGTCACTTCCCAAAACTCTTCAGTCCAGGATGATGATCGCAAGGACACGAAAAGGTATTGCAATTCAATCACTTTTCAGGATGCTATCTTGAAGTTAAAGGAATATTGGGCTTCAAGGGGTTGTCTAGTCTGGATCCCACATAATACTGGTATGACGCAAGTCCACCCTAAGTTATTCTAAAGAGACTGAGTATCGGATAGAAGTGGGAGCTGGTACAATGAATCCTGCGACTTTCCTTCGTGTACTTGGTCCGGAGCCTTGGAGAGTTGTCTATGAAGAGCCTTCTATCCGTCCTGATGACTCTCGTTATGGTGATAACCCGAACCGTGTACAGAGGCATACACAGTTTCAAGTTATCTTGAAACCAGCACCTGAAAACTCACAAGAACTTTTTTTAAATTCTTTGCGTGCTTTAGGAGTTGACGTTGAATCTCATGATATTCGTTTTGTCGAAGATAATTGGGAGTCTCCCGCTTTGGGTGCATGGGGTCTTGGTTGGGAAGTTTGGCTGGACGGACTAGAGATTACACAGTTTACATATTTTCAACAAGCTGGTGGCTTTAGTTTGGATCCTGTTTCATTGGAAATTACGTATGGTTTAGAGCGAATTATAATGAGTCTTCAAGGTGTATCCCATTTTAAGGAAATCCAATACAACAACTTGTTTTCCTATGGTGACCTATTTTTGCAAAATGAGTACGAAATGAGTCGATTTTACTTGGATGAAGCGGATATATCCAGACACAAAACGTTGTTACAACTATATGAGGAGGAATGTCGATTTTTATTGAGAAAACAACTGCCCATTGCTGCCTATGAATTTGTTTTGAAATCAAGTCATACATTCAATATATTAGATGCTCGAGGAGCTGTTGGAGTAACAGAACGTGCAAAAATGTTTCAAGGGATTAGAAGTTTGGCATGTGATGTTGCTTCGGCCTGGCTAAAAACGAGAGAATCGCTTCATTTTCCTCTTCTTGAACAAAAGAACAATTTGGAAAATGGACAGAATAACACCATAGAGAGCTTTGAGAATATTATTGTGAATCGTCGTACATCCACGATGAGACTCATTGATAAGGAATATGACTTCTTTGTTCTTGAAATAGGAACTGAGGAACTTCCAAAGGATGCGATTCATCTTGCCAAAGTTCAGTGTGAAACGGCATTTTCAAAACTTCTTGACTCTAACAGACTAGACTGGCGAGGAAATATATTGTGTGGAGTAACTCCAAGACGCATTGTATTGATGATACCAGAACTAGCAACTTGGCAAAGTCCACAAACTAAAAAATTAAGAGGTCCTCCTGCTAAGATTGCCTACAAAGAATCAGGAGAGGCTACAGAGGCATTACTAGGTTTTTGTAGAACTCAAGGAGTCTCTGTTTCTTCGGTAACCGTGGAACATGACAAAAATTCAGATTATGTGTTTGCAACCAAATACGAGAGTGGTTCCTCAACTATTGAAGTCATGACAGAGATGTTGCCTCCATTTCTGCATTCCCTTACATTTGCAAGGTAATTGTTGTCTTTGTCTCCTTTATATATCTAAAAAATATTATTTCTTCTTAGAACAATGAAATGGAATGATACTCTAGTTAATTTTCCTCGTCCTATACGATGGTTGTTTGCAATGTTGGGAGAAGAGACTATTCGCTTCCATTATGCAGGATTGGAGGCAACCAATTGTACTTTTGGTTTGCGTATCCAAAGCAAATCACCGCCTATTATTTTGAAAGATGCCAAAAATTATCTATCCAGTTTGGAAAATCAAGGAATTATGCTTGATACAAGGCAAAGACGAACTTTTATATGGGAACAAGCATCGGCCATTGCAACGGATTTAAATGGAAAGTTATACCCAAGCGACAAAGGTCAAGAAGGTGATGATTGCCTCCTTCAAGAAGTCAGTTGTTTAGTCGAGAGTCCTGTAGTTTCTTACGGTCAGTTTGATAAAGTTTTTCTTAGTCTACCAAGAGAAGTGTTGATTACAGTTATGAGAAGGCATCAACGTTATTTCCCCGTGCAGTCAGTCGAAAATGATGAGTTGCTTCCTTTTTTTATTTTTGTTACTCAGTTGAGAAAAGACATGGAATTGGTCAGAAAAGGAAACGAATCAGTATTAAGAGCTCGATATACCGATGCAGAATTTTTTTATAGACATGATTTGATGCAGTCTTTTGATAGTTTTCGACAAAAGCTTCAAGGTTTGACCTTTCAAGAAAGTTTAGGAAGTATGCTGGATAAAAACATTCGATTGGAACGTATGGTAAGCATGCTAACAGACAGAAGATTCGGAATTCTTGAAATAACACCACATTTGTCTCTTAGGTTTCCACATTGCATGATCAGTTGCAACTCACCCCAGAGGAATCTCGAGACTTGAGAACTGCAGCCCAACTATGCAAGGTAGACTTGGCTAGTAGTATGGTAATTGAGTTTACGTCATTAGCTGGAGTGATGGGAAAATATTATGCATTGGAAAACAATTATTCAATTGCTACAGCTATTGCCATTGAAGAGCATCACTTACCTCGTTACTATGGAGACAAGTTACCGTCGTCCAGGGTTGGAGCTCTTTTAGGAATCATCGACCGTGTAGACTCATTAGTTGGTCTCTTTGCAGCTGGATGCCTTCCAAGAGCCAGTGCAGACCCTTTTGGACTTCGAAGAACGGCATTGGGACTTGTTCAAGTGTGTGTTTTACATGAGATGGATGTGAACTTGCGTCACTACTTTGAAATTGCAGCCAAGTTACAACCCATTGCTGTTCCTTGTCAAGTAATTGATCAAGCCTTGAGTTTTGTCATGAAAAGATTGGAGACTTGGTTGACAGAAGATGAAGCAACATGGGATATTGCAAATCATGAAGCTGATGTCATTCAAGCAGTACTGGCAGAACAATCCAGTGGCAATCCATTTCAAATAGTCAATATTTTGAAACTTTTCATGAAAGAACGAGAAAAACCTTACTTTGGAAATGCTATTCAGGCCTATGCTAGACCTGCCAAGCTTTTACTTTCTGTTGTTACTAAAGACTGGTCTGAAATACCGGAGATACCTGATCCAACATTGTTTGAAACTGAGGATGAGAATGGTCTTTATTATATCATTTCCAAAGATTATGAAGCAATGAATCACTATGCGAATAACAACTTGTCCCAAATTTTGGAAACTCTGGCGAGATGGAAACCTTTTATCGATACATTTTTTGAAAATGTATTTGTCATGTCTTCAGATTATCGAATTCGTTACAATCGAATAGCACTGTGTCGCATGATAACAAAAATTACGACAGGAATCATCGACCTCACCAAACTGCGTGCTTTCTAAGACACTTTCAAGCTCTCTGTAAGATTCAGTAATCTTGGCAAGTCTAATCCGTTGCAACTTTCTCAGTGTCATGTAAAGAGGATGAGTTTTTGAGGTTTGTGCCTATTTCATTGAGAGCATGTCGAATATTTGACAAACTGGACAAATCGTTATGAATAGACTCAAGTATTTCATTGTGGTGCTGTTCATTGAAAAGTTCCTTCAGAGTATGTTCAATTTTCTCAAAACCGTTGCGTATTTCAAGAGTTACTTCTCTTGTCATCTGTTCCAATTTGTTAACGACCATTTGGGAAGCACCAAGCCCATCTTCGGCAACTTTTCTACTAGAAACTGTACCACCAGTCAGTATGGGGGTCGAAAGTTTCTTTGGAGTTTCTTCCACCTTTCGTCTTTTGGTTGTCTTGCTTTCTGCACTATAACCGATATTGTTACTATTGTTATGGAAGCGAGGAGTCGAGCCATGAGTTTTTGTACGCGATCGCTTCTCTGCACTTCTTTCCACAGTTGCATACTTCCATTTGACTTCCGAAAGATCCACCCATTCGGAAGAGTGATCTGCTTCATAATAGATATTGTGCATCTTGTCTTCTTCTGAATAATCAACAACCTTTCCTGTATACCATTGGTCATCTGGAGGCCAATACAATTCTATATAGGTGTCCTTTGGTAGTTTAGCAAACGCTGCCTTGCCTGAACGTAACGGTGCTGCCTGCGAATCTTGTTCCTTCACGGATGCAACTTCCTTTTCGGGTTTCTCCAAATATTGTTCTAAATATAACAAGTCCGATTTCCTGGCTTCGACGGCCTCTTCTGCTGCCTCCATCAACAACTGAGCATGTTGTACTATCCAATCACTTTCGGGGTCAGTATTAAAGGCTCTTGTGTTTTCCAACAACAAACGCATATCGTCCAAATACTCTGTATGCGTGAAATATTTGCCACCCTTACATTTATCCCTTATTTGGTTCAAGAAGATTGGATTTTTCACCACCTCATAGTAACTTTTTACTTTAACCGGCACTGTAAAGTCCAAAGCTAACCCCTTTGGCTTGGCCAAGGAAAGCGCAGAAGGCGGTATGACGTCACCAGCCTTATAACGAGCTATTTGTATCGGAGGTTCTATATTGATTGCAAAACCTTTTTGGTCTCTAACGAATTGTTCGCACTCCAACAACAGTTGGTTGAATCGTTTCCTAGCTTCTTGGGGGGTCCATTCATCCGTTTCAGAGTCGTCAAGTTCTCTCAACTCTTTTAATATTTGTGCTTTTTCTTGTTCCAACTGTTCTAACTCTGCGTCAACCATTTCTGATTCCATACGAAAAACGACGAAAAGAAAAACCCTACAATATCTAACTCTCTCACTTCAACAGGCGGGTCGAATCTAAGATAGGATGGACGATAATGATAATAATACTTATGGGAAATGCCCAAGTGTCATGGGAGGAGAAGCTTGGCTAAGCTGTCTCTCTCTCTATGTGCTGCCTGAATAATATGCCAACTATAGGGAGAGCCATCTATCTTTATTCAGATTACTTTATAATTATGGTTCATTCTAAACAACTTGGAACAGCATATGAGAGAAAGGATCTTCCCTCCAGTGCATTCGTCTTTTTGATTCTAGTTTAGACGCCTACTTTCCATTAGAGAAAATTATTCCATAGCTATTAAACTTCTTTATCGAGCCATGTAGTGTTGCAAGTCCAACGGCAGCTCAAGTCTTTGGCGCCAAATAATGCAATTAATCTTATCGTTGATTGTTTTGTGGGGGAGTGGAGGAGGAAAAAGTGACATGGCTACTTCGGTATGTTGCATAACCAACTTTGTGAAGTATACTCAACCTAGAGGTACAGGAAATAAACAACCATCATCAGGAGGAACAACCGTTCAAGGTACATTTTTTCTTCTCACCTTGGTGAACAAGTATTTGACCAACACTCGTAGGAGCCGTCCTCGAGGGAAAGCAACGATAAATTTGACCAAGCATATGCCGAAAGTGTTGCCAAGGAAATCATAGAAAGCACAGTTGGAGAGGAAAAATATGAACACACCAAAACTGTGGAATGGACGAATCAAATGTGCGAAAAAATATTGGCCAAGTTGTTGGAACTACAAAAGCCCTTCAAATACATAGGTGGGTAATATAAATGACATACAAAGCTTTATGTAGACTGATAGTGTCAAGTATCTTGTTCTTTGTTGCAAAAGAAAGGCGCTGGATTCCATACTGCAACGACATGTTACTGGGATGCCGATTGTGATCAGTGTTGCACCATAAAGTAAGCAACAGTAACCTAAACCAATCCATACTGACTTCAAATCAGACACGAAACCAAACACCTTCATGTGATATGCACGATTTATGCCGTATCGATTCATTAGGATCATTCGAGGCTCTATATTTGATAAATACAGATATTGTTCCAAAACGCAGATTTTGCAACCCGAAATAAATCTACATTTGCAAGACTGAACGGAATAGTGCAGTCTTCTGACCATTTAATTAGTGTTAAAGTTTTCCTCTTTATTCTATCAGTACTATCCCAATAGGACTGTCTATGGTTTGAATCACTTGCACTCGAACCCTAGAATATCCTTGGTTCTCGAAGCAAAATGCTGCGTTTATGCCTGTCACAAGAACAAACTAAGACTTTATGTTCAGCAAAGACCAAGTTGTTTCAGTGCAACCGAAAGTGTTTGTCCCAAGTGAAATGAGTGTGTTACGAGAGAACTATGTTGGTTGGTTAAACTTTACTCGAAGATATTGGTCAGGGTCACAGTACCCTTGAAAGAGACCAAACAAGTGAAAGGAGAAGAACAAAGTACCGATATTGCTCTCAGTATTCTTACATTCGACGACAGTGTTCCAATGCAGAAGAAAACCACTTCTTCCAAGTCTCTCAAAGAAAGTCTAGCTAGTTGTGCCTTTCAGAGGCTATTGTGGTACTTCACACAGCAAAAGTCTAAATCACAACATTGTTGACCAACACTGAAGGCTACACTGTAGTTGTCATAACTGCAACGTTGCGTCTTGTGCGGTGAAAAGCAAAGACGTCACAATATTCCAAAAATACCGTGAGAGAACAAGTCCAATATTAGTTCATGTCTTACACTGATAAAACCAAATAACTATGTAATAAAAAACTATTCATTGTTTCAAACGCGGTTATCATTAACCACTTGTAACTGTTCCATGAATAAAACATTTTCTTCAAGTGAGAAGAATTGGGTGACAAGTTCAATGTCCGCCTGGAGAGACTTGGTAGGTGCAGGAGCTGCTTGTGCTCCAGACGACCAACAAGGAGCAGCTTCTTCTTCAGCAGCCTCAAGAAACCCATTAGGTCGCTTGGCAGACTCTGTTTTGGGAGAATCTCGAGAAAGAAATACCTTCAGACAAACACCCGAACACTGGACTGGTCAGGAGGAAGCGTTGCTTTTTGGTGACTATCAACAAGCGCCACAACAAACTATACCCTATGGACAACCTCCAGTACCCCATCCATATGCTTTACCAGCACAACCACCTCGACCGTTCAGTTATTCAGCGCCACTACCACCAGCAGGTTTTACGAACCAGAGTAGAGGCGGAGACTTTGTCAGTGATTTCTTACATGAACAGCAAAGTTCTGTATATAGTTCAGGACCCAACGTAATTTCTCAAGTTCCAGGTCCAAGGGGTTACAATTCTTCTTGGATACGACCAAACTATGACAATGCCTCACTATTTAGCTGGATACCTGAGTACGATAGGCAAGTTGGAGGCTCGTCCCAAAGTGTTTTAGCTCCAAACAACAAAGTACAACATTCCAATGAAGAGGAAGTTCTTGAAAGAGCCTTTTTGTCTTCGTCTCAACCTACATCGTCTCACTGGTCTTCAGTACAGTCTTTAGTAAAGGACTATGCAGCTTCTACCCTTATGCACCAAGGTTTTCAACAAGATATGAGGAAAGCAGAAGGCAGCAGTGGCTTGGCGTCAGAATTGGATACGTTGCGAAAACGTTCCGAAGAAATGGCAAGATCTTATTTTCCAGGAGCAAGTGACTCGTTTATTCAGGAGCAAGTGAATGAATTTCTTCAGTCTTTACGTGAAAGCTCAGATTGGGTATCATCTTATCATCAGGTAAGACTATGTTTGGTTGAAGTATGCAAGAAGTCCATTTTCATATTTTTAGGAACCGAACTTGGAACAAAGCACCAGTACATGGCATGAAGAATTTTCCAAGTTGCATTTGGATGCTCAAGTAAGTGATGGATTTCAATATATACAGGAAGAAGGGGTTTCATTCTTTTTTGAGTAGAACACGACTGAGGAATGGGCAAAGGAGTTGGTAAAGGAAGATCATACAACTTGGGCAGAGGAGTTCCAACAAGATTCCACTAGTCTTCCATGGCAAGATGAATATCTCGAAAAGGAGAATTTCGAAGATACTTTCGAGGATGATTTGAGAGCTTATCTTGGCAAAGACCCCAATGAATTGGAATATGAATTTACTGAAGAGAATCCTTATCTGGGCAATCCCAATGCTATGGCAGAAGGTGAAAGATTATATGCGGAGGGGGATTTACGGAATGCGATGTTGGCATTCGAAGCAGCCGTTAGAACCGAGCCAAATAATGCTAAATGGTAAGTTGTCATGAGTATCGAATCCTTGTCAACACAAAAGATTGATGACTTCTAGTTGGTTTCTGTTGGGTCGGACTCATACTGAAATGGACCAAGACAATCCAGCCATAATATGTTTACGAAGATCGATTGAAGTTGGAGGTGAAGTTGCGGATGCATTGTTAGAATTGGGTGTTTCATATACCAATGAACTTAATCACTCACAAGCTTTAGCATATTTGAAGAGGTGGTTAGAAACCCAGCCCAAATATCAGGCATTCTCTCGTCAACAACCTTCTGATGATGCGGTGACAGCGCATGCTTACTTAGTTGAACAGTTTAGAGCTGCTAGTGTTGCCTACCCACAAGACGTCAATCTGTATATTGTTTTAGGTGTACTGCACAATCTTTCGAGAGACTATGAATTGGCGGTGGAATCATTTGGAAAAGCAATTCAACTGCAACCAAATGATCATCGACTATGGAACAAGTTAGGTAAGACCCGTAAAACATTTTCAACCTTTTATATATCCTCAACATAATCTCCTGCTATTCTCTATTGGAGTTTAGGTGCCACCTTGGCGAATAGTTATCAATCAAGAGAAGCATTGTCAGCTTATCGTAGAGCCGTCGACTTGAAGCCCAGCTATGTTCGTGCCTGGGTAAATGTGGGTACTTCTTATGCTAACCAGGGTATCTATGAGCAGGCTTGTCGATATTATCTGAAAGCTTTGCAAATGAACCCCCGAATCAACCATGTTTGGAATTATCTAAGAACCAGCTTAATAGCAATGGGCAAAAATGACTTGCTAGTTTTAACTGATCAATATGATCCGCAAGTTTTGGTGCAAGCCATGGATGCCGATCTTTCAGCAGCGTGGCGGTCATCCACCAGCAAGGAGGGGAATATAACCAATCATGCAAATACTATGCCAGTAGCCTGAAGGATAGATATTCAGTTATTCTTGTTTGGTATTGCATCTTTATTTCCCAGTGAGTATGAGATAGTGGTCATGAATAAAGTTTATAAGTTGGAAAATGAATTGCCCCTTGAAAAAGGCTTCCTGAAATTGAATTATTGGTGGAAAGTGCGACTACCCCCAAAGAAAGGATGAGCAAAGGTTCTAAAGTTTGTTATTTTATGGATACCGATATCGGAGGATATTATTATGGTCAGCATCACCCTATGAAACCTCACAGACTTGCAATGACGCACAACTTGATGCTTGCATATGGTAAGTATTCCCGACCCGTGTCAAACAACAGTTCAACTTGTTTGTTAAGGACTTCACCAACATTTGGACGTCTATAGAGCAAGATTAGCAACAACAGAAGAGTTGACTACCTTTCACTCTTCGGAATATATCGATTTTCTGAGAAGAATCAACCCCGACAACGCTCAAGAGTTTGTAAAACAACTCCAAAAGTTCAACGTTGGTCGGACTGGTGGAGATAACCCCATTTTTGATGGCCTGTATGACTATTGTTGTCTTTATGCGAGCGGAAGTATCGATGGTGCCAAGAAACTACTGACAGGAAAGGCGCAAATTGCCATCAACTGGGCAGGAGGACTTCATCACGCAAAGAAAAGTGAGGCTTCAGGGTTCTGTTATGTGAATGATATTGTTTTAGCCATTTTAGAGTTTTTGAAGTATTGGCCTCGTGTTGTATATATTGATATAGATGTACATCACGGCGATGGAGTAGAGGAGGCATTTTATGTGACCGACAGAGTGATGACTGTCTCTTTTCACAAATACGGCGACAACTTCTTTCCCGGAACTGGTGACATATGGGATAAGGGTTCCGGAGCAGGAGAATATTATGCGGTAAATGTTCCTTTGAAAGATGGCATAGATGACGAAAGCTATTTTCAAATATTTAAACCAGTTGTGGAGAAAGTATTTGAAACATTTCAACCCAGCGCAGTAGTTTTACAATGTGGGACAGACTCGTTGGCTCGTGACCGACTAGGAGGCTTCAATCTGACTGTAAAAGGTCACGCTCGTTGCGTCCAGTTTGTAAAAAGTTTCGGAGTTCCAATGTTGGTGGTAGGAGGTGGAGGATATAACATTCGTAGTGTAGCACGATGTTGGTTACATGAGACAAGTGTTTTGTTGGATAGGGAAGTTGACGATAGAATACCATACAATGTAATATATCGATAACTGACTGTGGACGGATAACTGAGTATATATATATGTTTTAGGATTATTGGGAATACTTTGCACCCGAATATCGTATTCATCAGCCTCCTCTTGACTTGCCGAATAAGAATGATCCCGAGTATTTGGACAAAGTTCGCTCCAAAGTTCTCGAAAACATACGCCATCTTGCGTGTGCTCCTAGTGTACAAATGCAAGAGATTCCACCCATGATGTACGATGTCGATGAAGAGGACGAAACAGATCCCGTGAGTGTTGTCTGGGTTTCTTCTTTTAAATATCTTTTTATCATTTTATCAATGAATAGGATGTTCGAGGAGGAAAAGGTGTCGAGTCGAGTGACAATTATTGGGTTTGAAGTATCGACGCCAAAGAAACGGGAGAGAAGTATTTGTCCAATTGTCCGTATATGACGTTTGTGACAAAGCAAGATGTTTTTTCCAACATGGAAAAGTGACGGATAGTTTGATATGGATGATTTCCCTATTAAGAATATTCATAAATAATATTCATACTTACGATTGACGACGATATCATATGTTTCCAGATTTTACCGGTGAGATGTAATCAATTAGTGTTATACTATCTTGTTCGTCTTTGAATCTCGCTTGAAGAAAATTGGTTACCCAATAGAAAGCTGGATGGAGGATCAGCAAAGCCATTTTTTCCAAATGAAGGAGGAAACTTTCAATAGAATACATACGAAAAAATGATTTATGAATAGGACAGAAAAATTACCAACTTTTCATGACGCGTTCGTGAAACTTAATATAAACTTGATAATTTGACACAGTCAACTAGGCTAGGTTAGAAAACTCTCAAAGATTGGGCTTTTCTGAGTAAAAGTTTCATGAAACACCTTCATGAGTCTTTAGCTATCTACTAGCCAAGTAATAATGGTCTTGAAGTGTTTTGTCAGTAGCTAACATTACTAGGTTGGTCCATTTTCAACGAGACTGTTTTCTGCACCAAAGAAAAAATGAAAATTTTGACCGCCAAAAAATGAAAACTTTGAAAAGATGAATGATTGGCTTCGGGTCTCTTTATGGAAACGCAAACAAGTTCTAGTCAAGCCGAAAGCTCATTACGTTATCAAGCCTTTTCAAGTGAAGAGGAATATTCTACTTTGGTACAAGAAGATGAGAATACTACAAGGTCACTGACCAAGAATATGCTTCAACGGAAACATAGCGACCATGACACTGCCGTGTCCACCAACAGCAACGAAGAAGAAGTTAACGATGCACTAAACTGCCCTGAAAACAACGACAGGAACCAAGTAAAGTCATCACCCGAGATTGTAAGTGATATTGTCGCAACCGGTTCAGAAATCCTTGATAGCATCTGTCAGGGAAAAGATGTTGAAAAAGTAGCGAGTGCCCATCCTCTTCTTCCTTTATCTCTTTTATGTAGTTTTGTCCTTGAAAAACAGCGAAACTGGGAACAAGAAGATATTGAAACACAAAGACTTTTGGAATACGTGTGTATGGAGATTCAAGAAAGCTGCGACACTCAGACTTTGATCAACATGGTGCAAGTAGTCATAAATGAACTTGTCAGTTTTTATCAGAATAGCATGGTTTTCAAGGTATTTGACATTATAATATCGAGAGTTTTTGGAATCCTCAGTAGAAGACGCGAGTTTGAATATCGAGACTTGCGATGGAGCTATTATCGTTTTCAGATGAATAAGAATTCTTTAAGTATAAAAGAACGAGTGTATTCCGAACAATGCTTAGTTTCATTTGACAGTATACGCAAAGTTGAAAGAGATGGAAAGATAGACGGGCCTTGCATCATATTCTTCTGTTTTAAAACTATCTTAAAAGAAGAGAAAGCTAGATGTCTGGTACCGCTTTTGTTGCAAGTGATGAAAGAAACAAAACCTCCCAACTGGGTAGGAGATATGATAATCGATCAAGTACTGAAATCAATGAAGAGGATGGAGTTACAAGACATACAAAACATTTTCTACAAGTTGCTTCAGTTTGCAAATACGGGTAGTTCAACTTTCGATTCGTTCTTCACCAAGTTTGTAGTATTCATTTCCCAATTAGAAAGACATTGTGAAATGCTTAATCATTACGATTCCATCAATGCTTCTCAAGACTTTGGTATACGTCTCGATTCTCATGATTCTTCGACTTTACTAGCATTTGAGTGTTCTATCTTGAAACAATTCATCTTTACGTGTAGAAATGTGAGGAGCCTTTCCTTTCTAGATGTAAGTAACTTAAAAACTGAATAGGAATCATCCCTTGGGAAAAGGTTCCTCAAGCTATTTAGAAAAGATATGAGACTGAGAAACTCTATTGGTTTAGCCTTTCTCCTAGTCGTTGCTCATAATAGAATTCTTTGCGAAGAAGTTTTTGAAACATTAATCTTTGTGCTCCAATCGGAAGCAAAAAGCAAAGCTCAGTTTAACTCAAAATCAAGAGACATTCAATCGCTTGCTTCGATAATGTTTCCAAAAATGACGGAAGGAAAGGAAAGTCCTTTTTGGTCAGAAATGTTGGATTGTTTAGAAAAGACAACCAGAGCCGTTGTCGATAAATGGAATTTTCTCATGGCGCCGTTGATAGAGTTTTCTATTTATGCCTTAGATAATGAAGAGTAAGAGATTGTGCTTTCATAGTATAACATCATTGTGAGAAATCAATTAGGCTGTTTCATTTTCAGGAATACGGTTTGCACGGGCTTTACAAGTTATGTGATATTATACAAATACTATTTTCTAGTGAAACGGGTTCACAAGCACCCTTATTGGATGCAATCTTTCGTAATCTGTTGAATCAGCGAATCGATACTAACTTAGGAATCCAAACCATCCTCAAAATGGAATCTGAATGTTTAACGAGTATTCTCAACGAGAGCTTCAACAGTAAAGCCAAACAATTTTTTCTGGAAGATTTTAGGTATATTCGTCCTTATCAAGGTTTGCAGTTCATTCAATGTATATTGCCGATATTACGCTTAAACTCCGAACTATGCAACGTTGCTATCGCTACTCTCAAAAAGGTAATTTTTTTATTTGTATTTGTGGTCCTATTCAAAGCATTATTAGTGTCTAGCTTTTAATCAAACTTCAAGCAGACGCCTTGCACTCGATAGTTTGCTGATGTTTGCCAATATGTCTGAAATGACTCGAGGTAATCCATATTCTTCTGATATCGAGATGAGATACCAATACAGAAACTGTTAGAAATAGAGATAACGGTGGATGAACTTCCTCTTTTGCTTTTACGCTCATTGAGTCAAAACTATATGGTTCGTCAGAATGTTTATAGAAAATTGACCGCCACTTGTTTCACTCGCATGAGAAAATCTACGTGCAGACACATATTTTTCATCATGGAAGAGCATTGGAAGAGGTATCAACTTTATTTTCTTTGTAAGAGAATAATACATATTGTATATGTAGATATTTGGATGACTCAGTGACTCCCGTCGTACAATTTGCACGATGCGTTGAATGTCATACTGGATTCTTGATCGAACCCATTTCAGAACTATTTCAATGCTACTTGAGCTTATATGCATTTAACAAATCATCATCAGAAAAAGATATTATGGTTCAGAAGGTATGACCATCTAGCTTTAATCAAAATCATATTTATGCATTCTCAAATTGGATAGCTTTGCAACTCAATCATAGCAACTGATCTTTTGGACTTGGGAATAAGCGGACAAGAGATCGACCTCCGAATGGAAGGAATTGCCAGAAAGAAACGTAATATTTGTCGTTGCTTTTATCATATGGTGAATATCCTTATTCTGGAGCTCATTTGTCAGGAAGAATTATTCGTGAGTTCACTTGTGAGTTGGCTCGTTTGAGATATCAACTAAGAACTGACAAGTTTTCATATATGTAGGAAATTGAGTCATTGACTTCATTATTTCATTTGAAGGAGAATCTTGAACTCGTTATGAAGTCCGCTGGAATGGCCTTTGAAGTGGACACATCGAACAAAAAGCCGACTAAACAAAGACAAACAGAAGATAAGCCATTGCTTTCCTCACAGTCTTTTAAAAGGAATGGACCCAAAGGTTTTCATTTGGAGTTTTCAATGAAGATTGACAACTGGAGGAATGTTATAGATCGTATAAGACAACTCAAACAGATGTCGCCTTCCAACCTTTGCTTTTCTACGGATTCGATATTCGCACAGAGTCTTCGTTTCCTTCTTAAATTAGTTTCTGATGAAATACGTAACGCACTGAGTTCCAATTCAAAGACTCTCATAGATGTTGAACAAAGAATTGAGATTAGAGTTCAAATTCCACTATGGATATGTGCCAGTTGGAGTGATTTTGAGGTAAAATGGATTTTAAAATGATGGCCCTTTGTGAAGAAATTTTACTAGTTTCGTCGTAACAACATCAAATCTCGACCTCTTTTGCCTCTCCAAAATGTCAACCACTGTTTACGCTGGCTTTCGACTTGTTTATTACCAATGGAAGAGAAACAAGGTCGGCGATTTATTTACGTCATTTCATTCTTGACCTCATTGTCCAGTTTAGAAATAGTTGTGGATTCCTGTAATCAACTGAAAATTCTACATCAAAAGGAAAATCTCAAAATAGAAGACAAAAAATGTTCTCAAATAATGTATTTGTTAGAGACCGTGAGCAAAGCTATTTTGGATATGTTGAGAGAGAGTCGATGGAATGAAACCAATGAACTACTGAGTATCCTGATGTTCGTCAAAGAATTGTACCATAACGACGATTCGGTAAAGATGGAAGACTCTTTCTTTACTTTGATAGTGAATTTGTGATAGGTTTGGGAGTATCTGGAGACATTCAGCATTGAAACAATATCCAAAGTGACCTTCGAAGACGGACATTGTTTATTCAAGCTGCAATCTCTAACCTGGAGAACTTTAGAAAGCAAAATACTTTGCCTGGGCAATATTTCAACGATGATTTATCGGTAATGTGTGAAGTTATTTGAGGATTGACCATTAACCTTTCTTTTTAGAAAACTTGGGGATATTGGGGAAAGTGTAGAGAACTCCACGGACTCGTGGGATGGAGATAATCTTCTTATCGGTTCAGAGGCAGTTGAACAGCTTCTACAGAGCATAACTGCTCGGTCGTTTGATTTATTTGAAGACGTACGTTGGATTCTAAAGACTCAAGCCATTTTCTTGGAAGCGAACAAAGAAGCATGTTTGCAAATACTTTGTGATATCATTCAACCTATCGTTGATGTTTTGAAGAATTTGGCACGTTCTCATGTGATGCAATGGCCTATTTGTCAGTCCATCCTTCAGTCTTTGATTCAGTCTTACAGAGTTCTGCATTATATATTCTCCATCCACGTAAGCAATTTTATCTTTTTGGCATATGGTTTCTAATAATTCACTGTGTTGTTTTCTGTAAAGCTGCGTTATCAATTGAAGCCGGCTGAGAGGACTTGTCAGTTAGCCAACTTTGTACTGACCGAATATACTCCAGTCATTTATTTATTCATACCCTACATTAACCAGCATGAAACAACCCATTTGAAAAAGGTAATGGAGGTTGTTGTCGAGGCGACTTGGTTGAAATTTTGTAGGTGGTGAAAGTCGTTCCTCAATTAATTTTTCTCGTGGAACAATTGGAAACTACGTTGATTCGTCTTTCGAAACGGACGCACACCCCAGAAATACTGAGAGGCTGGAAAAGAAGCACTGCACGAGACTTTAAAATTTTGGACGAACAGGTCGACAAAGAAAACAAGTCACGTAGAATAGAAAATAGTAAACATGTCCACGACGCAAGAGAGCAACCATAGTGTTTCGCTGTTGCAGGATCTCGTTAACAAACAAGTACGAAACCTAAAAATTGCTATCACCAGTAAAAGTTTTTCTGTACTTTCTATCTTGAAAAAAGAGGTGTTGGAGGAACTGGTTGCAACCTACCAACCTCAACAATGTATCTGGTTGGATAGTGAACATCCACCCCACGATATATTCAAGTGGTTACATAACTCTTGCTCCGCGTTGCTTCATTCTACCGTGGTCATCGACCTCTTCACAGATCCCTTGGGTGTCATGCCTACTGTCAACACTCCCAACTCTTGTGTCATCCAATCCACCTTGGAAGATCTTCAAGGGAACTTGAAACAAGTTGACAAGCCAATGCGTGCAATGGTTGTCATCGAAAACTACAACATTCTGGTTCAAACAAAGGGGTGGCATTTCTTGAGAAAATGCATGGATATCCTTTTCAAGGCTCATGAAGACGGAACGGTCGCCTTTGTCCTCTTGGGATGCCATGAAAGTGACCAAGATGTTCACAGATTGACTCATCTTGTGGTGTCAGGAAACCAATGGGAAGTTGTTGATAATATGATTAAATGTAATGTTGTATCAGTCAGAAATTTGCTCTCCGGTAACATCAGACAAGAATATTTCCAGTTGACTGCTTCCAAAATCGATCCAAGATCAAAGGACATTCCAACCAGTACTTATCTAAAAAAGATTAATGCCATAAAAATGACGACTCCACAAGAAACAGAAGACTTCTCAACAATATTTGGAGATTTGCCATTTAAAGTAGCACTTAGTGAAGCAGAAAAAGACAGAAGAGCAGAAGTAGAGTTACCCTACGAACATAAGAATGTTTCTCTAGCTGACACAGCTCTCGAGGAACATCCCAAAGGCCTTCTTGTTCCAAGTTCCGATGAAGATCCGGAACAAGACAGTGACGAAGATTTGGATGTTTAGTCAGCATGTTTTCTAGTAGAAAATCTTCAAGAAGGCGACATTTCGAAACGCATGCCTTGCTATGAGTATCGTCGAAATTGACACTCATAATAGCAATATATTGCACTCCTTTCTTTAAGGTAGTAGGCAGTCAGTGATCGCTTTATTGGTACTTAATGAAAGAACCGAGAAAACAGATAAAAATCAAGACCTAATTGTTTCAACAAAATTCGCATTTGTTAATTTATCGATTTGAAAAATTTAATTTTTTAATAAAATGAAGATTATTTTAAATTATGCTTTTCTCTCTCGAGACATTATTGTATCAAAAGATTTTAAAATTAGAAATCAGAAAATTTAATGGTTGGACAAATAAATCTCTCCTTGTAAAGAAGAATGAAAGTTTAAATTTTAATTTTTTGATTTGTCTTGAAATTTGTAATTCTAAAAAATGCTACAAATTATAGAATTGCTTTTCTATACCATGTAAATCTTTTAATGTAAATGTTGACTATCAATCTTTTAAAAGCTATGAGGCACAAGAAACATAAAATTTTTTTTTACTTTTGTAGAAGTGCTTTTGAATTGGTAGTTTATTTTAATTTGGAAGGATAGGCTTGTTAACAGATAACTCTACAGATGATATCATCCTTGCTTGCAGCACTTTCGAGAACTTTTTGATAATTTTAAACTTTTGATTGCACGGCTTTGCGTCTTTATTTGAGTCATAGTTTTTGATCGAAATCATTTGCCATTATTGCATCTGAGCTCCCTTGTCATTTATATTTTTCATTGACAAGCAGTTTGGTTGACTCGTTAGGAATGGAATTTTTCGAAGAGACAATGATTTCATTTTACATTAGATTTGGTTTGTCATTAATGTTTTGGTCTCTCTATGCAATGCTGGTTTTCAACACAATTTTGAAAATCGAATATGTTCTTTTTCCAATGAATGCGGCAGATTGTCCTTTCATTATTCTACATAGCATTTTTCGTTGTAATACCGATTTTGCATTTTTCTACGAATAAAACACCACGAGCCACAAGTTGGATCCAAACTTCCCACAAGTAGTTTTAGTGAGGTAGACGATAATAATTTCTCGACTTGGTGATAACTAAAACAAATACACTCTCCAAATGCTAGCTCGGCCAAGTTTTCTTGGACCTATTTTCTTTACCAGTTTCTTTGTTGTGTTAGGTACGCAAACTTGGTTTTTCCAAAAGACAATATAATATATTTCAACTAGTTTACTTGCAAACCAAACCAGAATCCCATATCAATCAACGCAATTCTCCAAAGTCTCGTACTTCCGAACCCGATTCTCTTCTTCCTAGACGTCAACTAGTTGCCTTGAATTCTTCTCGTAATCCGCCACTGGTTTTAACTGGAGACGGAAATTCTCTTCATTTATCTTCTTCTAGTGTCACTGATATACAGTTTTTACAACAACTGGATATCCATTCCCAACTTGGCAACGTACTTTTAAATGAAACCTTTCATCATCGTGTTTCAAGTAATGGAATTGCCTTGACCACTGAATGGACAGTAGTGGACAATGGCAATACGAGTAGTCCTAGTCGTTGGCAACTAAATCTTTCTACCGGCATTCTCAGTCAGGTAAGTATCCTATGTATTCTAGAACTGTCTCCAATAATTTCTTATCAAGCTTTCACTTATCAACGATGGAAACAATACTCAATCAAACATTCCACATCTTGGCACCTATTTCCTATATAACGATGGAAAGAATTGGACCAATTATTTGTTTTCTATCCAAGTCAGAGCCAATGGAAGTAACGGAGCTTTCGGACTCATGTTTCGAGTGGCAAGCAATGCCGAGTATTATCGGTTTCTATGGAATAATGCGAATTCTACTGGTGTCTATCAACGCCTCGAACAGCACGGCCAGAATACTTTCAGGGTATTGAATCAAACCACAGGAATAGGATATCCTTTTGGAACGTGGATGATCCTAACAGCAGTTTGCAACGGTCCCATATTGCAAATATTCGCCAATCAAACCAATGTGTTGCAAGCCAATGTATCAACAAGCCCTATTTCTCAAGGTTCGGTAGCTTTGTACACTTATGATGACGATGTCGTACAGTTTCGAGAAGCAGTCGTTGTAGCTGTTCAAAGTACACCAACTCCCAGTACAGTAACCCAAATACCTAGTCTTCAAGCTACTGCAACACCAATAACCACAAAATCTACTAGCACACCAACTGCTACTCCCCACGTTGTAACAACCATACAACCAAGTAAGACTCCAACAGCAACACCTACACCTTCACCAACACCTACTGCTACTCTCGCAACCACTCAACCTCAACCTATTCTACAACATGGACAGGCATTGTTACAATTTGTCATCAAATTTGGAGACTTGTCGTTGAGCAACTATTCAAGCAACCTGAACCAGGAAGTGAAACAGAACATTGCTAATCATTCCCAAAACCAAATTACGGAAACGAATATTTATTTGACAGCATTGCGTGCGGGTTCTGTGTATGCAACGTAAGTTGTATTTCATTTCTCTGATTTGCTTTCTCATCAGTCTATAGGTTTATGATAAGAACCTCAATTTCTCTTCAATCTTCTGTTGAAAACTTTATTAACGATTATGTATGTCAATCTGGAGGATTGGACAGCAGTTTACATACATCATTGAATTGTCAAGCATTTACGAATGGACAAAATATTCAGTTGGTAACTCAAGTGAAAAATGCTTCCAATGGCCTTAGTTCAGGTGCTATTGCAGCATTAGTAGTTTGTTTAGTTGGCATTCCATTGCTCATTGCTGCCATTTTGTTGTATATCCGTTTTCGAAAGCCATCTTTATGGAAAGTTTGCATCCAACGGGTTCTATTCTGGTATCCTCAAAAGGAGTCCAAAGCATCATCATTATCCAAGACAAAACAAAAAGTTCATAATGGACTCCAACATTGCCATCGAAAGCCAAGTAGTCCTATGTTACAAGTTCATCTACATTCCAGTTTACGACAGCTCACTCGAGCTCGCCTTTTGGATGATATGCTGTATTCTTTGCAAGCAACTGGAGCAAAATGGAAAGTCATGGTGGTTGATAAACGTGGTCTACGTATTCTTTCGGCTGCTTGTCGAATGAATGACTTGATTTCTAGAGGCATTACTCTGATAGAATCTCTGGAAGCTATTCGTGACCCATTGCCTATGTTGGATGTAAGTTTATATATGGGAGTGTGAATTTTCTAAACATGTTATTTAGGTCATCTATTTTATGTCTCCCAATGATGAATCTTTCTTAAGTCTCATCGCAGATCAAAACACTCAACTTGATTGGACCCCTTCTTTATACAATGCTATTCATATATTTGCTTGCAATAGAATCAGCGAATCGTTGTTACAATGTATTCATTCCATTGGAGGGCGTCGATTGCTTTCCAAGTTGGTAACTTTGAAAGAAATTCAAGTGGATTATTTGGCAGTCGGTGAAAATGTATATCATTTGGATAGAACAGATAGTCTTTATCAACTTACAAAGGAAGAGAGTAGAAAAGAGGAAATATTTTCGAGTGGATGTCAATTTTGTACTCTATTGAGCGTTTGGAATCGTTTTCAACGCAGTTGGAATATGTCTCCTTTACAGTTGGAATGGAAATACGATGATAGAAATGTACTACTAGAACAATGGGTCAGTTGTGTGCAGCAACAATGGGAAGGTTATTATGCTCATTTTGACAACCCGCTCAACATCTCATCGGAGGATCGGAAACGAGATAGTTGTTGTTCAGTTTTGATATGGGATAGAACATCGGACCTTATTACTCCCTTGTTGCATGATTTGAGCGTCGAAAATATTTGTTTAGAAATGAAAGAAAATGGAGAGTGGAAAGATGGAATGCCATTACCAGATGACGCAGATGAATATTGGAGTTTGTTGAGATATGAAAGAATTTCCATTGCTTCGCAAATGATTGCTCACAAGTTGCAAAGCTTTCTATCCGAATATCGTGTACAAGTTGGTTCGATGGATGATGAAAATACAATAGCTCAATCTTCCACATCCAACAGTTTACATGAAATGGCCAAAATGGTACGAGATATTCCACAATATCAGGAAGAAAAAGCCAAATTGACCAAATATATTGATCTATTGCATCGATGTCTTTTGCAAGTGGAAAATAGAAAACTGATTGAATTGAGTCAACTGGAGCAAGATATTGTTAGTGGAAGAACAGTCAATGGGAAAAGTATTCAATCAGGTTCATCCAAATGGGAGCATTTGATGGAAAGAGTTGAAACTTTTTTGAGCGACTCAAGTACGAGGGAACAAGATAAAATGAGGATCATCTTGCTGTGGAGTCTTTGTTGGGGACTCTCCATCACCCAAAGAAACCGATGGCTTCAAATGGCCCAGTTGCATGAAAATGTTCAAGTCATTCGAGCTTTGAAAGCTTGTGAGACATTGAATGTTTCAGATAGTCAAAAAGAAAGAAAGAAAAGAAGGGAAGAAACGAAAAGATTTCTTTCAAAGAAACATGCCTTTTCCCAAAGTACGGATCATGAAGAAGAACTCTATGAAAGGGTCATTCCTGCAGTTTGTTCAGAACTGGAAAATATCTTAGGTAAAATTGAGGATAATGGATTTGTATCGGAAGATGAAGAAAGAAGAACCGGACGAACTAAGAATGCAACAGATAAACGCATTTCATCGTCTTCTCGTGTAACCAAAAGCGTTCGAAGGTCGAGGTCTCGTAGACGATCCGCACCCTCAGATGACTATCCATCATCATCTGCACAAATAGAAAAGCGACGCATATTGATATTTGTATTGGGTGGAGTGACCTTATACGAAATTCGTAATTTACAGTCTTTAGCAGAAAGATATCCTATCAACTTGGTAGTCGGTGGTAGCTGTATATTGACTGGAGCTTCTTATTTGTCTCAATTATCTCGTTTGGGATGAACAAAAACTGGATACTTGTTACCGGTGCAACTAGAGGATTTGGTAGAGCGTTTGCTTTTGAATTGATCAAAAGCTTGAAATTGTTACCTGATGGAAGCAAGTTGCTTGTAACTGGTAGAGACGAGTCGAAAGTATCTCAATTGGTACAGTCGTTGTTGGAGAACAGACCCAACTGTAAGTGATACTTGAGTGAAAAGATTGTGGTTTTGACCTTTTCATACAGTGTATGTTACAGGAAAAGTTCTTGATTTGAATTGTTCTTCAGTACAATCTGATATAGCCTCCCTATTTCAACAAGAGGAAGCGAATAGTTATTCTTCCAGTTATCTCGTGAATAATGCAGGAACGCTGGGTCCCTTGGGTCCTTTAGAAGAATGTGACCTTGAATACCATATCTTGTTATTTCCATGAGAATGTGCATACTACTGTGTATTTAACGAATCAGTATATAAGATTGCTTCGCAACTCATTGAGACATATTATACATATCTCATCTTTAGCAGCGATTGAGCCATTGGAATATTGCGGCTTATATTGTATGGGAAAGGCAGCTAAAAATATGCATATGGAAATGGTTGCTTGTGAACATAGTGATATAAGAACCTTGAACTACGCACCTGGACCTATGGAAACGGATATGCAAACCACTTTACGTGAAGGACTTCCTTTGGGCCATTTAAAGACTCAAATGGTCCAGTTATGGAAAGAACAACAGCTAGTGCTTCCTCATGAGTCGGCTCGAAAATTGATAGGCATATTGGAAACGGATAGATATGAAAATGGCACACATATCGACTTTTATTCGGATAATGCTTGTTGAGCCCAATATTGTTGTTGTTTTTGAAATAAGGAATAGATACCTGTGGATGCTGCTGCACTCGATGGTCTTCCTATGTATTCTACTGTACGAATATTGTTGTCGTAACGAATGCAGGCTTCCATTCTGGGTTTTATATAACTATATGCCCCCTATTCATATCACTAGTTAGTATTCATGATAAAGCATCACACAAACCATATTTTTGGGTTCTTCTTGACACCAAATGATTCTAGCCGATGGATATTGACGTAGAGATAAAATGACCTATCAAGTAATCATGATTCCATCATTCACCTCTTTAAGAATAACTACAACCTCTTGAAAAGGAAATGGTGCCAACTGCTCCAAACGTATCAAAACAGCAGAAGATGATGGCATAGACTCTCGTTGTTCCAACAAATCAAAATAAAATTTGCCAGAACAAAAAATAACTTTGTCAACTTGATCTTTGGGAAGCTTACTATCGTCTGGAATCACCCGCATGAAACGGTGAGGAGGTTGTAGTTGCTTCCAATCACTTTTACATTGGCGATGTCTTAATAATGATTTGGGAGTCAAGATTGCCAATGGTTTACGAAACTAAAAGGAAGGATCATGATAACAGAAAAGAAATGATGAATGGACTTGCCTTGCGATGCATTTGTGCCCGTAAGAGATGGAACAAATTGGCTGGACTGGTACAATTCGCAACTTGAATATTGGTCTTTTGCAACTGTTGAATAGGATTGGAATACCATTCAGGTATGATATCTTGATCTTCATCCGATAACTGGAGAAATCTTTCTAGTTTTGCAGAAGAATGGTCGGGACCTTGACCTTCCCATCCATGTGGTAAGAATAATACCAAACCACTTTGCTTTCTCCATTTCCTTTCGCTGCATGACAGAAAACAATCTATCATGACTTGTGCACTATTTGCAAAGTCTCCAAATTGAGCTTCCCATATAACTAAAGTTTGAGGAGATTCTAAAGAATAACCCCACTCGAAACCCAATACAGCGTTTTCGGACAAGTGCGAATTATAGACACTTGGACAAGTTCCAATGGCTGCGAATGGATAGTAATGCACTTCATTTTCCTTATATAACAAGATCATCAACGATATATGTCATCTACTGAAAGCATATTCACGACTTACTTGATCAACCCATAAAGCATGACGTTGAGAGAAGGTGCCACGTTGACAATCTTGACCACTTAGACGAACACCATATCCTTCATCTAGAAGAGTGGCGAAAGCTAAAGCTTCTGCAGTAGCCCAATCCAAAGCTTTTCCATTCAATATATTTCTTCGTTCTTCTAATAACTTGGATATTTGAGGATGAAGCTAATGGAATGTGGATGAAGCATATACGAAATGGAAAACGATAATTACCTCGAAGTTTTCAGGAACATGGCAAAGCTTTTGTAGCAGTCTATGTAAGGTATCTTCAGAGACTCCTGTCGTAGATGGTTCAGTATCCAATATGCTTTCGGGAATCATATCCTTCCAGTTGCCTTGAAGGAAGTGAGGCTTTGGTTTCCAATTCGCTTGAAAGGCATTTTGGTAAGCTGTTTGATAGTCTTGTATCCATTGTTGATATTCTTCTTCATTCATCACTCCATTGGATATCAAATGACTTGCATATTTTTTACTCACAGGAAGTTGATTCCTGATGCATTTGTACATTGTAGGTTGCGTAAAACTATTCAAACATATGAGGCAATACAGATAATATTCCAACAGCAAAGACTATTACCTAGGTTGGTCTACTTCATTATGGCCATGCAAGCGATAGCACACAAGGTCAATCAACACATCTTTGCCAAAATGTTGTCGATATTCTACAGCCAAACTACAACAAGCAACCACTGCCTCAGGGTCATCACCATTCACATGAAATACTGGAATATCTAATGCTTTGGCAATATCCGTACAATAGGTACAACTACGACCATCTTGAGGATGAGTAGTAAAACCAATTTGGTTGTTGACAATCAAATGAACAGTTCCTTTGACAGAATAATGTTCTAGTTTGAACATTTGTAAAGTTTCATATACAACACCCTGAAATATCCATTTGCAATCAATTCTCAGCAATCTTATTGACTTACTTGACCAGTAAATGCTGCATCTCCATGTATATTGACTGCCAATACTTTAGCATTTGTAGCAACTATGTCTTGTTTAGCTTTAGTCTTGCCAATGAGAACTGGATTAACTACTTCTAAATGGGAAGGATTCTCCAACAAACTGACATGTATGGAATTTCCTAAATAAATAGTTATCCAATATACACAACTCAACGGCTCATTCTCACCTGTTCCTGATAACTTTAAATCGGTGGAAATAGATAAATGAGATTTCACATCCCCAGTGCAATCATAAATATCTGTGAATGGTACTCGATCTGCTACAAAACTATGTAATATTTCTTCCACTGGCATATTCAATACATTGGCAAGTATGGCTAATCTTCCTCGATGCGGCATTCCAATAACGACACTTTGTACACCCAATAAAGATGCTGTTTCTAATATCGCATGTAAACCTGGCACTATGGATTCTCCTCCTTCACCACCATAACGTTTGGCTGTAGGAAACTTGATGGCTAAAAATCTTTCAAAACTATCAGCAGCTGTCAAATCCTTTAATATTTGTTTCTTTTGTTCATTCGATAGGGATGGAAATTTGCGTTCTACTTTGTGTTGGAACCACTTTCTTTCCTTGTCTCTAGAAAGATGAGCATATTCATATCCCACATTTCCACAATATATACTTTCAAGATGTTGAAATAAGGACTCCAGAGACTCATTCTATTCGATGGAAATGATAAAGGAGATATCAGTCGTTTCACGATGCCAACATTAATCAAGATGATGACTTACGATAGGAAGATGTCCAATCGACAAAGCATCAGTCGTTTTGGAGGAATGTTTATAATATTCCCAATCCAGTAACTGTTTTCTATCTTGTGGTATCAAGTGCTTGTAAAAACCAAACTGGGAATCCAGTTTGAGAGGATCCCATTGCGCCTTGAAATGACCAAAGTTTCGATAATTATTCACCATTTGAGAAATTTTCATACTATGATTTGCATAATCTATCATATACTGAAATATTTGTTGTGGTGAAAAGCTGTCTTTGGCTACTTGGGTTTCCCACTTTTGAATTTGTTGAAACATGGAAGACCACGGAAAAGATACCTTGTTCGGATAAAAAGAGTGTGTGTGTGTGTTATTGGAAGAATCACTTACTGTTGAGGGATTTCTTTTCCAAGCTTCATATTGATCCTTCAGACTTTGAAGGGATTGTTGAGAGGCATCTTCAGAACGAGGTTTAGGTTGCGCAACAGAAAAAAAACGAGTAAAAACACTCCATCTTTGTGGATATTCTAAAACATATTTTGAACTCTTGTGCAGTCGTTTTTTAGTATGTTTCCATATAGGGAAGAACGGTTTCCAAAACATGGAGTAGAAAATGTCAATGTCCAAGACTCAATTCCTTGGTCTCGATGGGACAAACTATGGCGAATAAGAAATAAAAACTTTACAATATTTGAATACCAAACATTTCGTTTCTATACAGCTATTAGAGCCAGTTAAGCAAACTTTCAACAGCGTTTGATAGAGTTTGTACGACTTTCTTTGGAGATTCAACAAGTGGAACAAGTAGTCTATCTATTACAGCAGAAAAGAGAGGTTGAAGATTTCAAAAATACCGCGAATAGTTTGGAAGAAAAAAGAAAGCACGTGGACTTGAAGATTGCGTTAGAGACACTCCAGAGAAAAAAAAATATTTGAAAAAATGCTTGGCGCCTTTTGGAAAAACTGGAACAAAGCAACTCTCTGCCAGAAGAATTATCGGAGAACTTGCTGAGAAAGCTGGTGTAGGAAATCTGCGAAGCAAAGAGTGTAAACTATGCTGGAAGAATATTAAATATAGAGCACTTGTAGAGCAAATAAGAGAAAACCAGAAGAAGATAGTGTTTAGAACCGAAGAGAAGTTGTGTTGGTGTTTTAATAGTTGAAAGAAAGTATTCGGCGTTGTTTCGAGTGTTGTAAGACCTTGGAGTTGATAAAGAAGGCGGATAGTTGGTTTGCGGAAGCTTTTGTTGAACCGTTCGTTTCGGAAAGGCTGTAGTCTGTTGAGAATGGTTCGAATCGTTTTCTAATAAAGAAATCGCAATAAATGAACTGCGTAGATATCTATCGGCACTTTTTTTGTGAAAGTTGATTGATAAAGAAATAGGATTGTTCACTTTGAGAATATATAGGATCCTCATTTCTTCTATATGCAAGTATCTGGGTTTTCACCTTTCATCAGAACCTTTACTACACAGGACTAGAAGAATTTTTTGCTCTATACATCAGTTTGAAATGGCAATATATTCACAAGATTCCATTGACAAGACTTTACGATATCGTTTCTTTGGGGATTCTGAACTATTTTGTATATATTTTGAAGCTTCGAAGGTGCAATCAGCAAGTAGCTTAAAGTCTGTTTCATGGAAGTAAATCTCAAAAGACTTCAACAACTTTTGTTGGGAAGCATAGGAAGGTCTGAAAATATTTTGGGGAAAATTCTTGTCCGCAAGAGTAAAAGACTCCAAAGCAAGTCTTTCTTAAGACTGAAGAGAACACAAGTAGGTTAGATACGACCAATTACTAGATTTCGTTTGGAATGGTCGTTACTGGATATTTCGATATATAGAAAGTACATTGAAGACTCTTGACACGGCCAAAGATGCCTCTTCGATGTGAAAACCCAATAATTTCTCATCTTATTGGATTTAAAGTATATTCCCCAGTTTTTTGTTTCAGTGTTGCCAAACAGCAATGCGCAAGAAGTTATTCAAGATATTCCTCATTTGACTTGAACCTCCGTGATAAACAGTGGCGATAAAAGTGTTCAATTGGAGGAAATTTATGAATGTTTCATTTCTGTTAACGGATCGGTGCAACAGTTTCAGCGTCGTAATTAAAAAAAATTTTACTTGGCGCATTTCTGATTGTCATCGAATGTACTAAAAAATTTGCAGTAGGGAGGAATTTTGGATGCCTATCGAACCGACCACAAAAACTGGTCCCAAGCATCATTCTCCTTTTATTTCCCCTATTTTACGTCTATTGAAAGATGTTTCGCAAATTATTTTAAACAAAGAATATCTCAAGTACCCCATTGTATACATACCGTTTGTCCACAATGTTGAAAAGATAAAATGCAAGGATTACGAAGATTATATCTAGTGTTCGAGAAGCTCAGGATACTTTGAAGAGGTTGAACCTGGGTTGTTCATTTTCAGGAAAAAGTAGCGAAAATGTGTCGATTGTGAGAAGAGATCCGCCTTCAGTTGGGATTGAATGGGAAATAGTCGGCCGAAGAACTCAGACTATCGATATTGTTGTTTCAGAAAGACGTCATTTATAAGGGGCAACTTGAAAGAGAAAGAATTATGGGACTGGTTTCCAACTACTTTTACAAACCCCAAACTATTTTTGTCCAAAGCAAACTCTAATATCGTGTATTTTTGTTGAGATGAATTTTGCTATTTCCAAGGAAGAAAGAATTAGTCTATTGATTCCACATTTGATAGAGTTGATACGTTGAGATGTTGATGGACAATAGAATGATATGATTTGGCCATCTGACGTATGAACAAAGGGTAGAATGAGACAACTGTCCTTTGATGTTTTGAGCGCCAAAGAGATAAAGAAAAAAGACAGCATTTATATTACATGACAAGAGAATGTTGTCTCAGTACCAATGATATGTTGTCGAGTTTGAGACTAAAAAAAGTACTTGCACTACTTTATATACTTCTTTGTATATATCATCTTTGTCTCAATGACTTGGAGTTTACAAAGACGCCTTGTTTGAAACTATTTTCCTTATCTGGCTACATTCTACAACGAATCCTTTCTTTGGAGTTGCATTCAAATATAGATATGATGGAGCATTCTGCTTATCATCGATACAATACGTATAGAGAACCCTTGATCATGGTAATTCCATTCACAAGTGGACAGATAGAAAGAGTTTTGCATATGTTATCTCTTTTTGAAAGGGTTCCTCCGTGTAGACCACAAGGAAGACCCGTTAGACATCTTCCAACTGTACTTTTTTATTATCACGCTTCCCTAGAGACCCATTTCGGAAAATGGATTCAACAAAATATATCACAAGTATGGAATGCTTTGCCCATTTCTATAAGAGATTGCTTTAGTTACGATATCCTATGGAAAAGTGCCAATCTGACAGGGATAAGGGACTTGTATTCTAAGTGGGATTCGGAAGCTTATTCAGCAGGGACCAACAACATGTTTTATGGTATCATGAGAGATTGCTCTATTACAAGAAAGTATCAGTACATGTTCTATTGCGAACCTGACGTATCTCCTATACGAAGTGGCTGGTTGGATAAACTAGTAGAGTTAAGTTTGTTGAGTGATCAACACAAAGTTTGGATGATTGGTTCAGTTTATATGGGACACGATTTTGGTGCGGTTATCTCTTGGGCTTTACAATATACCAGAACGGCATGGAAACATTTGAATGGAAATGCACTGTATCGATTAGGTGACGCTTCTTTTCTTCGTTATTTGTATTATGTGGAAAAAAAATACTATCCCTTTTCATTCGACATGAGTATATATCGTTATTTTCATTCACTTAGGAATCCCAATCTCGCACATAAGTTTGTTAGAACCAATGTGATTATCAATATTGGCAATAGCTATGTCACAAACACGTCGATTCAAGAGACATATTCGGATACGTATCTTGTTCATGGCAAGCATATTATTCTGGATTAATGCAT